TAACCATCTTCATTATTATCCTGTATTATGATAGAAAAAAGTATCAAAAATGACTCTAGGCTCAACAGCGATATGGGTCCAAAGAGCACAGACACCAATTGATATCGAATCATGCAATCATGCAGTTTACGAAATATTCTTTACGAATTACCTCTGATTCTGATTCTGACAAACCCGCTCCTTTAATTACAACTGGCTCGATCTAAAGAAAATATATATTTAGCTAATATCCGAAACAGAATGTACCATTTTTTAGTGAAAATCTCATACTCCACGTGCACTGATTTTGACTCTGATTGATTTATACTGATCCTGCCTCGATCAGAAACATTGGTCTAACTGGAACTATATCATGCAAACGAACCTAAAATCATCTGGAGTATCATAGCGTATATATATGGGGGCATTTAAATGAAGGTTTTTTACCAGCATTTGTTTATCCGGGCGGTTATTTTCTCGGCATCTTCGGCACGCTTCCTTTTCCTGTGAGTCGAACAACCTGTCTATAAATAAAACTAGGAAATTATTTATATATAGTATATTGAACAAGTTTATACATATAGTACATGCAACCTGAGCAGAGGCTATTTTCGTACATATATAGTTCGCCGTTTTTATAAGAAATGCATGGCGCATTGGCGCTTTCAGAGCCATTTAATATATATATAGCTTCAGACCGGTTTAATGCACTGCACTTACTGAACGTCTTCGCTCAAATTGTATTGCAGCATTTAAATGTCTTTTGTCTGGATATTCGGGTTCCCAAATTATCGCTTTCAATTTGTAGTCATAGCTTTCAGAACTCCATTCGAATTTCAGAAGGTTCACCGTTTTTGGCTTACGCGTACTTTCAAAATATTCTTTTAGTAAAGAATATTTATCCGCATGACCTTTACCAATCTTCGCCGTGAGCTTGTTAAATGCGTCTAAGTGTAGCTTGCAGGCTAATTCAAATTCTCTCCAAGATGTCATTTCACTAGAGCGTAGCAAATCATCTAATTTATGAGTTTTAATAACGTCGTATTCAGCGCACGTTCCAAAAGTAGAAAGGATTGTTTTACGTTTGTGAAGTTTATCAAAAAGAATCCTACAACTTGTGCAATGCCCTCTGGTACTGCGCGGTTCTCCATTTTTTTTTTTTTGTATTTCGACATATGTTCAACTGAAGCTGGCTTTCCTTCCGAACATGCCTTATTATCCACACATTTATAAACATCCACGTCTTCCAGTTTCACACCATTATCGCCATGTTCCCTTATTTCACACAGTTTTGTATGAAGGTATAACGGTTGAACGAAGCTTCGGACGTCAAGAGAGATACCAAATTTTTCTGGATCTTTTCTGTTCTCTGCCCAAGAGACGGGTTTAAGACAATTCCCATCCCTCAAATCCCCCAAAATTTCCAACGTTGTTTTGCAAGCGTCTTTGGGATCATGAAATAAATCATTCATCTGTATTCAACAGAAAATTATGTGGTAACTATCAGTCATGTAGCAAATCCAGCAATAAGTAACCATGCACTAAAATACTAGTGCAACATCAGGAAATATTGTGCTATTTTCATTGAAAATACTCATGCAGCATATATCGTGCAAGTATATATGCTAAAGTTTGCAGCATGACATTACATAAGTCTTGCATGAATATAGTTGAAGGCCTATAATTATATAGACATAATTGTTGGGAGTTCTGCGTGCTATAATGTTTAGTTTAGTGCTATTTTTCTTTCTAAAACAGTCTGGAGGACAACTGTTACATGCAGCAGTTTGAAAAAGCATTACAATTTGCAAGTATACTTTAAACTGCAGGGGGTTTAAAATTTTATACATTTTATAAATATCAGAATATTTTTCTCTCGGTCCCGAGTGATCTAATTCGTTGACATAAAAGCAAAAAAACTTACAAACTTTACTTGTAAGACTACTGCACTTTACAAACTACAATAATCATAACCAAACTTTGAAATTAATTTTTTTAGGCTTTTTTCAGCCGAACAGATTAATTATAGTATGCAATAATCAGTTGACGAGGGGAGTATTTCAGATTCGTATTTCTTTTAGACTGCCTCTTGGTCATATATCTGCATTTCTAACCATTTCCAGTAGAATATGAGCAGGTTCTCTGACCATGTCAGTAAGGGATTCAAATTGCCGAAGTTCATCTTCCTTGGGAAATTTGTAATAACACCCTAGAAGTAATCTAGATTTTAGTTCCTGTCAAATGGGAAACTATGATGGTAACTCATCAAGCCTGGTTCACATATATCAACTTGACATGCCTGCGCGATCATGGTTCATGTATCTACTAAAATGGGCCATTTAGTTGTGAAGTTGCCAATCAGTTATTCAAACTAAATAGCTACATACCTAGTGTCTTATCGTTCTTCTTCAAGCTATCGAAAATCTCTTTAATGGCATTTGGATTAACTTCTGGAACTGCATGAAATAGCAAAATATATATCAAGAATTTGGGGCAGGGATGTCCCAGTGGGACTGGGACACTGGAAGAGTTTCAGAAAATTATTACGAGTCTAAAATTTATCTGTCTTTAATAATATTCTCTATCCTGGTCTTAAGCATACACCAAACTAGATTCAAAAAAGTCAAGATTTACCTTCATCTTCGGGAGAATAGTCAAACTTCGTGGTCGCGGGATAGCCATATAGACCATGTATTAGACACAACGATTTGATAAATAAATGAAATTTTTTTCTGATTCTGTTTACAATAAATTCTCGCGGCACTTCGAAATACTCTTCAAAGTTAACAAAAGAAGATAAAACTACGAATAAAAAGCTCTCTATCTCGTTGTGAATCCAGTTACGTTCTTTTAAAAAAGAATTGCGTGAAATCTCGTCTTCTTGTGAAGCCATCAGCTCAAAAGACATTCAGCCCTTCTTTCAACTCATTTGATGTGCGTTGGTTGCCCAGTATGGGGGAACTATGTGTTTTGCATTTATATGAAAAAATTCTTTGCTTGCTACGCGACATGGTCTTAAAAATAATTAATTAAAAGTTTGCATCCTGTTGTGAACCGGCTAACGGACCGACCTGGTGAGAATTTTTTTAGTTGTGTGAGGCATTGTATACATGACAACTAGGTAGCCTAGGTATCTTAATTTGTTGTCTTGAAAGCATGCACATTATACTTAGCTCTGTGCATGTTATTATAAAATTTAGGCATGCAACCATACCGATTTCGATCATAGCTATATTATTTGCCGACGATACAAACATACTGCGTATATATCTTTGCCCTAACATTCTTAAGGTTAGGATGATGGGAATATATTGAAATAAATACTACAAAAACGAAACTCATTCCTTTTAGTTTACGAAACAGAAATTGAAATATGGTTTTCATATAAAATTTAAATAAAGAAAGAAAGTAAAACAAGCCTAAACCATTACTTTCTTAATAATCATTTTTACCAAATTTGCAACACGGTACGTCTATTCTCAAAGAAAATTATGAAAGGTACAGATATTATTTCCAGGAATTGACACTTTACAAACTTAAACTCGCTAAAATTATTTCATTACTTACAAATTGAAATTGTAATTTGGAGTATTCGAAGTGGTGGGACCTGTTTTCACTTTTAATTCTCAAAACTTTTCACACCCCGTCCATGCACCATTTTGTTTTTTTGCTGGGAAAAATAACTCCAGAAGCATTATAATATATCTATAAGAAGAAAGTGGTGGGATAGCTAAAAAATAGGAAGGCATATGGGGTAGAGTAAACAAAAAATGAGGAAGTGAAAGGTGGGGTAGAGAAAAATTAATATTGTAAATCTTTTGCTCACGAAAATCTAACATAAACCCTACAATTTATTAAGTCATCATCTATCAAGTGGCTGACATTAAGATATAGTGGTTTTTCTATGGTCTATGGAACATTATTGCAGTGTAGTTTGGAAACACAGTAATTCTTAAGCTAACTTTTCTGGTTCCCAATCCTTCGCTTGTAATTTATAATTATTCCTTTCAGAATCCCATTCGTATTTTAGAACTTTTGCCTGTTTCGGCCTACGAGTTCTTTCAAAATATTCTTTCAATACAATATATGAATCATCAGGTAGGCGGAACGGTTTACATTGTGTATGGTTTTAAAAAAAGATCCTGAGGTATTTGATTTTCTCTCTTAACCTATATTCAACAATTTCTTTGCTTTTTTCACTAGAATTATTCTCATTCACCACTTTTAACCTCGCCTAACTCAGGTTCGGATTGCCGTTATTTCTACAAACGTCAAACAGGCTTTAAACGTCAGCAGTAGTTCATCGACTCTCTGTCGTACAAAACTGAGAACCTCAAAACACTCTGTCATTGTACGGTTAGCATTGCTAAGTATCATGTTATATAGATGCTTGGAGAAATGGTTAAACATTTCAAAAACAGACATCTGTGAATTATGTCATGAACATTTTGCAACCAGACGCAAACCAAAACCCTTCTCAGAGTATGCAAGTTTGTTTTTATCAGAAAAGAGATATTCGGTATTGCAAATCCATTAATTCGCTGTATCTCGCCGCAAGAGTTGCTGGTGGTAGTTACTGCAACCACTGTGCTGCAACTTGATTTCTAATCTTTCCCTTGCCGTCATTTCACCAAAGCTTGAAAGCTAAAAGATTTCTAACTTCTTAATACCATAATTTTGCCATTTTCTTTTACCAATTGCAAAGCATGCATACACTGTGTTTCCTATTTCTTTGACATTCACAAATGACATAAAAGATGCCGCATGTTATTCTCACGTAGGCAGCCAGTCTCAAAATATAAATTAAATGTTGATGGGTGTTCAGGATAACGAAGGTAAAAACAGATTTAACCAAATTAACTGGAGAATTGCGAGAAATGCAAGGTATGTAGTTGTAACATCAATTATAGTTTAACTAAAACAAATTTTACTTAAAGATATTATCTTATATGGGTTAAGCTTGGTACATTATCTAAATAATTTATAGCTATAAATCGTTATACATCCATTTTTTTAATTTCTAACAAATAGTTCATTAACAACAAGCTGGGTTTCAGTTATCAGACTCTTCTGGTCTCCAGTCCTTAGCTTGCAATTTATAATTTTGGCTTTCAGAATTCAATTCGTATCTTAGAACTTTTGCGTTTTTCGGCTTACGCGTACTTTCAAAATATTCTTTCAATACAGGATATGGATCTTGATTCTCACCAGTCTTCCTCGTGAGATCGTTGAATGCTCTTAAATGTTCATTGCAGGCTGATTCGAAATCTTTCCAGGAAGTGTTTGCAGTGGAACCGAGCAATTCATCTAATTTACGAGTTTTAATAACATCATATTCAGCACAATTCCCGAAGACACCAAGGTTTCTTTCCAATGCAACCGAACGCCTTGACAGGGTTGGAGGACTATCGAAAAAAATCTCACAACTTTTGCAGGGCCTCATTTTTCTACGCGGTTTTCCATTTCCGCTTTTTCTGTATTTAGACTTCTTTTTAGCCAAATTTGGGTTTCTTTTAAAGTCTTTTCTGTCAACGCATTGATAGCCGTTCACCTCTGCAAGTTTCAAATCATTTTTGCGATGTTTTCTTACTTCCCGCAGCCGGGTATGGACGTATAACGGTCGGAGAAAGGGTCGAACACCAAGAGAAAATCCACAATTCCCAGGGAATTCTTTGTTTTCCATCCATATCACGGGTTTTAGATAATTTCCGTCCGTCAGATCCTCCAAAAGCTCTAGCGTTGCTTCGCAAGCATCTTCGTGACCATCAAATAAATCTTGCATCTATATTTTGGGAAAATCATGAAATATGATCAAGAAAATCGGTTGGAAGTGAGGTTTTCTGGACTCGTCGGTGATTACCATTTACCTTGGGGTAATGAAAATTTCGGTCGGAAAAACAATTGGTACGGAATCTCCAAGGTAAAACGTAAGCAACCCAGATTTTCAGATGGGCTGTCTCTTAATAACATGCCTGATCAGACATACCTACCATTTCTAGAAGAATATGAGCAGGCTCTCTGACTAGGTCGGTAAAAGATTCAAATTGCCAAAATTTATCTTCCTTTGCATCTGTGTGATAATCTCCTGAAAGTATATAAGGCAAGCATATGATGCAGGCATATATGTTAGCAACAGTGCACGTAGATCAGATTCAGTTTCCAATGCTTCCAATTTCGCTCAAACACAAATTATTTTTTGATTGATTGGTTCTCTTGCTACTGAAATCAGACTCCCCGCCTTCACATGTGGTAATCATCCAAAGGCAAAGAATGAAGCTACATACCAAGTGTCTTATCATTTTTTGTCAAGCTGTTGAAAATCTCTTTAACTGCCTCTGGTTTAATAGCTATAACTAAGATACCAAAAAAGATAAATTAACAAACTTCTTTAAGCCCGTTGGAACAAAGTTAAAGCCAGTGCAACAATGTTGCATGTTCCAACCAACCAGTAAGTTTGTAGTTGGAAGAATATGGGGAGAAAAGTCTTGTGAGCTAGTTCCTTTAAATTATAACATCTCACATTTCGAAATATTTGTAATAAAATTAAATTTGAGGTCTAAAATATCCTTTGAAAATACCGGCAGTATATATAAGCAAAAGCATCGTTATTAATTCAGGTGTTTTGAATTTAAGATGGTGCTGCATGCAGTAATTTATTTTTATTTGACTGACCATAGATCTGCCAATTTAGCTTGCCTTATTGTTTGTCGAACCTGCATGCGTTCACAATTCTAACCGTTTATAACATTTTGAAAATAGTATTCGACTAGTGCGCTTTGAAAAGTGTTTGGCTGTTTTGGTCGTGACAGCTGACAGCAAAGAAAAGACAGATATTTGTGGGGGCGTGTTGTAATTATTAAGCGCCTATACGGCATATTTCGTTGGAACCATACAGTGGCAAAGTTAATTGCATATTTGGAAAATAATAACTGGGCAGAAATTCAAAATCTCTTTTATATATACTTGGCAAAATACACGTATTTTTTCCTTCTCCGTATCTATCGCATATACGAGACCCACTTTTGTTAGGTCTCTATTCATGTATCCCTAGCCTTTAGGCGATTTATTTGTATTTGGGGCTAAACTTTCGTCATTGAAAGTATGGTGAGGATTATAGTTAAAAATAATTCAAGCTTTACCTTCATCATCAGGAGAATAGTCAAGTTTGTAGACGCGGGATAACCATATAGACCATGTATTTGACACAACGATTTCATTAATAATGGAAATTTTTCGCTAATTTTTTTTGAAATAATTTCCCCTCTTACTTGGAAACGCTCTTCAAAGTTAACAAAATGAGATAAAATTACGAACAAAAAGTTCTCGATCTCTGTGTGAATCCAGTTGCGTTCTTTGAAGAAATAGTTGCGTAAGATCTCGTCTTCTTCTTGTGAAGCCATCCTCCTAATATAAATTTTGTGCTAAGTCCTTAATTCTTTCTCATTATTTATAATATAAGGGACATTTTGAGTTGAATGCCAAATAAGGGGGAGAAATATATTTGCATTTATATGAAAAAATTCTTTATTATTTGCTACGACATGCAGTTTTGTTTTAAAAGGTCTTGACATCCGTTTGATTGATTGATTGCCATCCTGTTGTGACGCGGTAAGCGGACCAACCCATGCAATAAAAAAAACAAAAAAACTGCATATTTTGAGTGTGTGAAACGTTGTATATCGAAACCAGCTAACCTGGTCACTAAAGAGAGTATATATAGTTATGAGGTGTTCACTGAATTTTATCCTAACTTTCATGCATGACAGTCATAAAAGAAATATACTAAAACGTCACCATAAAACCGATCAGAAAATATTCAAAGGGAAAAACAGATCGGTGTAGGATAACGTGCATGCATATCACCATATATGATATGGGCATGTGACGGGTATATATGCAGTAAACGTTCTCTGGCATATAACTACTTTATTACTTTTATTCTAGTTTTCAACAATAGCTAACTGTTAATTATTTAAGTATTAAAAAGTTTGCTGTATATAAGATGCATAAAGTAAGATATAAAGTTAGGTTCTAAGTTACACTATTTAAAAAATTACTTACAGCCAATTATATAAGATGCATAAAGTAAGATATAAAGTTAGGTTCTAAGTTACACTATTTAAAAAATTACTTACAGCCATGTATATAAGATGCATAAAGTAAGATATAAAGTTAGGTTCGATCTAAGTTACACTATTTAAAAAATTACTTACAGCCATGCATGCATTTACTGTGTATACGCGTTGAATGTAACAGCAAAACTATTCTGAACCAACGTTATAGAAACGCGGGCAGGAGTGCATATTTACATATTAATCTAATTAAACAACTGGAACGATAACTCCTGACAAACATTCCTATTCAGCTTGAAGCGAAAATAGTTTTTTTGAGTTTTGAGACGAAATACTTGACGGCGGACGTTGGGCTGTGTGTCAAATTAAAGCTTTTGAAAAGTTATATTTGATGTAGAAATTTCAAGACTTAAACTGCAAAGGAAATATTTAAAAAAAAAAACAATTACCGACCGGCAAAAAACTTTTCACGGATATTTCCCTTTAAACTAAAGTCTCGAAATTTCTGCACGAAATATAACTTTTTATTAGCTTTAATTTCAAATACGGCTCAACATTTGGCGTCAAGTATTTCAGCTCAAAACTCAGAAAAAGTAAAAAGCACTGCCACTGGCTTAAACTGGTTTCTGTTGAAAGTGCGGCCTTGGAACTATTACCTATTGAATTAATTGTCACATTAAAAAAGTAAATGTCAACAATAAGAATAACCTATATGAGCTGGGTTTTAGTTATTTCGTGACTGAATTGTATACAAGTCATGTTTGCTATGGTCTTATGGATCATCATTGTGAATGTCTATAGTTTGGAAACGTAACATTTTATATATTATCAGGCTCTTCTGGTTTCCAGTCCTTCGCTTGCAATTCATAATTTTGGCTTTCAGAATTCCATTCGTATCTTAGAACTTTGGCGTTTATCGGCCTACGCGTACTTTCAAAATATTCTCTCAATACAGGATATGGATCTTGATTCTCACCAGCCCTCCTCGTGAGATCGTTGAATGCTCTTAAATGTTCATTGCAGGCTGATTCAAAATCTCTCCAGGAAGTGTTTGCAGTAGAGCCGAGCAATTCATCTAATTTATGAGTTTTAATAACATCATATTCAGCACAATTCCCGAAGACACCAAGGTATTCTTCATTTTCTTCAACCGGCCAGTTTTGTCGTCCATAAAAGAAAAACGTACAACTCTTGCAGGGACTTCTGGTTTTGCGCGGTCTCCCATTACTTCTTTTTTTGTATTTAGATTTCTTTTTAGCCAAATCTGGATTTTCTTTAATGCCTTTTCTGTCAAAACATTGATAAGCGTTCACGTCTCCTGGTTTTACACCATTGTGATGTTCTCTTATTTCCCGTAGCCTGGTTTGGACGTATAAAGGTCGAACAAATGGTCGAACACCAAGAGAAAATCCAGAATGCTTTTCCGGGTTTTCCCTGTGCTCTGCCCATATCACGGGTTTCAGATAATTTCCATCCACCAGATCCTCCAAAAGCCCTAGCGTTACTTCACAAGCGTCTTCGTGACCATAAAATAAATCTCGCATCTGTTATTAGGTAGAAAGTGATGCTATAACTATATGATACCGTAACTATATGTAACCACATTAACCAATAGAAACTTCGCAAACCGGCATTTCTTAGAAACCTAACTTCTAAGTTTGACTAAACAGTAGTCTTTATCAAAAAGCACATGACAATTCTAAATTTAGATTTTCAAATTTGCAAGTTTATAGCATTTTACTGAGACGTCGAGAATTTTTGTTTATTTTAGGCAGTTGTTATACCACATTTAAAGCGGACAGTCTGTTAATAACTTGCCTGATCAGACATACTTACCATTTCTACAAGAATATGAGCAGGCTCTCTGACTAAGTCGGTAAAAGATTCAAATTGCCAAAAATGATCTTCCTTTGCATCTGTGTGATAATCTCCTGAGAGTAATGTATATATATATATATATATATATATATATATATATAGTTAGTAACAGCTTTTAGGTTTAGTCTCAAAGAGAAACTTATCAAGAAATTCGTTCTGTCATTGTTCTTCTAATGCATTAATTAACGCTTATTGCGGCAGTGTTATTAAAAATTTTCTAAATAAATAATAAAGCTACATACCAAGTGTCTTATCATTTTTTGTCAAGCTGTTGAAAATCTCTTTAACTGCCTCTGGTTTAACATCTGTAACTAAGATTATACCGAAGAAGATACTGGAATTAGCGAAAGACTGCAAAAGTTAACCCCCTTGAACTAGGCTGGACGCATTCTGGTCTTAACTAGATTTTCGGTCTTTTATGAGTCATTCACTATTTTCACTAAATCCTGTGATGCTGTGCGCGCGCATTTCTTGGGGTACTAAAATATGATCAAAATGGCGACATTTTGTTTTGATTTTGGCGGGATTTGGCACCCCAAGGAATGCGCGCGCACAGCATCATGGGATTTAGTGAAAATAGTGAATAGATTTTTAATAAACTATTTTTCATAATCGTTCCATCCGCGAGATTAAATTTTTGTAGGTCTCCCCATGCACCTGTGCAAGTTATAGTGTGATATGAAACAACCTATCATTATTGGCTGATTTTTAACCGTCGTTTGCTTACGGAAAGTTATAATGACCCAAATGTTACCTTTGAGATACCTAAATCTACAGATCCGTACTCGACATGCATTTTGTTCGTGATTTTTTCTCTCGCTACTAAGCTAAGAACTGTTTGGGGGGGCGTATTGCTAAATGCGCTTTTACGGCATATTTCTTTGGAACCATGCGGTTGCATTTTTAGAAAAATTGTTAAGAAATTTATTGATTTTATTTCATTTAAAAATGTACACAAGTTTTCGTTCCCCGAACGTATTCCATATATGAGAATCAATTTTATTAGGTGTCTTTATTAGGTTTTATATAACTGTTAGGCTTTACGCACTTTCTAACATTTAAACGACTCAAGGACATGTTGTCAACCTAAGCAAACTTGGGTGTATCGAGGATTATAGTTCAAAAATAATTCAAGCTTTACCTGTGTCATCAGGAGAATAGTCAGAGTTTGTAGACGCGGGATAACCATATAGACCATGTATTTGACACAAGGATTTGATTAATAAAGGAAATTTATTGCTGATTCTGTTTACAATAAATTCTCGCGGCACTCCGTAATCCTCTTCATAATTAACAAAAGAAGATAAAATTACGAACAAAAAGCTCTTTATCTCTGTGTGAATCCAGTTACGTTCTTTTAAGAAATAGTTGCGTAAGATGTTGTCTTCTTGTGAAGCCATCTTTGCAATAGATTTTGTGTTCAGTCCTTCGTTCAGCCTAGTTATGCAAGGAACTGTGCATGAATATGAGTTGAATGCCCAGTATGGGGGAAATAATATGTTTTGCATTTATATGAAATTCCTTATTACTTGCAACGACATGTAGGTTTGCTTTGAGAGATCCTGTTGTGATACCAACTCGGTGAGAAAATTGTGTTCAACTCAGTAACGCTCAAGCATGCTGGTGAGGATGCATTAGTTCACGGGGAAGTGGATGTCGCTCGAAGGTGAAGGGTAGGCTTAACCCATGCACCAGGGCACATTTTTATCTTGAAGAATGCACCTATTTCCGCCACAACTCACATGGTGGTTATTCGTGTTGCTCAGTGCATGATTTTTAGTAAGATATTTCGCCTGCCATACTTCCAGAGTGGCGAGGAATTAGTTTAGGGAGGAGACTACAGAGTACGTATCACAGTCATGCATGACTGAATTTGTGTGCCATGTTAGAACGTTAACTATTGTTCAAGAGAGAAATTCCAAGAATAACAATGAACTCTGGGACAGTGTCTTAACTGCTTGGAGAGAATTCCCTCACGAAATTAACTTAAGGGACTTGATAGATAGCATGCCTCGTAGGTGTTTAGCCGTCGTTAAGGTTTGATCTCGAGATTCTACAAAATACTAAACGTTGCAAAAAATGTGAATATTTCATTGATTTAGTTTTATTTTTTCAGCTTGTCCTTTTATAATCATGATCAACGATCTGCTATAAGGGATTGGGAGAACAAGTGGAAGCATGAGTCTTCACTTTCAGAAACCCGTAGGACTTTGTCTACTACAAATATTTTCAAATCAACTGTTCGTTCTGTCTCGCACTTCTCCGGACGCTTAACTGATTAGCAGTCACTCATACAGTATCTTTTATGAACTTAATAACTAACATTAACTAGATATATTACATTAAAATTAATTTAACAAGACGCCTGTTCTGGCATTAACTCCGGCGCACGTGCCAGTCTTCAATATAGAGCTTCTGAACATAAACAATACAGTTCATAATTCATATTCGCATTTAGATGCCTTGCGAACCTAAATGTTCGATCACGAAATTCAAAAGGACATTGTACTTTAAAAAGTATAGAAGTTCAATTGTTCAAAAATGTAAATAAACCGCATGATATATTCGCTTTGTCTCACACTTTGCCTTTGGAATTCGCGCTTATATAGTTATATAGTTATAGAAATCTACATGTATTAAATATATTCTTACCCCAATTCAATCTAAACTTAGTCGAAAAGCGTGAAAAGAACTGTTTATTTGTTCCTCTTGGAGGAATTGCCGTATCATGCGAGCGAAATCGAATCGCGCATCAAAAAATTAGCCAAAGCTGTGCACCACAACTGCCACAACTCTTAGCAGATAAGACTGGGGCGTAGATAAATACGGTTACATACACATTTTAAATACTAGAATGTTTCGCGCCATTCAGACTTGCGACGACGAAAAATAAAAAAAACAAAAAAAAAACAACAAAACAAAACCAGGGCGAATTTTCAACTCCGTCGCTGACGCCGGAGTAATTATAATGATGGAATGTTGCTGGGTATTCAAACCAACCCTCCGGGGCCAAAGTTCGACTAGTTCGTGGATGCTCGCTCATTTGCTTCTAGCTTCTATTAAAACACATAAATGTTGCACCGACCTTTTGTAATGACCATGCTGTGTTTTGACCAAAACATTCCTTACCACACCATCCTTTCCAGGGTAAACTTCTCCAACTCGGGCTAACTTCCATTTCCCGTGCGGTGTCTCGTAATCGACCATCAAGACCAATCTTCGCCAATCTTCATCTGTCGTTCTTTTAATCGCTATTTTCCTCTTTTCTGCAACGTCGGGAGATACTCTCGAATAAATCTCTTCCAAAATTGCTGAACAAGAGTTGGACAAACTCAAAACCTTCGACTTGAGATTTCACATCTCTCGAATGACCCGTGAGGAACGCTGTTCGATGCTCGACCGATGAGAAAATGGTTAGGGGTAAGGGGTTGTAAATCATTGGGATCGTTCGATGGGTATCCTAAGGGTCTTCCGTTGATCAACGACTTTACTTCGGCAAAAACTGTGTTCATTTCGTTCCAAGATAACCGTTGGCTCCCGATCTACAACAACAAGTTGATGTAGGGTTGCGAAATCTTCGAGCTTCTGTCGCAACTTTGTAAATAGCTCTCTTAATAATCTCTCTGTTCCAACAAACGACGTACCGTTATCGGAAATTATCGTGCTTGGCCAACCATGATGTGAAGCGAATCGTCTCATCGCGTGGAGAAGGGCTACGGCTGACATACTCTCGACGACTTCTAAGTGGATTGCCCGTACTCTAGCACAAGTGAAAATTGCACCCCAGGCTTTAACACTCTTGTTTCTCGAAACCTTAAGACTGAATGGACCGAACAGATCCACGCCAGTTACTGTAAATGGTGGAAAAAGGTTTCACTCGCTCTCGAGGAAGGTCTGCCATCAAGATGGAGTGGGGTCACTGACGAAACTTACGACATATCAATATGAAACTTACGACATAATCCAATACTCACGCCTACTTTCAGAAAGGCTTCTTTCACAGCCAGCGTGACAAACTTTCTCGTGGAATTCTTCCATTATTAACTTTGATACGTGGTGGTTTCCGGGTAACAGGATGGGATGTGTTTGATCACAGGGAAAGGAAGCTCTCTTGAGGCGTCCACCAACTCGGATGATGTCGTTCTCGACGAAGGGTACAAGATCCTTGCAATGATTTTTCTAGTCGACTATCGTGCTCTGTGCTCTTCGAATCCAGAATTCTTTGGCCTCGTTTAATTCACCAGGTTGAAGAGGACCCAACTCTATATTTGACTTATCTTGTACGCTGACTAGAGCGTTGCGACCAAAACGGATACAATAAGCCGTAATTCTGACTAACCGTTGCCAATTTGAATACTTCTTTGGATCAATACATGGGGTTTCGGGATTGACACTGCCTACAATTTTGGGTTTCTTTCTTTCTGTGTCATTTTCTGTATCAGCTTCCACGCTCTCGTTTGGCCATTCACTTTCTGGCAACTTAAGGAATGTCGGTCCTTGAAACCATCGACCATGCATGTCTTTGACTTTTATTCCTCGGCTTAGATCATCTGCCGGGTTCAAGGCAGAAGGAACATGTTGCCAATGACTTGACTCCCACGTTGACTGTATCTCAGCTACACGAACGCCCACGGACGCTTTCAACATTGTAGAATCGGACTGCAACCAATGCAAAACTATCTTTGAATTGGACCACAGCTTAACCACTTCTGACTTCGTCTTAAACTCGTTGTAAATGGTACTTGCCAATCTCGAAGCAACCAATGATGCCATAAACTCTAATCGTGGAATAGTTGCCTGACGTAAAGGGGCAACTCTAACTCTCGAGGCGATTAGACTCACTTTAGGACCTTTGGAAGTAGGCCAGAGAAGATAAGCTACTGCTCCATAAGCTGTAGCACTTGCGTCGGCGAAAACGTGCAATTCAGATGGTCCAGGATTGCAATCTCATTTAACTCTTCTAGCTCTCTGAAAAGTTTACCACAAATCGCGCATTTCATCAGGCAATGGGTCATCCCAGTCGTACTTCTTTGCCTTCCAAATTTCTTGGAGAGCAACTCTTGCCTTGATTGTTACCACGGAGGCCAAACCCAGAGGGTCAAACAGACGTGAAATTCTCGAAAGAACTGTTCGCTTTGTTAACGTTTCTTCGTCATTTCTCTTCTTAACCGAGAAACTAAACTTATCCGACTGCGGATTCCAGTTGACTCCCAGGGTTTTGATTCCCTCTTCACCGTAAAGGTTAACTTCTTTGCCTACTAAACGGCACACATATCCTTCAGAAGTTGTTTGACCCTGCTACTTTAAACGCAAGTCGAACAGGAATTTCTTTAATATTTATTGATAATATATTCTACAGAAAAGATTAAGTTTAACTATATAAGTAAAATGTATAAAGATACATGCATTCCAATCATTTTCTTAGTTCATATATACGATTATTGTGTATGTTTTATAACATTGTAAAGCCTTGCCAATTATTTCAGATAAGTGATAGTTAACTAATATCTAAATTAAAATATTTGTCACTTTTGTGTACATTGTACTGCTGTAGTTTTATTTGCTTGTGTTCTGTTGTTCTTGTGTTGTGTTATACGACCCTATGCCTGTGTGGCAGCACTTCACCTGCAAAAGTAACTTCTAGTTCCATTTGAAAACATCCTTTTTTTCGCCCAATTTGGCGAAAATTTTGTTTGTTTGAAGATGACTGATTTTGCCGAGTGCCTCAAAACGAAACAGGGATAAAAATAATTTATTATCCCACAAATGCAACATGCTTTGTTACTCTTTGCTTTACCGGCAAAGGTCGAAAATATCGATACGTGCTGACAAAATTCCCACGTTTTGCCTTTTTAATATACCCTTGGAAGATTCCCTATTTGGACCTCCAATCTGGTAAATAATAGGATTTTTTTTCTTGCGGTCCGAATTCATATTTTAGCGTTGGCTCTGTGCTTCCGCCACTGGCTTCCGCACGGCTTAACACGGACCGCTCGCGTAGCCAATCAGATTGCAGGAAACGCTAAAATATGTATGTTTTTTTCCTTTATATCAAAACACTTAATGTGTGCTTCCGAGGGAAATAGTGAGTTTTGTTTTCCTTCGAGAGAACAAAACTCACTATTTCCCGAGGTAGTGTATATATTTCACTGATCAGTAGCGTAGCCAGACTGACGATTTGTCCCGCTATGCTAATATTTTGGTGTTTATTGTCACGTAACCACGAAACCGGCGTTTTCGAAAAGCTCCACTCTGGAGAGCGTTTTTGAAAACCCGTTTTTGTCCGTCCACACGTAAACACGAAACCGGCGTTTTTGAAAAGCTCCACTCTGGAGAGCGTTTTTTAAAACCTGCGTTTTCGCCGGGTTACCGAAAACGCCGGTTACGTGTGGACGCAAGGCTAAAACGGATAAAAAAACCTCCGTTTTAAAAAATATTTGTCATTATTTGTTTATTTTTGTCATTATTTGTGGCTGCTCAAATGCCGTTTAAAGTTAGTACTATTTGTTTAGATTGTTTCAAAATTATGTTCAATGAGACTTTGGGAAATACTTGAGACCTTGGGAAATACTTCTCTATACGGACCTTCAATCTGGTCAATAATAGACTTTTTTTCGACTTCGTCTCGTAAGGGGCTGTTTACATGAGCCCGGTTACCCGAGATTCAATGAAGCGTGAGAGGACTTTGAGGTATTGAAATAAGTCTTTATGACACCAAACAAGCACATGCTATTGTTGTGGTGATTGTACGACTGCCATTATCTGCTCATTTCAATACCTCAAAATTCACTCACCCTTCGTTGAATCTCGAGTAACCGGGCTCATGTAAACAGCCCCTAAGTGTATAATATTTCACTGGTCAGTAGCGTAGCCAGCCTGACGATTTGTCCCGCTATGTTAATATTTTGGTGTTTATCGACTGTGAAAACAATGAATTTCTAAACAAATTAATAATTATAATAACACGAAATTTACATAGCGGGACAAAATCGTCAGACTGGCTAAGCCCCAAAACGCTTGTCGTGTATACCGGCCTTAAGTTATAGATAATTATTCGCGTATATTATTGATTGACCATAAAATCGAGTCCATTTGATTAACATCCACAGTTGGCATCTTCCTTAATTCTGGATTTGAGCCTTTCAATAATAGGAGCCATTTTTTGTTTGTATTTTTCCGATTCAAACTTTTTTTCGAGGTCTTCATCAAGTTGCTTCAGGGAGTAGTGGCATCCCACAACGTCATAACCATGGTTGTCATTTACATTCTATATAATGATAAAAACATCATTAGCATAATATATAGAGATCATCGGACACGTTGTTTTAACGTTTTTATAATCGGCCATTGTTGATAGATATTGTTTTGCTAAGCGTGAACAAAAGACACAATTGTTAAATATAGTCCATTTTAATTCGAAATAAACCAAATAATCTAACAAAATTATCTTATTTAAAAATTATAATTGTTTACCGTTTCCTTCCCTTCTGGTAATGTTTCTTTTGCCTTTTTATTGGATCTCAAGGAATAAGGCAACTGTTTAAACACCTAAAATTAAAATTATATGATGTATGGGGAAAACTGAAAAGATCGTTTTCCCTTGGCGAGTGGTTTTGCTTCTGATTGCTGACTATAGTAGGCCCTACCTCCTTACCACAATGCAAGTATGTCATGACAAGCGACATGAATTTCTATATTTCTAATATGAACTATGGGGTTAAACGTACCTTTGCAATTGGTTCTGACTGTGACGCATCGGCTTCTGTACATGATTTTTGGCCAAGAACCTCGATCTAGAGTTGTTATATATTAATAATATTCTTGTATGTTCGCATGGTGACAATCGATAAGTAATTAAGCTTGTAGGTACACCACGTAAGTATTTACGTGGTGTACCTACAAGCTTAATTACTTGTTATATATACTTGTTTCAATTGCATGAATAAGAGCAAACAATATGACTGGGAATATTAAAGATTTTGCTCTCTCTTTTACAATTCGCTAACTCCTATTTATAGCTTATCACTTTAAAGAAAATGAGGTTAGATTAATGGCTATATATGTATTGTTTTTCGTTGTGTAGCAACGATTTACTCCAGGCTGGTATCATCACCAAGTTTGATACACCTGATGTCATCAAGTAAAACTTCAAGCTAAAAACGTCAGTCAATGCGAAGGGCATGCATCACTATAACATATACAATTGTTTTACCCTTTCTCTGGCTAATCTTTTCCTTCGTGATCCCTTTTCATTGGACCTCAAGTAATAACTCGACTGTACAAAGAAATAATACACATTTAAATAAAATATTATACATAAGGTATATATATATGTATATATATATACCGTTACTTCCGCCCTTTCTTAATTGGTGTAGTTCACTTCTCGTCTCTATATCTTTTTCGTTAATTTAGTACACTACGAGGACTCAACAACTGATATGAAAAATTACATTATTAGAAACAAATTTGAATTTAAAAAAAAACTTTTTGCTGCAGGAAAAATATTTTTATCTTCTAATATCTGCAATCATACTGTACATCACGAACGGCTCTTATTACACTGTCTTTGTGTTCAGTGGTAGACTGTGCACAATTTACCGTTCATAAAATCAAGAAGGGCAATTTGATGTCAGAAAAATGGAACATCGCTTTAAAGGAAGGACACATTATCTCCAGCACAAAAACGTAGGGGGGGCAGCATGTTTCTACCACTGATGTCCCACCTCCGTTTGACGGCCTTTTCTGATCAGTGTCATGAGTATGAAGATTTTAATACCGTTTCATCTTCCGTTTCTTGTCGTCCTCGAATTGTTTCATCTGATGTTCGATCTGCGTCATTCAGCAAATCCCGGGTTTCCTAAGAAATATCAATGTGTGTGAATAAAAAAATTTGAAATTCTCACATGTACGCAAAAAGGCTTGTTAGTAGGCGTCGTTTCTATATCTTTCAGTTGCTAACCAATAACGACTTTAACGACCGATATAAAAAATGACACCAAGAAAACTGAAAAAAAACAATTTTTATCAACACACAATGAAAGAGCTTGCTGGAAACAAATTTGGAATTTAAACTTTCTGAAGCAAAATTTTATTCTTATCTTCTAACGTTTGCAATCCTGTTTTACATCACTAATGGCTTTTATTCCACTGTGTCTATGGTATGTGATATAGGCTATGTGCACACGGTAACGTTTTCGAGCGTTTTCTGATCAGTGTCATAAGAGTGAAGATTTGTTTAATACCATTTCTCTTTGCGATGATTCTTCTGATCTTCGAGATTCGTCAACAAATTTTTCGTTTTCTTCAACCCTTTTGGAGGGATTTCTGTTACTGTCTGGTCTCCCATTTCTTATTCCACGCAGCCTGGTACAACCGTATGATCGAACATCGAAGGATAGCCCAGCGTTTAGACCATCTCCTTCCGTCGACTCAGCTAAACATCTCCGCGCTGCTTCGCAAGGATCTTTTGGACCGTCAGAAAATAACGTCACCTGCATTAGGCAGAATATTATAGGCTTACTATATATGTCACAATAACTATAGAATATGACGATATCTTCCCTTTGTTGTTGCGTTATCAGTTTTGTAAGTTTGAGATATCAATAGGAGCAAGCAGTGTAGGATATATTATATTCTAAGTTATAAAGACATGTCTTTATGCATAAACTGGAGTCTTGGGTAAAGTAGATAAGTAGTTTTAAAAATCTAACTAATAACCATTTTGCGGGTCTGGAAACTAGTTGAAAATGGACATTATATTAGCAATATCTTCATGAATCAATCATGACACTTGTTTGATGTTTGAGCATGTGTAATCTTGAAACTTTGGCGAAACATTTGTCCGAATTATATTTGTATATTAATTTTGTATGTTTTAGACTGCATGCTTGTAGACATTTAGGTTAGGTTAATAATTGTAACTAATATTAGTGTAATAAGAAACGGCTCCTTGAAAATCAGATATAACTGAAGGACTACCGTTTTCAAATAATTGTATGATAATAATAATAATAATGCTCTTGTTGAAATAACGATGATATAGAATATATGAAATATAACAACATATATATAGTTGGAAGAAATTTTTTCAGTTTTGAACGGTTGATTCTTTAATCGGCAGATTTTACGGAATCTTGTATGCACTGTCTCTATATGAAATATTTTTCTGGCTTTATTGTTTACGGTTTCTTCTCTTCCCTAGCTCGGAAGTAAAAAATATGCGAAGGGCAAACAATTAATATTATTTTACTGATATATATAAAGCCCCGTTCAAACTACATAAAAATGCAAATAACCCGGATTAGAATCAACTTAGTTTGACGTAGTAAACTTAAAGTCGGTCAGTACTTACCTTTCCTTTATAAAAAGAATTTGAGAGATTATTAATAATAACAGGCACAACCTTAAGTGTTGCCATATCAGTAACTGTGTTCAATTTTCCTCTCTTGCCTTTAAGCTTTTGTTGTGCTGATTTCTTACTGATTAACTTGAGACGAAATATTGGTTACTGAAGCGTAAGATTAGTTTACCGCGTAGTTGCGAACCGGCTCGGTCTGTATTTTGGCAGTTTCGCTTCGATCTGCAGTATGTTTTAATTCATGAATTTTTAAACATTTGCTGGCAGTGACAATATATAATAGCGCTGTTTGACTGTATTTAGCAATTCATGAGAATATTTTCTGGTAAATAAAATGTGTTTTGGTTTTCTTCAGTCATTCTTTGCATTAGGGTTATGCGGTCAATTACGCAGATGTATATCATTCACTTACCACTATAATAAGCATGCTGCACCAGAAGACTTACCCCAAATATATGAAAACGAAAACTACCTTTTTCAAAATTTTAATTAATATTTCGGTGTGAGATTGTCTCATTAGGATCTCAGCAGACACCCTCCTGTTTTTATATTATTGTTGAATCTCTCAAAATTGTCGAAATTTTTCCCAAATATTATATGAGGGACGTGGAATTCTTTTAGAATACAATAATTATTTCACAAATCATTGGATCACACTGCATCAGTTTTGTTCAGTGATTCATTTGATGATTTATGAATTTTTTGTTAGTGCATGACGCTGCATGACGTAATCATCTATTCATACGCGTCATTTGTTGATTTCGGTTTTTATATGTCGACCTTGCTCAACGACGAATTATACAACAAACTTACGACATAGGACAAGGACGAATGTTGACCTATACACAATACCAGCCAGATCTCTATTTTTTAACGCTCATCGCAGGCGCCGCGGCAGCTTAGGAATTTGCGAAAGGGAAACTCGACGTTTAACTGAACATTTAACAACGTGCTGAGCCTGACGCATAGCTTACCGCAGCGTGGGCCGTGCATGGAGCGGTAGGTAAAAGAGCCTGGCTTGCGACGTTGGCATAGATATTGAATCACTTCAGTTTAATTTTTCAAGCCTGGCTCTAGTTCAAGACCCATATTTAGTCCGTACAATAAACCTTTATAAAACGTTTGTGTTATGACGTTTTTGCTGACAAAGCAGGTTTTTCGATCATGCCACCAGGAACTCGCTTTGTCTTGTTCCAACTGTGGACACTATTATTGGTTTCTGAACAAAGTCACTGACGCGAGTCTTGTGTTTTGCATTGAAGCGCCTGCGCACGAATTTGATTTGACGGTTATTTTAGACCTTCCTTCGAAGAAGAAAATCCCGCCGGGTTTATCCAAATACCATCCATGGATCAGATGTCCAGGGGGCGATGGGCCTCCTAAACTCAGGGCTATGCCTCCTAAACACCCATTTTGCTATTTCCTCAATAACACATGAAAAGCAGGCTATGTGTACGTACACGAGCGGCGTTTTCGAGCGTTTCAAAATCGTTTTTGTCTATTTTATTGTGTTAAATTAGCTTTAGACTCTCTTGGAAATTGGCGGTGTTTGAAACGGTGAAAACGTGAAAACGCTCAAAAAAGTTACCGTGTGTACATAGTCGCAGTTTGTCAATTCTCTTGATAGAATCTGGTATCATTTTTCAAACTATATAGCGCAAATAGCTAACAACACTGATTGGTTATTTTGGTTTCGGGTTCCAGTCCTCGCGCGTTCATGGCGGGATTTGTGAATTACTAAATTGTAAACATTACTTTAATAAATCAGGAGGATTTCAAGATTTTACTATGATTTTACTATGAGACTTTCTCTTAACAAGAGTGGAAATGCTCCGAAGAAGTAAGTCTGTGAATTTTATTTAATGCATTTAGAAAAGCCTTTTAAGTGGAAATTGTTTTTATATTGCATCGAAATGTATATTCATCGCAGAAATGAGAAATGGTTTCAGTGTATTAAGATATTTGATTTATCTTTAGCCCTTCTTCTCAAAACAAAACGAAATCAAATAACTCGGGATCATCAAGCACGATATTCTCCAACTTCTTTATTAAACCGAAAGATAAGAAGTCCGAATATGGTGATAAATCTATTAAAGAAAGGGATACGACCAGAAAACATGGTTTCACCGTGCCTTTCTCTAAACCAGTAAAACCACTTCGGGGAAATGAAATCCCCTTTGGTAAAGCAACCATTTTTCGAAAAATTGACAAGTAAGTTGTGTAATAAGCATGTTTCATAAGGATTAATGAGGTGGCTTCAGCAAAATGAGCCTACAAGTTATGTTACTTATAGTTATTATTTCCATAGTCAATAGTCATAAGGTAGGGTTGATGGATCCAACCTTACCTGGTAGGGGTGCTCCATTGTGGGTTGTTCATGGGATGTGTGTATCATTACCATAAATGTTCTAAGTACATATTGTGACCCTCACCTGGGTCAAAACCTGTCACATGCCCCTCTCCTAAATGTATATACCTGCACCCACCTTCCCTTTTATAGTGAAATAATGTTGCGTTAATCTGAACTATACTTGGTTTTTTATCATTCTTTCTATAATAAATACAGAGAAAATAAAATTCCAAACCAAGAATCTGATAATAGATCACGGCAAACACAACCTTGGAATCTGGAGTCAAATATTTCAGAATGTAATGATTTTGATGAATGTCCTAAGCAGGTTAGATTTAGTTGTTTACTGGGTGTAATAATATGGCATGAAGCAGTATTAATTTTGGGAACTGGTAATGTTCTTGATGAAGGATATTTGTTCATGATTTGTTTGTGTTTAGAAAGGTGAAACTACTCAGTCATCTAAGAGAACATTTAGTGAGTTTGATGATGTTGGTTTTGGCTTAGAACCTGAGCTTAACAGGCAACCTCGAAATGAGTGTAAACGTTTGAAAACGGACATGGTATGGCCATGTGATGTTCAAGATAATGATGACGAAGATGTTGGTACCATGATGGGTGGGTTATTTAAATATTAACTTCTTACAGTACCAGAATGCATTGAACAAACCAGCATGCAGGGAGATATCAGAAAGTGAATAAATGTACAGTTGGACACAAAATATGATACTCAGCTTGTTTATTATTTCATAATTCTAGGCCAGGAACTTTTCAACGACGTTGAAGAAAACAACAATTCAATCAACAACAATGACATTTATAATTGCAATATCGATGGATATGCCGAAGATCCTGAGGTAACCTGCTGTTGATTACAAGTCAACCCATCTTCGATTATAGTATACTGTATGAAACAACTTAGACTTGTACGGCACTTGATCTCTATGATGATAAAATAGTCTCCTTTATTCATCCTGATAGCTAGCCCCAAACCACACCTCAATCACCTCTGATAACAACTCCAATCCTTAGCAGTTTCTATCGGCTTGCCTAGCTCTCTGAGTAAAGATTCTGAGTACAAACTTAGGACTTGATTCTTATCATGTTTGGCAAGTTCCCTCAATTAACACTATGGCTGATTTCAAGAAACCAGGATAAAAACGTACCCACTGAGAAAAATTTGTGATCTGATCAAGCATCTTTTCTCCATAATCTAGTCTGATTTTGATTTCATCGCACCAAGCCCAAGATCACCAGAGTATTTATCACCCGATGATTCTCCACCATATTTCAATGACATCGACACAGAAGAGTAAGTTAATTAAGTGAAGGCTGATGAGATTAAAACAATATGGACATAATTTTGGTTTGTGTATTTGATATAAACTTGAGTATAATGCTTTCCTAAAGCAAATTTGGTAAGCAATACAATCTTTTGTTCTGTGATTCTCTTAGTTCCTTACCAGAGACTGTCACCAGGCAGAAAGAAGGAATGGTGACAGAAGTTGATTTCACCTGCGACAGAATACAAGCTGATGAAATCAAGGAAGATATTAATGAATACGATGAGGTAAGTTTATTGTACATACGTTTCCACACTTAAATAATCGAAATCTTCAACAACATTACATATTGTGATGGTGCCACACTGAGTTACATCCCAGGCAAGCTGAAAATTAGCTTGAACACGCTGTGAATCAAACCCGTGACCTTTGGTTCACTGGTCCATCACGCCATTACACATCTTTTCAGTTCAAACATCGGCGATCCGAGAAAGCCGAGGAAACTCTTGACGCAAAGTTTGAGAAATCTTCCTCAGACTACATAGCCGTGTTGGAAAAGATTGCAGATACCTTTAAGGCTTTCGACCAAGATTTACTGCTAAATTTGTTGGGTGAAGACGAACACGAAGAATACAAGAAAAACCAAGTTGAAAGGTAAGTTATAAGAAGAAGTTTAGTTCCTGGCTGAACGATATAGTATGTGGATTTTTTCCAATTTACCCATTTCTCCTTTGATCATTCTCAGGAACAGATTGAGAGCCCAAAGGAGGAGATTGAGTATAAGAATAGAAGAGAAACGTCGATCAATCGGACAGAAGTCTTCGCAGCAAACTGGAAACGGTGAGACTCCTCATGCATTTAAAGATGGTCTTTAATCATACTATGATAGCTAAGATGATAAATATATGCTGGGTTAGTGACTGACGAAACAATCTTAACAAACAGTTTCTTGTATCTTTTCTGTATGCAGGATGGTTATTACAGAACAGTACCAGCACTATCACCTCATCAAGACGTGCTTCAGATGGCGACGTCCTCCCCCTCTGTGGTGATAGTTTCTTTGATAAATCTCCCCCCGTCTTGCAGCCTGACTCGTCGCAATTATCCAAAGTCTCTGCAAACTCTCACGCGAGTTTCACTCCACAAACGTCCAAGTCTCGATCCACAACCCCATCATTTCCATCGACATGGCGGACGAACACTCCTGCATTTCAAAATCGAAATAAATCAAATGTTATTGATATAGAAGATTACGAAGATCAAGAAGATCAACCCCCCGGTACGGGTACTAATGCCAATACGTCGTCTACAACATCGGCACGTTTTTCAGGGGGGAGTTGTGAAGCATCTCAAACAAATAATGGTAGTAAAGAAAAAGCGTCCACTGTCGGGCAACGTACAACGAGTGCTCAACCAAAGAAGACTGGTAACTCATTACCAGATGATGGTTATCGAGGCGAGTGAACTAGTAACAGAGTTTGCACGATTTTATATCAGAGTCATACTTTGTCCCAAAACTATGTCATTATGCGGACATTTCGTAAAGGTCTATATGACATAATACAGGTTCGACTACTGAGTTATCAGGTGGGTGCCAATCAATGCTAAATTATTCTTACATTCCAACTTTTCTATTCCTCAGATGAGTTTAAGAGAACAGATTACGCCTTCACGCAGGAGGTGAACAGGACCCTAAGACGAACATTTGGTCTGAAGTGTTTTCGTTTCAACCAACACGAAGCGATCACCGCCGCTTTGCTCAAAAGGAATTGTTTCATATTGATGCCAACCGGGGGAGGAAAGAGTCTCTGTTATCAATTACCTGCTGTTGTAACTGACGGGGTAACCATCGTTGTCTCCCCCCTGAAATCTTTGATACAAGATCAAGTGATGAAACTCAGTTCAAATCATGTAAGAAGAACATAAATCTTTTATATTCATATTGCAATATAACCAAGGAGCAGCGTGGCAGCGTCTTCAAACAACTTAGCATCAAATGTGGTATAACAGCTGCCTAAATAGACAAAACACTTCTCGACGTTTCGACCTGAGGGCCTTCGTCAGGAGAGTTACTGCTTTTATATTCATATTGGGTTAAGCAGTTAATATTCCTGGGAGTCGAGCTTTTTCAAAATTCCTAAGGTTGTGTTGTTTTTTTTTGTTACGTGTAGCTCAGTAAATAATTGTATTTTGCAGATTCCAGCGCATCAGATGACCGGTGAAACATCGGCAAACGTCGTGAACGCCATCTACCGAGATCTTCACAGTGTTTCTCCTCAAACTAAGCTTCTCTACGTGACGCCAGAAAAACTTAGCGGGAGTGGGAGGCTTTCAGACGCACTGGAGAGTCTCTACGGTCGTGGAAAGCTGGCCAGATTTGTAATTGACGAGGCGCACTGCGTCAGTCAGTGGGGCCATGATTTTCGCCCTGATTATAAAAAGTTGTCGGCGTTAAACGAGAAGTTTCCTCTCGTTCCCATGATGGCGGTGACCGCAACAGCAACGCCTCGTGTTCGCACAGACATTGTCACGCAGTTGAGAATGAAAGAACCCATGTGGTGCGTTTGAAGCATTGGATTTTTAGAGACCAGAGTTCAATTGAGTTCTAATCTTCTTGTCTGGCACTTTCAAATGAAACTTTACAAGATTGGTTCCCTCTTCATATAATATTTTCCGTGTGCTGGTGGACCTTTGGGGAAGAATGTTTAAAATAGTTATTTTCTTTTCCAGGTTCAGCCAGAGTTTCAACCGTCCAAATCTGCAGTTCCTGCTTCGTCCTAAGAAAGGCAAACTAGCGGAGCAAATTACGGAAATTATCAAGGCAAACCACGCGATTGATTCAGGCATTATCTATTGTCTATCCAGGTTAGGACAACAAGAATATTTGGACAGACTTCGTCGTGTTAATTAAGCGTATTTAATGCAAAATACTTGCTTCGGTAGCAAGATTTGCGTTCATTGATATATATATATTTCATCATCTTATTTTTCCATACTAGGAACGATTGTGACAATCTGGCCGATAATCTTCGTCAGACTGGGATTCAGGCCACTGCATATCACGCGGGCTTGTCTGATTTGGAACGTAAACGCACTCAAGAGGACTGGATACGAGACAGATGCAAGGTACATACTTGCTCAATACTGCATTGCAACTGTGTATCTAAAGGCGATTACTTTAGACAACGATATGTGGTACTAACCTTCTTTTAGAATACGATGGAACATGTTTGACTGTGAACATCCTGTTGTTTTTTACAATACAATGTTCAGTTAACGATATTGTTTTAGGTTTTGAGTCTGTGCACATCACTCCATATATTTTCTTTATCCAGGTGATCTGTGCGACAATCGCGTTCGGGATGGGAATAGACAAGGCTGATGTGCGATTTGTCTTTCACCATTCGTTGCCCAAGTCGCTTGAGGGTTACTTTCAGGAGTGTGGTCGCGCTGGCAGAGATGGCCAGAATTCTGTATGTATCCTGTTCTACAACTATGGAGATGTGCATCGTTTGAAAAGGTGAGTTGATGCAATGAATGTGGTACACTCGTATTCATTTACCTCATTCACAAGGAAGAAAAGAACTCGGCCTACAGTTATTTGACTCTGGCAAAAACAGTGCTTAGTCAGTTAGTCTCTAATCTTTGTTATTTGAGTTTGATTCCCGCTTATGACATTTGACCATTATCCTTACTTCACCCAGAATGGTCCTATCAGACAAAACAAATACCCAGGCATCCATAAATGTACACATGAACAACCTCTACCGTGTTGTCCAATACTGTGAAAACGTGACAGAATGCAGGCGTGCGCAGCTCCTGGAGTACTTTGGAGAGACTGGATTCGACACTGCTGAATGCCACAATAACCAGTCCACGATCTGTGACAACTGCTCAAGCGCTGACCAGGTTAAAAAGCAAGATGTTACACCACTTGCCAAGTTGATTGTTGAGTCTGTGAATACGTTGATCCATAAAGGAAATGGCAACTGGCAACGTCCTATGGCTCAACTGACATTGAAACATCTGGTTGACGTGTTTAAGGTAAGATTAATTCTTTCACTAATTTTGACAGAAGGTGGTTTTATTAATGTCGAATTATAATGCCAGGATTCTCAAAAGGTACCTTCATCGAAATTGGAGTGAAATTGGTAGCACTCGATCTTCTCGGGTGTAAAAGTGCAACGGAGTCAAACCTCACAGGAATCAAACTTCAGTTCAGTCACAGAGATGAGAGCCATGAACTAATGACCACTGTGTTTGGTAGAGTCAAACTGAAAGCACTCTTTTCACATGTGACTGAGATGAACTGATTTGATCATTACAAGAGGCAGTTTAAATCTTAGTCACAGAGATCAAAGTGGACTTATTTTTCCTTTTACTCCACCAGGGTAGTCAGAACGCCAAGGTTGATCGTGAGAAGCTCAACCGTTGTGTGATGTACGGGAAGGCTGGGGATAGTTTATCTCGAAATGATGCAGAACGATTGTTTCGTATGCTGGTAATGAAAGATATCCTCATCGAAGATTTGACTGTTGGGCATCATTCACAAGTCATCGCTTACGCCAAGCTTGGGCCGAAAGCGATGGAATTTCTAAACGGTCGGGTGAAGGTGAGAGGCATTTCTACTGATCAAAGAATTGTTGATGGGATAAGATGCCTCAATATGTGTCCGAAATTTCGCCAGTAAATCACGAACCAAAAACCAGTTGACTTTCGTCTTTAACAAGAGCTGCTTACGCCATTTGGCCAGCGTTAATCAATGTGCCTTTTTCAGCTTCCGCCATTTTTCACACGAGACAAGAAATCCTCCAAAAGTGGCACGGTTCCCAAAAGTGACGTCCCAAGCAATGTACACGTGACAAACACGTGTTACGAACAACTAGTCGCGTGTTGTAAGAGAGTTGCTGAAGAGGAGGGGCTGAAACCACATCACATTTTCGCCGACGTCACTCTCCGACTGATGGCCGACAAACTTCCGATGACGCGCGAGGAGATGCTTGATATAGAAGGAGTAACGGAGTACAAGATGGAGACATTTGGATCGCATTTCTTAGAGGTCAGTAACCCCCTCTAGGGTAAGAATAAGTAAAGTTCGTTTAGTTTAGGTTTCCTCTTGTAGTAACACTGGTTCAATAAGAGATGATCCTTACTGGACCTTTAGGGAAAACAGTTTGGAACTGATAGTCCCTCGTCATTTATTTTTTTTTCAGTTAACACTAGCGTATGCCGGAGCGGCAATATTTACATCCGAAGATAATATGATCAGTGATGGCGATGATATGATGGAGGCTGGGAGACAGGACAATGAAGACGATTGTGCATCTCCTTACTGGGCGGCAGCCGGCATTAATTTTACCACCTCTAACGGAAAATCGAAAAAGTTTAGGCGGAAACGAAATTTTAATGGGAAAAAGAAAACGAAAACTCGGTATGATTTATATTGTGTAATGTGAATCTAATCTTGAGATTTCTCTTCGTCTTTTCCTGACCTTCCTGTATCCATCCAGGTGCGATGATCTCACATACAAACGTTAAATATTTCCATTCTATTTTAGATCAAAAAACAATAAGACTGACGCCAAGAAGACTGACGCCTCTTCCTACAACGCCAACAATCACATCAGCAATCCTACAGTCAACAAGTATCGATTTCTCGAAGAAACGAAATCTTGGTTCGGGCAGAAGATTGCCAGGATTCCTGAGCATTCCTGCGAAAAAATGAACCATCCTGGTAGGAACTCGCCAACCAAGGTCAGTCACGTTGCTGGCTTGACTGCAGAGGTCATGTGACAGTTCTGTATTCACGTCCTTCCATCGATGCACCTAATCCAGTGAACTCACTTAATCTGCCAAGTTGCTATGGAAACAATGACGAATACGCTTGCGAGTTGCGAAGCTATGCCAAAAATTGTTTGTCCTTTCACAGCCAGGACGTGCGAAATCTTCATTGCGAATATAAAGAGTAATCTTTCATACTCATCGATTAAACCATAAGCCAAATCAAACAAGATGCCAGAGTTTATTATAACTGATTTAGCTAAGACCTTGGGATAATAAGAATTAAATATGAAACGTTTTGACCTGAGCATTCTAAGTCTTAAAAACAAACATGTGTGGGCAAGCTTCCCTAACAAGTGTACGTTAAGTTTTTCCTGTTTTGAAAGTTATGAAAAAGTGCCACTTCTTAATATTACGACATGTACGTTCATAAATATAGCGCGTCTTTTTCATGTTAATCAAAAATTTTTAAGGGAAAATTAAAAAAAGCGAACACAAGGGTGTGTTTATACGACAAGTAAAGTTGCATCCCTTCTGGTGTGGGTTTTTCTTAGCAGAAGTTTACTACGAATGTTATAATAAAAAGTAGTTTTTAGTAGGATAACTAGGATTACATAATTTACATTTGGCCTTGAGCATGCGCAAATTGCTAACAACACTGATTGGTTATTTTGGTTTCGGGTTCCAGTCCTTGCGCGTCGTTCATGGCGGGATTTACAAATTCCAAAATTTTACTGAATAGCAATCATTACCTTGATAAATCAGGCAGAATGAACAAGCGTGTTGCAGCTGCTCCGGAGAAGTAAGTCTTTGAATTTATTTAATGTAGTTAGAAAAGCGTTTTAATGAAAGTTTATATATCATCGCAGAAATAGTGTTGAAGTATGGTATTTGATTTATCTTTTGGCGTTTGCCCTTCTTCGACGAAATTAAAACATGGCGCACACGTGCCTTTCAGTGGTGCCTTAATCTAATCCACTTCGAGGAAATAAAATCCGGCAAACGCGAACCATTTTTCAAAATAATGACAATTAAGTTGTGTATCAGCATGTTTTAATAAGGTTGCTTCAGTGATTTACAAGTTATGTTACTTTAGTTATGTGTATCGTTACTACAGGGCGTATCAAAAAGAAGGTAATCGAACTTTGGCGCGCTATTTGTACGTGAACTATTCATTCTATTAACGAATTATTTTCACATTCCGAAAGGTTAGGCTTTTAACTATCGAATGACATGTTTTTGATACCAAATGGTGAAAAAATGAGCAAATACGAGGCTCATAAAAAGTGTTATTTAAAATCGCATATTTTCACCTCTGAGAGTTGGGACTAAAACCATTGAAAATTAACTACCTTTGGGACTTAATTGAAGAATTTTGCTTCGGAATAAACTACCGGCATATGCATATTAAGTAGAAATAAATCACATCAGGAGAACATTCCAAGCAATGCGGCATAAAACCAGTGCAAGCTGTGACGTGTTCGTGGTTAATTGTTTTTTCTTTTGTTATGCACTGCTTTAATTAGGGTCAAAGTTGAAAATATGCGATTGCGACTAACATATTTTTTATCAGCCTCGTATGTGCTCAATTTTTCCCCATTTGGTACTAAAACCATGTCATCCGATAGTTAAAAGCCTGATCTTTCCGAATGTGAAAAAAATTCGTTCATAGACTGAGTAGTTCAGGTACAATACCGTGTTGAAGTTGGATTACCTTTTTTTTATACACCCTCAGTGTATAAACCTTAGAGAGGGAGCCTGATGATTTAACACTTGTATTTCATTTCATCCATCATATTTCCTCCTCTTAAGTACACAGTGGCCCTAACCTCGAAGCAGGTCTTCCCACCTTCCCTTTTAGTGAATATAATTGAACTATATTAATCTATACTATACTTATTTTGACAAAAACTGATCTCAATTGATACCCTGGTTAAGATCAGATTGATTGATCAATTAATCAAACTATAATCAAAAATTAATTAATCAAATATAATGAAAAATTTTCAAAATATATTGCATATTAATATTATATCATTATTGATATGATATATTAAGTAATATTTATCATTCTTTCCATAATATATACAGAGAAAATCAAATTCCAAAGCAAGAAACTGAATGTCCTGAGCAGGTTAGAAGCAGTACTATAAGTGTGGGAACTGGTAATGTCCTTGATGTTCGAAGGATATTTGTCAATGATTTGTTTGTGTTTAGAAAGAGGAAACTACTCAGTCATCTAAGAGAACATATAATCAGTCTGATGATGCTTGTTTTGGCTCAGAATTTGGACTTAACAGCCAGGTAAAGGTCTCAAGAACAGCCCGAGATATTAATGAATACGATGAGGTAAGTTTATTGTAAATACATTTTCATGGTTAATTTCAAGAAACCAGGATAAAAACCCACTGAGAAAAATTTGTGATCTAATCGAGCATCTTTTCTCCATAATCTAGTTTGATTTTGATTTCATCGCACCAAGCCCAAAAACACCAGAGTTTTTATCACCCAATGATAATTCTCCACCATATTTTGATGACATCGACGTACAAGAGTAAGTTAATTAAGTGAAGGCTGATGAGATTAAAACAATATGGACATAATTTTGGTTCGTGTATTTGATATAAACTTGAGTATAATGCTTTCCTAAAGCAAATTTGGTAAGCAATACAATCTTTTGTTCTGTGATCGTTTTAGTTCGTTACCAGAGACTCACACCAGCCAGAAAGAAAGAATGGTGACAGAAGTTGATCTCACCAGTGACAGAATACAAGCTGATGAAATCAAGGAAGATATTAATGTATATGATGAGGTAAGTTTAATTATAATTATAAATACTTTCCAGACTTAAATAATCAAAATCTTCAACATTACATATTGTGATGGTGCCAAAATTAGCTTGAACACGCTAGGAATCAAACCCACGAACTTTGGTTCACTGGTCCATCACGCCATTACACATCTTTTCAGTTCCATCATCGGCGATCCGAGAGAGCCGAGGAAACTCATTTTTTATGTGAATTTTCTGCTATGCGAATTACTATTTTTCATATAGACTTTTGAGAAATGAACTTTTCCTATAGACTAACCTTCAAGAAGAAAATGTGGAAATTAATGATTTTCAAAGATCATCTGCAGATCATGAGTTCATGCAGAAACAAGACAACCAGCTTGACGCAATGTTTGAAAAATCCTCCTCAGACTACATCGCAGTGTTGGAAAGGATTGCGGATTCCTTCAAAGCTTTCGACCATGATTTTCTACTGAATCTGTTTGGTGAAGAGAAACACGAACAGTACAAGAAAAACCAAGTTGAAAGGTAAGCTACAAGAAGAAGTTTAGTTCCTGGCTGAACGATAGATAACAGTATGTGGATTTTTTCCAGTTTGCTCAATTCTCCTTTGATCATTCTCAGGAACATGTTGAGAGGCCAAAGGAGGAGATTGAGTCTAAGAATAGAAGAGAAACGACGATCAATTACTTGCCTGTCGCAATTATCCAAAGTTTCTGCAAACTCTCACGCGAGTTTCACTCCACAAACGTCCAAGTCTCGATCCACATCCTCATCATCTTCATCGACCTGGCGGACGAACACTCCTGCATTTCAAAATCGAAATAAATCAAATGTTATTGTTATAGAAGATGACGAAGATCAACCCCCCGGTACAGGTACTAATGCCAAGACGTCGTCTAGAACATTGGCACGTTTTCCAGGGGGGAGTTATGAAGCATCTCAAACAAATAATGGTAAAAGAAAAAAGAAAAAGAGAAAGGGCAAACGAAGGTTTTATGCAGGAACAAAAACTCGGTATGGTTATTGTGTAATACGAATCTAATCTTGGGAAAAAAATAAATAAATAAAAATAGAAAAAGATTTTTCTTCGTCTCTTCCTGTATCCATCCAGGTGCGATGATCTTACATACTAACGTTAAATATTTTCATTCTATTTTAGATCAAAAAACATTAAGACTGAAGACAAGAAGACTGACGCTTCTTCCTACAACGCCAACACTCGCATGAACAAACCTATCGTCTACAAATACCGATTTTTCTCGAAGAATCGAAATCATGGTTCGGGCAGTAGTTTGCCTGGACTGAGCATTCCTGTTAAGAAAGAACCATCCTGGTAGGAACTGGCAAATTTCATGTGACAGTTCTGTATGTACGTCTTTATATCGATATACTTAGAGGCTGTTCACATGATCCCGGTTGAGAGATTTAACAAAGCGTACAATGGATTTTGACGGCTATTGAAATGAGTAAGTAACACGATTCTGGTAGTCTTGTGATCATCCTAACAATAGCATGTGGTTTTTTTCAATACTTCTCAAAATCCAAAATCCATTCTAAACGGGCTCATGTGAACAGCCTCTTAATCTGCCAAGTTGCTATGGAAACAGTGACGAAGCTATGCCAAAAATTGTGTGCCCTTAAGGCAGTGTGCAATTCTATGCAATTTTTCTTGCAACTTGCAATGCAATTCTACTTTTTAAGAGATGTAAATTAGTGAGGAGGCTTCAAAGTTCAAAATGTAAGTGTAACTGAGAAAAGCCATGGATTGTAATAGAGACAAAAGTTCAGTCGTTGCCAATCTTACATCTCTCAAAAGAAGAATTGCATTGCAAGTTGCAGGAAAAATTGCACCGTGTTACAAGGCCTTTAATTGCATGACCTTGTTTGTGTGTCGCACCAGTCCAGCCGTACAGGACGTTAAAATCTTCATTGCGAGTATAAAGAGTAATCGTAAAGAGTAATTATAATATAAGAGTAATATAAAGAATAGTCTTTCATACTCATGTATTAAAAGCCAAATCAAACGAGATGCCAGAGTTTATTACAAGTTAGCTAAGACCTTGGGATAATAAGAATTAAATATGAAACGTTTTGACCTGAGCATTCTAAGTCTTAAAAACAAACATGTGTGGGCAAGCTTCCCTAACAAGTGTACGTTAAGTTGTTCCTGTTTTGAAAGTTATGAAAAAGTGCCACTTCTTAATATTACGACATGTACGTTCATAAATATAGCGCGTCTTTTTCATGTTAATCAAAAACGTTACCCGTCGGGGTATGAATAATTAAACCACGCTGCATTTTTTAAGAGAAAATTGAAAAAGGCGAACATAAGGGTGTGTTCATACGACAAGTTGCATCCCTTTTGGTTTGGGTTTTCCTTAGCCGAAGTTTACCAAACAATGACTGTAAAATGTCATGTATTTATTCCCTCGCAACCGCTTTTAATTGCCGTGAAATGGCGTTATAATGACGGGTATAAATAATTGATTGCGTGATACTCCCGGTGTTTGCATCAAAGCAATTATATCCCGCTATGAAATCAAGGTATTTTAGGCTGAGAAAACTAGTCGACCGAGAGCATTTAACATAAGTAGTGATTTTTCCGTCCAGTTGTGTTGTCGTTTCTGCTAAAACCGAGATTGTTTGCAGCCTACAACATCTCCGGCAGCCACCTGTAGAAAGTTCGCTTGCGGTGCAAGAAAGACGCGACGCTTCTGCGCAGTAATCATGCGCATTGCTGTCGTAGCCTTGATTCCCAATACGAGTCAATTGGTGTAGAAGTAGACAGAAAGCAGGTATCTGTGGAACTTTGCGTAAAATCTCCTAAGAAAATCCTACAATGTCAGACGACGATAAAGGTATGCAAGTCAAGTTACTCCAGTATATATATATCGCGATGTCGATGTTTTGTATGTTGTTTCCTTTGGACTCCGTTCGTATGTTTAACCTGTATTTTGTGTGATTTGAAATCGCTTTCGCTAGGCGAGAAGAAGAAGGGGCTTTTCAACAGTCTTAAGAAGAAGAAGAAGGGTAGGAAGAGTTTTCTATCTCGTTCGTTGACACACATCAGCGAGATGAGGTCACATCGACGGTCGGTAAATTTCGACCTCAAACAGGACGAGACAACGAATGCTGACACAAACCAACCACACGACCAAACTCAAACTAACCGAAAACATTCAAACATATCTTTAGGCGGCGGCCAAGCTCCCGAGAGCCCGGGTGGGCGACCTGAAAATCTCTCGCTCGACGGCGAGAGCTCGCCTGTGGAATTCTCTCCGGGCTCGACGGTGAGTGTTTCATTCAGTAAACTTCAGATTCCTATCATCTTCGATATCGAATGTTTGCAGTTCCTTCGTGTTCTACTTTGCATAATTGTAAGCGAAAGAATTTGAGGGTTACCGTCCTAATGTTTCACTTCAGATATAACCGCTAAATGATGTTTGATTATTTTGATATTGTCGGATGGAAAACATTTTGAAATATTGTGCTTTTCTCTAGCAATTTCTCCTCGTGAATATCGTTGTTTATGTGAAAGCGGAAGTAGTCGAGACATTCGCTTCCGGTTGTTAATTTGAGACAAATTGTTCTAATGGCTGTTCTAATATCTTTTATAGGCAGCGGCGGTTGCCAGAAGTGGCAAATTTGCCTTCTTCGCTCTCTCTGTAGAGCTAAAGGAGGGCATAAACTTGGCCGCCAGAGATAAGACAGGTATTTATACTTCATTTCCTATCACTTTCCAGCCTCTTCGGTTAAAATTAGGCAAACTAAAGCAAGCGGAAGACACCCCGAGAGCGCGCTAATTTCACCTCTGTCTAGGCCACCAAAACATCAAAATACTTATATATTTTTAGATTTTATCATGTTTTTTAAGCAAATCTCACGCGCTCCAGAAGGTTCCGCAGTACTTGATATTAATATTGCAAGAAATCGCTGCGTGAATTTTGTAATAAAACTTGTTTTGATTTGAAAGAAAAATTTGTTATTTTACGCCACGAAGTTTTGATATCGAACGTGAAAACATTTGAATTATGTTCTTATCCTACTCAAAATAAATTAAATATATTGAGCATTGTTTTGATGCATCGCTATATTTCGTGTCTAAAACGAATTAACTAATTATAATTGCTGTTTGCTGGTTAATCATTAACTAAAGGGAAATATTTGAAAATAGGCCTCATTTTAAACATTGTGAGACAGTCATTTGTGTCAACAAAATATAAATGTATATCGAAGAATGTTTTGTTATCAGATATGTTTGCCAATGAAGCACATGTTAATTATTTATGATTGCCACAATTATGCTTCTTTGCATGATACCTTTTAGACATATTGCACAGTGGGCCTACATAGTTAATTGATATCCCTAATTCCTTAAAAGCAAAACACCTCAAAATATCTGAGGATGCTTGTTCGGAGGTCTTTTAAGTTTGAGCCTAGGATAAGTGAGAATTATAACTGCTAATATTGTTTTCATGAACAAATTAAGATACTTTGGCTTGGCTTTTTGCCTGGAGGGCTTTGAACAACTAATCCCAAAAAAATTCGCTCAATCACAGCTACATCAGGCTTTTATAAAATAACCTTCTCTGTCATTCCTACTTATCTCACAGTTGCTAAAAAAGTATATCTCCAAACTTCAAGTCTGAATTCAACTGAGATAATCAATAGCCACTAGAATAAATAGAGGCTGTTTGGATATTCGTTTGTGGCTTAACTTGTGGTTATCTAACCCATATCCCCCTAATATAATCTACTTCTCCGGTCATGTATATGATTATTTTTTCCCTCAGGGAAAGACCCCTTCTGTGCAAATGATAAATTGTAACCAAAAAATAATGAATGCATTACTTTAACATGTAAAGCAATGATTTAAATTCATCTAAACTGATAATTATACGCTAATACTAAATACTAAATTATATTGTGAAGTCAGCAGGTTGTCTGAAGTAATGAGGTAAGATCTAAACAGTTGATTATTGGAACATTCAAACTGGCCAATCATAATGCATTCGCAATTCACACACTAGTCTCTAATTTAATATCTTAGTAAAAATATCTTAGTAAAACATTATTGAAAATGGATAGTTTATACTAATTTAACCTTAATCAGCTTAAGATTCTGACAATTTCCCTCACTCTCTGGCTATAATACTAATTCTTAACACTAATCTTAATACTAATCTTAATCCTAATCCTAATACTAATCTTAATACTAATGACTAAAGTAACCTAACCTTGATTTGACCATCCTTTCCCATCCAGAACTAATAGATAAGCCTCAAACCTATACTAATCTATAATTAATTATTCTACAAAATTTCACTAACTTGCAATGCATTGCATTGTATTAACATTTAAAATTCAACCACTTTATTGAACCAACATACTCTCAACTTTTGCCTTGTTTAGTGGACTTTCACACTCAATTCTTTCACGATAAACCATATGTTAAACCAATCACAAGAACGCCAGGTTTGAAATAAAATAAAGTGATTAATCATAACTAAAAGTAAATCAATTTTAAACCATAAATAAATTTAAACTTATAAAGCAAAATAAATTAAATTAAAATAGCATATTTATAGCGTATTTATAAAATATCTCTAAACTAAAATTGGCATTCGTAGCGCGTCAATCATTCTACATTTCTACGTACATATTCCAAGCCAGAGTGAATATCATACACAATTTAATAGCCTTATTTTCTACGATTTTACAGGTACTAGCGATCCCTATGTTAAATTCAAGGCTGATGGAAAACAAATTTACAAAAGTCGAACCATTCCCAAAAATCTCAACCCCCAATGGAACGAGAAATTTTGCGTCCCGATCGAGGACATCAGCATGCCGCTTGTTATCAAAGTTTTTGATTTCGATCGTGTCAGCAGCGATGATCCGATGGGAACTGTCACTGTTGATTTATCAAAAATGGAAGTTAACAGGTAAGAACGGGTTTTATGTTAATCATTTCATGTCCAGAATCCACGAATATAATCCTTGATTCTAATCGTTTAGAGTTTAGTATAAGTAGTTGGGTAAGGATTAGGGCAGGTTTAGGATTTAAAGTTAGGATTATATTCGTGGATCCTGGACGTGAAATTACCACCGGTTTTATCTTCTATTGACTGAGATTAAGTGTTTTCAATCATGGCGTCTATCTGCTCCTGTTTTTCGTTTCAGGACTAGAATTGAATCAATGTTGATAGTCATTGTGTTATATCACCATCGTTCCTTCCGATGATTTAGAGGATTTTCCTGGATAAAACAGTGTTCTTCTACTGAGTTATTTTCTCTCATTTTAGACCAACAGATCTGACGTTAGATCTTCAAAGTGCCAGTGGAACAAATGAAAAGCTTGGTCAGATCACAGCAACCTTCAATTTGATGCCAAAGACGAACGAGGACAGGCAAGAGGTGAGTGAGTTTCTCGGTGTGGTTGACGCTGCTTTTCATCGCTGTTATTTGCGATATTTCATTGTGATATTCGTTAATGTCAAATCATAATTTGCAGTTGATGAGACGGGCCAGTCAACGAAGAGCAGCTCAAGCAAGAGAGAGTGGAAAAGCTCTACAAAAAGATGGAATTGTGTCGATTACGTTGGTCGAAGGACAGAAACTGATTGCTATGGATGACAATGGTAGGTTATGGTTAGTTAGGGTGAACTTGTGTTTCAAGCCAATGAGCAAGATTGTACGAAATGGATCCTACCTTTTTTCTTCCCTACAGGGACCAGCGATCCGTATTGTCGTTTCAAGCTGGGGAATGAGAAATACAAGAGCAAGCATTGCAAGGAAACGTTGAACCCGCAATGGAAGGAACATTTTGACCTGAAATTCTTCGCAGATACTGACATGATTTTAGAAGTCAGTGTGTATGACAGAGATATCAGAAAGGATGAATTCATGGGAAGGTACTGGGAACGAGATTGTTATTGTGTCTGGTTAAAAAACTGTGTTATAACCCTCAGATGTTTTCAGACTAAACAGTTTGCACTGATTCTTTTGAATGGAACCATTTCAGAGTCAACATCGATCTTACAAAATACGAACGAGAAAGATCGCACAAGATCGAGGCAGAGTTAGAAGATGGTGCTGGTATTGTGATCATGCATGTGGGTGTGACTGCGATCGATATTCCTGGGTGCGAGTCGGACCTCAACGCTTACGTCGAGGAGCCGAACAGACGAGAGGAGATTGAGAAACAGTTTGCCCTGAAGAAAACTGGGAAGAAGATCAAGGAGATCGGGTGGTTGCAGGTTAAACTTCACAGAGCAGTTGGTCTTGCCGCGGCTGATATTGGTGGAGCCAGCGATCCATTTGCTGTCATTGAGTTGAACAATGCTCGACTTATGACTCCGACAATATTCAAGACATTGAATCCACAATGGGAGAGGATATATGAATTGTGAGTGCTTCATTGTCAGTCTCGTTTGAAACATGTGAACTCTAGTACTGCTGAAACGATAGCTCGGGAGGGCTGGAAGAGGAGAGGAGGGGAGAGGAGGGTTGTGAGGGGAAGGAGGGCTGAGAGGGTGGAGACGAGGGGAGAGGAGGGATAGGAGGGGATAGGAGAGGGGTAAAGCCAGTGCATGCCTTGAAATAGCAATAGCTTAGTTAATTGTATTCAATTTTCAATGAAGTGATATGTAGACGTGTCCATCATGAGTTATTATTCCAGTTACATTAGAGTTGACTATTTGAGACCAGTGTTAACAAGTCTATGGCATTATATGCACACAATCTAATGATGTCATCGTTTCTATAGTGACGTGAAAGACATTCACGATCTCCTACAGATCAGTGTGTATGATGAGGACAAACGAGGCGCTCCGGATCTACTCGGCAAGGTTGCTATACCACTATTACAGGTAACTTGGTTTCCTTTGAACTATATATACGCTGTATTTTATACTGGATAGCTCTACCAGTTCCGAATTGCTCCCCGTCGAGATGATTGCTTCTTTATCACAACGAATTTGTTTTACGAACAATTGAAGTGAAATGGTACAATGTGTTGTTTTAGATAACCCCGAGAGAGAAGCGTATGTACCAACTCAAAGACAAGACGTTAGAAAAGAGAGCAAAAGGGCATTTAATCATGACCCTTGATGTCATTTATAACCCAATAAGAGCTGCAGTCAGAACAATCAACCCGAGAGAACCAAAAGTGTTGTATGAGGCACCGAAGTTTAAGCGACAGGTGAGTTTACTACACGATCTTATACGATCTTAAGTTCCAACTTCTATTTAAACGACTTTCTTTTTAGTTACTACAAAGAAACATCGACCGTATTGGTAAAATTGGAGCAAGTGTTGCCTCGACAGGAGCATTTGTTGGTTCACTCTTCACCTGGCAGTACAAGTTCCGAAGTGCTTTTGCATTCCTTGTCTATATTATGTTGGTGTTGAACTTCAATCTCTACCTTATCCCACTTGGTGTTCTTCTGGCTTTTCTCAAACAATATGTAATCCATGTCTTGCTCACTGAACGAAACGTGAATCCCGAGGATCAGGTAAGAATGACACAAACTTATGTGGCTTTCATTTGACAGAATTTGAGTTTGTTCTGGATATCTGAATCAATCGTTTAATCCTTATTGTAATCTTTATGATCTATATCTTGTTATCTGGATCAATCGTTTAATCCTTAATGTAATCTTCATGATCTAAACTTGTTATCTGAATCAACCGTTCAATCCTAAATGTAATCTTTATGATCCTGTATCTTCTTATTTTAATCAATCGTTTAACCCTCAATCTAATTCAAACATCCAGGAAGGACCGCCACAAGACGACGAGGAAGACGATGATGATGACGAGGAAGATACGAAGAAGAAAGGCGTAAGTTTTCATATTTCTTTAAATGATTTTCTCTCTTGTGATTTCCAACGTAGTTTTCAATGTGTTCTGTGAATTACTCAAAGGTGGAATGTTAATTTTTCTTAGGATAAAGGAAAGAGCTTTAAAGAGAAGATGGCGATGATAACGAATCTTTGTCAAACCATTCAAAATGCTTTGGATAACGTCGCGTCCATGCTTGAAAGAGCTAAAAAGTAAGAATCATATAACGTTGAAAAATCCACACATCCACAAACGATACTTACCATGCGTTTTTATCTATTTTCTAGCTTGTTTAACTGGACTGTTCCGTTCGTATCCACCATGGTGTGCGTGGCAATGACAGGCGCCACGCTAGTTCTTTATCTTGTGCCTATCAAATTTTTGTTGCTGGCATTTGGTAGGTTGATCTACAAACATATGAAGTATATGGCTCACGTTAGCATTTGCAAAATGACATGAATCTCCCTTCCTTCAGGTATTAATAAATTCACAAAGAAAATCCGAAAACCAAACGCAGTCGATAACAATGAATTGATGGATCTTCTATCAAGATTACCTTCGGATCCACAAATTGTGAGTTATTAATCTACTTTATAATATGAATTTTCCAAACGAAAGCCTTCCACTATTCAAATGATATTTTATATTCCAAATTACACGCGAAATGCCGGGGGAGTAAACCTATTTCTTTGCATTACAGAAAGAACAGAAATTACTCAAAACAGATCCGTCGTTGCGTTTGAAGCGAATCGATCCTTAACACAAAACATTTTCGTGCATTTCCCATTTCATTTTCCAGTTTATATTCCATGATAATGTCATTACGTGCTGTGGTTTCACAACCAGCTTTTGTATGAGAATATGAGAGTGAGACAGTGAATTTATATTAGCAGTATTTGTAATACAGCATTACCAATACATGCATCATTATGTCGTTTGAGATATCGTTAAAATAAGACGCTCCAAACATGACCATCGTACGTATTTTCAACTGAGACTGAGGAGTATTTATTCAAACGAAAATGAAATGAAAATTTGGTTCGTAGGCGATTAGGTAAAAGCGAATTGTATTTATTGGAATTTATTTATTCATATTATATTTAAATGTACATTATAAGGTTTTATTGTATAATTGTAAATAGTTTTAAGATAGTAATTGTTCAGTTCATCAATTTTTAGGTCATTCAATATTTTTCACATACAATTATGATAATATACACACAATAAAAGTTTGTTTGTTTGTTTTCTGACAACTGACAAATAGTTTGATTTCCAATGATGTTCAAAAAGTCATTGGTGGCGTAGAAGGCCGGTTCTTTGAGGGTACACATATTTGCGCATGCTTGCAAGATCAATTTTTCTGGTCATGTTACCCAGAAAAACTGGTCTTGCAAGACTTTAGCGAGCTTTGAAAAGTTATTCAAGAAATTACCAGTCGAGAAACGAGCGATACGAAGTACTGCAAATATAGTGAACGTGGAGCTGTAGCTATGTCAATGCGGTAATATTAAATTTTCGTGTTTTGATATTTTTATCAATGTTTTTTTGAAAAATGTATGAACTAGTTGTAGTTCAGGTATTGATATGTATATATATAGTTCAGTGTACGCAAATACGCGGTTTTGCGCGGGAAAGTCGATCATTTTGTAAACAAATCAAGCGGAGCTGAGCTCTGCTGAAACAAATAATTTCAGTGATCCAAGTATAAAGCTTTCCTGCGATTTATCCAAACAAAAGTTTAAAAAATGGAAGTTTATGGCAATGATGTGGTGTTAGGAGACGCCGAGGATCTCTTTGCAATACCGCCTCCTTTGGATGAATCACTGCTTGTTGATGATCCTGCTAATATAGCTGCTCACGATGATGCTGAAAATCAAAATATTGATGGTGATCCGACTCAAGAAAATGACGGGAAAAAGAAGAAAAAACGGGCTTTTAAACCCAGAGTCAATTTAAATGATGAACGGTATGAAAACGTTTAAGAAAAAAGTAAAACTAGTACAAATAACAGAGGTTTAACACTCCTAGTTTTGTAATTTCCAAATTTCCCAATTCCCAATTGTCTGAAGTATATAGTAAAATTACAGATTGTGTTCCAAAAATGGAATTGAAGCTTTGAAACACTTGTGCTCTGAAGAGAAGTTTAAAGGAAAAGGTCACGAGGTATTCACTGTTTACTGAATTAGCAGCAACTTCAATGCTACCAAGATCTATGCGCTGAATTGGTGCCTGTGACCAGGTACTAAATGTGTTTGAGTAGGCAAATTCTAGTGACAATATATATTCTGTCTTGACAGGTGTCGGACTTGAATAAACTTCTGTGTAGATTTGAACACTGGGCTCAATGCTTGATGCCAAGATGGCCTTTTAATAACGTTGTTCAGAAATGTGAATTACTTGGTAGCAAATCCAAAGTCAAGGTGCAGTTGAAAAATATGTTTTTGGGTCATTGTTTATTGCACAATAGCTTCACTTAGAAAGTATTCATTTAGAATGAGCTTAAACGAATAAGACAAAGCGAGGAGGAGGTCATTCGTGGAGAACCTGATGAGGAAGGCAATGAAGAGACAGAAGGTATGTATCCATAAATTTCTTTATATATAACTGAGCTTTCTACTCTGCATGGTCAACACCATTCATTGAACATTCACTAGTTCCACTGAATCGTAAATTGTTTGTCTTTGATTTGTAAAATGTCTTTCAGGACAAGCTGAAACAGTAAATGAAGAGCGCCGACTGAAGCTACGACTCAACATGATGTAAGTACATGATCTTGATCTCTGTGACCTTTTTTCAAGTTTTTGTTTTTTGTACATCAGGACTAAGCATTTAGCTCTTGTTTTTCAGACTGTTCAAGATGAGGCGCCCCCTGCTGAACTGACTGAAGAACAACGTGAAAAAATAAGACAAAACAGGCTACTTGCTTTTGAAAGACGTGAAGCTAAAAGGAGACGATTAGAGGAAGAAAGTCAAAGAGGTTAGTGAGTAGATCTTAATGCATTAGGAATAGATAAAAATAATGCATATAAGTATAACAGCAACAAAGTTATATTTCAATGTAATTTTGGTTTTTAGAGTCTCAAATAGAAGGCCTTACAGAAGCTGAAGAGGCAATGCTTCAAGAGGATTTCTCTGAGGAGCTAAATTCAGTTGAACCTGTACCAAGTTTGTCTACACATGAAAGTGCAGAGGAAGATCAAATCTTAGAGGATGAATTACTTGATGAGATAAGAGACAGTGAAGATACCACAACAAATATCAATAAAAATTGTGCTGAAAATGATGTCAATGATGAAGCCAGTGTTGTGCAAGATGTTGATGACAATTCTGAAAGTCACATTGCTCTTGAAAGGAAGGAATTTTGCTCACAATCAAACACTGAAAAAGAACTTAATAATGATGAGATGTCAGATGGGGATGATGAAATTATTAATAGAAGCATGTTTGACCTAAACCCTGATTTAAACTCAGACACAAATAATGAACCAACTATAAATTCAGGAGATAAAGAAGTTCTATTTAATGATTCACAACCAAATAGAATCGTAAACGAACCTGGTGGCAGCTAGGATGTCGCTATTTCTCAGTGCAACAATCAAATTTCTGTAAATTCACATACAATTAGGCCACAGTATTACTGGAGGAACAGCAGCAACAAATTCATGGAAATACTAATGTGGTTCAAATGTGGAAAAATGGATGATTACCCACATGTTAATTAATCTAAAGCTATTTTTATTGTTGATATAAGATAAATATTGTTAATCTATTAAATGTGTTGTGATAAATATTAAACCAGCAACATCTCCCTGTCCTGATTATTAATAATTTGATCTTATTAGATTTATAGATTAAACCATTCAAATTTAAACGAAAAAAACTGAATTAGAACACCAGCAACCAATGAAACGCTACAGTAACCATGGGCACTGGTATACCAGATTACCAGTGAACTCTGTCTGGCTGGTATACAGGAGAAAGATTACCAGTGGAATCTCCTTTGATCACCAGCATCATTTGCCGCCACCTTTGAAGTTTTACCGCTAGCCTACACAGGAAGAATTACTGCAATCTGATTGGTTGACAATGTGCAATTCTCGTAATATCAAAAGTGGACCAGTAACGACTGGGCTTCCTGTATCAAAATAATCCAATATGGCTTCTGAAGAAGAGGGTGACATGAGTGCCAATGCAACTACGGATACAAGCGATGAAAACAGCGAAAATATTTCAAGGCGACGTGGATTCGGGGTACGCTCTGGTTATGCAGACGAGGACTCGCGACCTCCGGTTGCCCAGACGAGCTTCTTTCAAAAAGGACGTGAATTTGAAAGCGCGTATGACAACCACAAGTTTACAGAAAAGGAGAAACAACAGTTGGCAACGTACGACAGTCTTGATTATTTCCCGCCCCACAGCGTCGTTTACAAGGTAATAATAGCAAGAAATATCTTGTAAGATTCGATGTTGCCTCTTTATGTTTTATGACTGAAAGTAACGATCGATCTTTGTTTTCGGAACATTTGATCTCATTTCCGGTTCACGTAAATGTATCAATTTGCGCGTAATTGTAACATATTTAGTAAACCATTTGTACAGCTGGTAATGATGGGTACTGTACATATACCACCAAATGTGCAGTGAAACCTAGATTCTGAGCCTGTACTTGACTTGAGCATGTAAGGGAGGTGTCTATATTGGAGAGGTCAGAGCTGGTGCTTTGCACGATGGGGGTTTTCTGTCGGATCCAATTCACTTCTGATGGATGTTTAGGTCTGTTGACTTGCAATGTATATGGGCAGCAAATCAGCTGAAGCAAATGCAGTACTGCTTTATCAATAAAAGACTTCATTCCATACATGAGAAGTGAATTGGATCTGGCAAAATTTGAATATGTGCATGCCTTTACAGATGTGCCCTAGAAATATTAGCGTAATTATTATTTTTATTCACCCAACTAAGAACTGGATAAAACGTCAACCAGCTCGCCTTGATTGGGACAGATGGGTAATGATGGGTCTTATTGGATTCACTGTGGGCTTTGTTGGCTTTCTACTCCATCAACTGATTGACCTTATCATGGAGTAAGTTATTTTCACCAGCAAGTGTTATTTATGTTATACTGATAGTTTGGCAAATTGGTTCATCATCAATTATAACAAATAATAATTATCTATCTTTGACAGTTTTAAATGGGAAATGGCCAATGAAATGATAAAGGTAACCTTTAAACACACTTAGTAATCTTGAGTAATAATGGTGATTGATAAGGGGACCTGGTCCCTTACTAAAGAGATGCTATATTGGGTATCTGGTGTCCATTTGTTTTATCAGAGGGAGACTCAAAGATTATTTATTCATTCAGGAAAAGGAATATGGCCTAGCATGGTTTTGGGTGGTAGGATACAGTGTTATCTTTGCTGTTCTTGGATCGTCTATGGTAGTGGTAAGTATTGTATGGTATTTTGGTTGTCTAATCCAGTGGAAACACATTGAAAACTAATGCAAATCCTTTACAGTTCTTTCGTCCAGCGGCAGCTGGTTCTGGCATCCCAGAACTAATTGGATTTCTGAATGGCACTATCATTCGTCGCATTTTCAATGTGAAGACAATGGTAGTGAAATTCTTCTCCTGCGTTTGTGCTGTGGCATCTGGCTTACCTGTTGGTCCAGAGGGTCCTATGATTCATTTAGGGTAATGTATTTGTAAGCATTATTCATTTACTCCAAACATGTCTTCAAATAAATGACTACAACACCTTGATTATAACTGCTAACTCATCAGAGAATAGTCAAGGAAGCAAAACTCATATCAGATTCACAACTTAATTTCTACAATTTTCTTTCCTTCAGTGGATTGATTGGTGCTGGTCTAAGCCAATTTCGTTCCTCGACGCTCAAACTGAATCTTCCATATTTTCAAAGATTCAGAAATCCTGAAGACAGGCAAGTTTGTGAAAAGCTATGTGTACAGTAGATTCCTTGACAATTATACCGTTTCTGTGTACATAAATCAAGGATATGTAACAATTTCTCGCACAGACGCAACTTTATTTCGGCGGGAGCTGGTGCAGGTGTTGCGAGTGCTTTTGGTGCTCCTGTTGGTGGCCTGCTGTTTGCCATGGAGGAAGTATCATCATTTTGGAACATGAAATTATCATGGCAGATTTTCTTTTGCACCATGGTCGCCACCTTTACCACTGTAAGCACCAGTGTATTCAAAATTTGATTCCTCTATCCCCAGTCGTTGTTTAACTCGATTGTAGGGATACCTTCTGCATTTCCTTAGTCTTAGAATGCAAATTGATGGACCTTTTGCATGTATATGTAAATGTTTACCTTTACCCAACCAAAACAGCGTTTTTCATTCCTTCCATAGGATCTCTTTAACTCAGCTTTCAAAGGTTTTAAATACGAAGATGATTTCGGTTTATTTAAAGCAGAGCGATACATTCTCTTTCAGGTATCTGACTATTGGTTTACTACTTGCATTGAGCACGATAATACTCTTTTTAAGAGCTTTCATCTCACTAGTTTTATGTTCAATTTATTTCAGATTGATCACGGAGTCGCCCTACATATTCTCGTGTTTATTCCAGTTGCCGTACTAGGATTTTTGGGTGGGATTTTAGGAGCGGTTTTTACTTTTATCAATTTAAAGGTATAACCAGGTTGCTATGCCTTGCATTCATATTTATAGCACAAACAACTGGTTACTTAATCGTCAGTTTTCTTCGTTTAAGATTAACAGGTTCAGGAGATATCATCTTGCAAGAATAAAACGTAAATGGCTGAATAACTGTGTCCGAGTGTTTGAAGTGTTTTTGCTCATGGTAATGCTCTATCGTTGTCGATGTTCAAATGATATCGAAGTGACCCGTTGAAACTTGAAAAAGCAATTTCAAAACAATGTATTATATTTTAGGTAATCGTTGGAACAGTTGCTGTTTTCCTGCCAGCTCCTTTCCCGTGTTCTAAATTTGAGTGTTCTTTTGAGGGATCAAAATTTGAGTAAGTCATTGTAAAACACAACTAAACTTATCTCGATTTTGCAAGTTTATTGCCTGACCAGTGGTATAAAGTACCGCTATAACCTAATGTTATATATTTTGAATGTTTCTCAAGTGATGAGTGTTTGGTTGAGCATCGCAGTCCGTTGCATACAGAGAGAACTGTGAATAATTACACTTGTGAGGAAGGAGTAACGGTCATGATGAACGGAACGAAATACACAAACGGTTCATTCAACCAAGGTACGCTTTCATTCGCTCTGCATAGCTGCGTCTTGGTATAGTTAAACTAGATGAGAAAATCTATAACTAAATGATTGCTCTGTTTTGTATAGTTGCAACGCTGCTGTTTGCGAGTGGGGAGGAAGCAATCCATCATCTCTTCTCAAGAGATACTCATCGAGAATTCACATACGGGTCAGTGAGACGCCGCCAACGACTGTTATGAAAATGCGAAGCAAAAAACCCTGACAAGTGCTTCTTTCATTTAGTCCATTATTGACCGTATTAGTGGTGTATTTTATCTTGGCGTGTTGGGCGGCAGGAACGTCGATTTCCAGCGGCCTTGTTGTGCCAATGCTGTAAGTATTAATTATAGAAATCTTATCGCGTTTCGCTTCCACAGTTTGCAAGGTCCGCGAGCCAGCCAACATCATGATCGGAGTGTTTGATAGTTTTATAGGTGGGACTTATGGAAGAGTTATTGGCAAGTTGATGGTTGATTTGTTTGGTGTTCACACAGAGGGCCAATGGGCTTGGATGGACCCTGGAGCCTTTGCCTTGATTGGAGCGGCCTCGTTTTTTGGTGGGGTGTCCAGATTGACCATGTCTTTGACCGTCATAATGGTGAGAGAAATATACTCAGATGTAGTCGTGAAATTTACCCAGATATATTTGTTTGTTTTACTCTCTTTATCGCAGACGATTCAATAGAAAGTTTAACGTGTTTAAAACTTGACTGTTTTAGATTGAAATTACGAATGATATTCAATTCTTACTCCCAATCATGGTAGCAATAATGGTCTCAAAGTGGGTCGGAGATTTCGTGACTCATCCGTTGTATCACGCGCTTCTTGAATTCAAGTGTATTCCTTTCTTGGACTCTGAACCTGTTGTGTTTACCCATGGTGGAAAAAAGAAGTAAGAAGGCTCTCATTTGCTCTCTTCTCATTTGCTGAACACATTGAGACAATAGTGAATAGACTTTCTCATTTGTTGCAACTATAGCTTGATTGATTACTCTGGCAAACTTCGCTGAAGTTGGAGCATTGAACATCGCTTTTAGTTAATGGGTTTTTCCATATTTGCTCTACTTATCTCTTTATTTAGTGTTAATTTAGAGTTGTATCAAGCAAAAGATGTTATGTCTTCACCAGCAGAGGTGAGTCAAAAGTACACTGCTTTGTTTTAGGCAATTTTATATAAAAAATTTGTTTCAATGAGAAAATTTGTCTTGTAGGTGTTACATTTGTCAGTGAGTGTTCAACAGTTGGCCCGTGTGTTGCTAGAGACACCTCATGGAGGATTTCCTATTGTGAAGAAACTACGCCATGGTGATGAAGTGTTTATTGGACTTGTTACAAGGTAAAGATTGTTAGGAAATAACTTTATTTAATAATTCTATCTACTGGGGCTTGGTTTGAGCAGTATTTTTCCCACTCAAGGCCCATTGAATTGAGAGTTCTTTTATCTAGGTTGGATATTAGTATTCTGTTGTCGCACAAGAAATTCAGCAGCAGTGGTCCTCACAGCAGCCCTGATGGAGCACAGAATTATGAAATAACTGATGTGGATTATGAAAAGGTTTGTATGAAAATGAAAAGAGATATGAACTAGTGTGTTTTGAAAGTGCACTAATCTTTCTTCGACATTTGTAGCTTTCCGTTACCTACCTTCCCAATGCAGATGATTTAAACAACAAGTTACACAAATATGTTGATCAGGAACTATATGCTAATATTTTTGTTGACCTGGTAAGAGATTAAAATATGTCTTTTCTATATCAGTCTCAAATCTCTTCCACAATTGTCTGATATAGCAGTGATCCACTTTTTTTATAGTCACCTTATGTCAACGACTCAGCTCTAAGTGTCCAGTCAAATTTTTCCCTGCACAGAACCTACATTATATACCGAACCTTGGGATTAAGGTAAATGATAAAACTTATTTATTTCTGGTTTTCTTAAAATTGAATTTGACTGCAATTTCGATGTTTTTTTCAAGGCATTTGACTGTAGTTGATAGATGCAATAGGTGAGTACAATGAAAGTATGTACAGCACTTCAACTGGTATTCAAATGTCGGGAATTAATGAGCATTTAATGGAAATTTTAGGGTAGTTGGAATGATTACCAGGAAGGACCTGATGGGCTTCAATCTTGAGGAGAAAATTGGTCAAATCATTGAAAAGCAACAGGAACATACACACATTGAGATGTCTGGACCTGTATGAGACTGATGCATGATATCTTGTGATTCCAGAAGCCATAAATATCTGAGCTGATGCAATCTTAAGTTCAGGTATTTTACCAACATATATGATATATATTTTCAGTTATTTTTTTATCATATTCTTTAAATTATTCCCTATGTTTGTGGGCATGCAAGTTCAAGTATGTGAATAATTGCAATCAGTCAAAAAACATACTAAAAATCATATAATTTATTGATAATTCACACAATGAAATAGACACAATTTTGAAATAAAAGTATGAAGTTTATTTTTAAAAGTGGTTATCCAAAAGTATTCGTAACATAATGCTATAAGTTAGCACCACAAAGAGGCAATAATTTTTTATAATCTGAACAACCATTGAACAATAGCACCCAATGTTAAAAAACTTGCAGTTCAATTAGTATTCATCACAACTTTTTTGACTTTGATCCATCATATTTTGAATGAGTTGAGTACCAAATGGCATATGGGAGGAATATTGTTGGGACAGTCATCAAACCAAATATACCCCAATCAAGCTAGAAAGAGCAATAAACATTGTAAGTTTTGGTGATTTTACCTTGCATTATAGTGTACTTGATATGTTGTTTTTATTTACTATTAAGAGCAACAATTTCAATGGAATAAATGTTGTCCTCTTTCTATAAGTACAATACTTACAACATGTGGAGCATGTCTCCTGTTAAATGTCTTTGAGTCCATAACAAAGGCTTCACCAAAAGCAGTGGAATACACAACCTTTGAAACAAGAATTGTTTTAAAATATTTTGTGCAGTTATGACCTAGGTGGTATATATTGCTAGTGATATTGGATATCTTCATAGAAAATTATAAAGCAAGGAGATGTATCTTACCTGCTGGTCTGCATCCTCTTTGGGTTGGTAGGTCACCATTGCAGACGTTATATTAAATACACCAGATCGTAATGGTTTTAAAATTAAGTTATGAGAGACATTAGCTCCTCTGAGACTTATTAAGGAAATTGATTAATGCAGCAAATGACATTTATTGGTCTTGTGTTAGTCAAGAATTGGAATATCTAAAGGTAATTAGCAATTTTTGGTAAAGTCAACCACTGTATGAAGTACCTTTGTCAGGATGACATGAAGGTAGCTGAACTGAAATGCACCATCATACAAAAAGGATACGGTGCAATACTTTGCCACCTCACTGACAATTGACCATTCACAATTTCAAAATCATCCGAACTAAATGTCTCTTCTACTAATGATACCGAAGTCGCTGGACTTGAGCCAACATTATAAATTGCATAGCTAACGGTTAGATCTCGTCCTTCCACGACAAACTCGTTAAGAACTCGTTTAGAGACTAACAGATGGGCAGAATCAGAACTATCTGCTGCACAGCAACCATAAAGAGAAATAAACACCAGGGCCAAGCTTGATAAAATCCACTGCAAAGAAAATAGTTGATTTTCAGTTGAAATCTCAAGACTTAATCTCAGGATTTTTATCACTGATTTACTCAAACATTGTAATTCTAATCCTGAATCCTAATACAGTAGTGATAGGTTAATCAACTATCTCGTGCCAGTATGAGCAATTGCCACTTTTGATCGTTCTAATTGGTGAAATTGTAACAAAATGTATATTAGCCCTACTGCCTCGAAATCATTGATAAAATGACACATCTGAAAGCTTCAGAACACAAGTGAATGGTAAAGGAAGTTTAAACTATGAGGTTCGTACCATTTCTATAACAATTTATCTTTGTCCTCGTGTATTTCTCTTGTTGTGACTCATCAATAGACAAAAAGAACGAGAATTAGAGTATTTCGATTTATGGGCACCAGGGTCCGCGCGGTGCCAAAGAAACCTGCAATGCTCCCCCCTGGAACTGTATATCATTTCTTTTATACTCGGGGGAGAAGCGAAGCTCAGAGGTGCCTGAGGTGGAAAAGCATGTTAATAAGCCCCATATTTTCTGTATTTTTTACTTTCATATATGTCGTTTTGGAAATATTTAAAGTAATAACAACATATTAATCGATTCTTAGGAAAATGTTTACGGTTCCGATCTTTCCCCGAAGTTGATGACAGTTCCACGAGCTCATCCTGAAATATTGAATTTTACGTAGTGCTGGTCTCTGAATGATTACAGAGTTCACTGGAGTGGTTCATTCATGGCTGTAAAATATTAAATTCCAATGATGCGTAGTAATGTCCAAAGCATTGAGATATGCCGTTTCCCTCCTCTCAAATGATCAAAAAGCCTTCATTTCAGCAAAATTTGAGCAGGTATGAAACTTGAGACTGATCAGTGAGACTGATCTATATTTACATCGCTATATTTTCAACTGGACTAAACTATTCAATAATAATGAATGATTTATATACAGTATATAGTATTATATATTTTGTAGTGCTGTTTGTCAGTACTTGGTTGCCAAGACAATCAAATCAATGTTGCATTTCAACTGAATGGTAAAGAATTAAGAATTGAGCCAAACCGTCATGGTGCTAGGTTGGAGGTATGGTTGGTTTTTGACACTTCTTGCTAATTTCATAACCCCTGTTGCACCTTCAGGCTGAAAACTCCCATCCTTTCTTGCATCATTCAGACATATCACCCTCCTACAATAAGAGGTGACTTAGGGGCTGTTTACATGAGCCCGGTTACCCGAGATTCAACGAAGCGTGAGAAGACTTTAAGGTATTGAAATAAGTCTTTATGACACCAAACAAGCACATGCTATTGTTATATGGATTATACGACTGCCAGGATCATGTCATCTGCTCATTTCAATACCTCAAAATCATCTCACGCTTCGTTGAATCTCGGGTAACCGGGCTCATGTAAACAGCCCCTTAGTACTTCATCTTTTCTGAACAGCTCTTATCCTTTTTCATTCCTCAGCACCCAGAGAGCTGTCCCTGTCGATTCTTGACAGCATCAGACATATTGAGTATCAACGAGCACTCCGGAAGATCAGGAGTCAGAGTTGGTGTATCATTTGTCATCCAATCAGCTGATGGCTGTGTATTACTCACGAAAAGGCCAAAAACAATGCGAAGTTTCCCAAATATTTGGGTGACACCAGGTATTATTGTAGTAATCCTTGTTTAACATAACAGGTTGAATTATGATTATGCACTGTCTAGTATGGTACGTGAGAAGATTTTTTCATTAATTCATTTATTCAAATATTTTAGGTGGTCATATAGAAAATGGTGAAACAGTGAGTGATATTTTCGTCATTTCCAATTACATTGAGGGAATTATGTATTGTGAGATCCTCAACAACATTATATGTCTTTTGTGTAGCTAATACAGGCAGGCATTCGTGAAATTCATGAAGAGACTGGGGTGTTGACAATTGAAAGTAACATAACAATGTTAGGATTATGGGAGGTAAGTATTATTAACATATGTTTCTAAAATAACTACTTGTAGGCCAAGGTTTGGGAGGTAATATCCAGTGGTAAATTGATTGAAATTAAAATGTCTAAAAGTACTGTCTTCACATTTCCCAGAATATTGGTTAGTTATTGCTTTAAATAACTATAAAAGCCAGAATCTGTCTTCGTAAAAATCAAAAACATGCAAAATTTAGGCAATTTTTATATGCCGAAACTTGTGATTATTGTAAGCATATTTGTTGTAAGGTTAGAGGGATTTCTATGCTAAATATGAATTCTTTTTCTTTCAGTCGGTCTATCCACCCGTTCTAGGAATGGGTCTACCAACGGCCCACCATATTGTGGTGTACATGTTGGCACGGCTACCCCAAGATCACCAAGAGATTGAACTCAAGTTGCAAGAGAGCGAAGTGAGTGCTGCAGCCTGGTTGGATGGAGATACTGTAGCAGAGATTGTTCAAAGTGATGAGTACGGCAAAACTAGAAATGCTGTTCAGAAATATTTTAAGTATGTCTGCTTGCATTCTAAACCACATTGTTTAATGCAGACTAGATTGGTTATTGTTACAATATCTGTTCTCAACAGTTGTGATTATGATTCTTTTTTCTTTAGAGCAAAGTTGATAGAGAATGGACAACAAGTTGACAAGAATTTCCCACTGTCCATACTCATGGCTTGCATGCCGACATCAGAAGATTGGACACAAGAAAGACTCTCAAGTGGAAGTAAATTTGCATTACGACAATGGCTGGAGCATTGCGATACACCAGAGTAAGAAAGACACTATATATTGCTTTGTTCTCTTCCAAAATCACTACAGTATTTATTGTATAGGTCTTAATTACCATAAGCAGTGATGTATAATGGTGGTCCTCAGGCAGTTTTATGTCTGAACAAGACTACAATTGCAAAATGATTTCACCTACTACTAAATGAGTATATAGTATGTTGTACGTTCTTAAATAACATGATGTCATCATATAACAGACACTCTTTAATAAAGCATATCTAATATGTTTTTAAATAAGAAAGATGCCATCATATCCTATTTTCCTCTATAGGTTTGTCTATGATTAGCTTGTCAATAAGTTTTGAGAATCCCTCCTGTACACTATTTTTATCTTGAGATGAGCATGCGTGAATTACCCAGTCGTAATCTTGAGCAACTTCATTGAGCTTTAGAATTTCCACAACCTAGAATCATACATGAAATACCTAGCTGTAATTATAGTTAGCATGTTCATGCAATTTAGTTATCAGAATATCACACCTCGTCCTTGTCTTTAGCATTGCTTAAGTCCTGTTTGTTGGCTAAGATTAATAATGGTAGGCCACTAAGCGTTGTGTTGCACAGAACTTTAGACAAACATTGCGCTGCCTCATTTAAGTGACCATTGTCTGAACTGTCCACAATGAATATCTTTAATAGTGAAAAAATAAAAAAAGGATATAAGTTAAGTTAAATAAAAGGATTCATAATTCAATCAATTAAGGCCATGTTATAAATGGGATATTATTTCATACAATTCCCTGTGATCCACCATAATAATGAGCCCAGTACTGTTCCACATCACCTGAAAAATAATAATTCAATTTCACAGTTACATTTATATATGAAGATTTACTACATTCTTACTAACAAACACTACATACCTCCAAGCTCCTTGACATTAACAATGGCTTCAGGAAATTGTAGTGCCTTTATTGAGAACCCTAGAAATGATTAATATATTGTAGACCATAACTTGTACACTGACGTAATTGAAATCAATAGTACATTTATTATTACACAGCATTGTGATTGTACAAACCTTTAGTTGGTTCAGGATGATCATGTATTTCTTCATTGGCTAATAATGCCAGTAATGTTGATTTGCCTGCATTATTGAGTCCTAATGCCACAACTGTATATTCAGGTCTGGTAGCAGGGGGTTTGTGACAGCACTGTACAATTTAAATGCCGACGTACAATATATTAGAAAGACATCCAATAAAAATCGGTGTAACTTGCTAAGCAAGTTATCACAAACAAGATTTGGATAATCAATATTTCAATATCATGCACACTAGGGCTGTGCATATTCAAGCAAAACTAAGGTGTTTTGAAAATAAAGTGGAAACAATTTTAACCAACTTTCTCTTTCTGAAATCTTAAAAGTAGGTAATTGTCAAAAGACCAATATTTTTTAACAGGTAAAACTACCTTATAGCAGCCAATTCTGCAAAGAGCACAACAAAGTCTACACCAATCACACATTAAAACATCAAATACTAGACAGTGTAATCACGATCGTCGATATATCGATTAATCGATCTGATGTATTAATGAGCCGGTATTGAGAAGATGTATGGATAATTTTGATGATCCTTGTTGATAGTAACGGACATCTATAATCTATTGATTACTTGACAGATTGCAACTTTTTGATATGATGCTTAGGGATAGGTCGGGGTACCTGGGAGAACATTAGGTATTTAATGATTGATTGAGGGGTATGAGTAAGTAAGGATGGATATGAATCCATTTGCGGATATTTAACCCAATTTATCCCCGTTTCGTCTTGAAAACACGTCCCAAAAGTCAAAACAGTAAAAATTTTGAGTATTCATGGTTTGATTCAACATTTCCTCCACTTCACGCTAAACTTTCGGTTCGATCTAACTGGTCGTTTGCAAGATGTCTCTTGCTGGATTTAAAAAACAATGGAACAAGGCTAACCAGGTGAGCAAATACGTTGATCGTTACAGTCTTTCACTGCTTTAGCTGTATTCATATAAACTAGGAAACATGGGAATTGCGAAAGATAGATGGGGCCTGCCTTTTGATCTTTAAATTTGTTTATAATTTGAAATCAGCATGGATAATTGTACACAACATTTGAAATCACTTTTAAATATCACATAGTGTTTAATATTTTAGTTTTAATAAGAGAAGAACAGGCGTTTATTGGGGATTTATTATTTAGGATCATGTGAGAATAACAGGAAATATTGTTTGGAAAATCGCTTTATCATTTTATTATTACGATGATGTTTGCAAACGATTTCCGCCTTGAATTATGTAGTTTATGAGTGAAAAAGTTGGTAATGTTAAAGGAACACAACTAGATGAAGAATTTCAAGATTTAGAAAAGGTATTTTTTGCTATGAAAAAAATATAATTGCATTTTTTTCTATGTGAAATATTCGTAATTAAAGTATTGTGATGTGATCATATAATACGTGTTAATGACCATGGCTTTGTCACATGTCATTGAAAAATATTAAAACAATGTCATGATTTTATTGCATAGCATATATGTATGCCTTGGGGGTGAAATTTTTAAGCTCCACATTTTCTGTGTGAAAGAAATGTTTATATTCATGTGAGGGTTCAGTTTATTCATATGGATTCACATTGGGGGACGGGGTAACTATATTGCTCAATGAATAATGAAATAGTAGGTAGTCAAGAAGGTGTTTCAATTTGCATATTGAAAGTTTTTTTTTTGTATAAATGTCAGGCTAATATATATGATTTTAGATCATCAATTTTCTCTTTTTCACAGAGAACAGATGCAACAGCCGCACTAGTTGTTCAATTACTTGGCAGAACAAAGGAATACCTTCAACCTAATCCCAGTAAGAAACTATGAAAGATTTAGTTAGTGATGAAGATTAAAAATTACAGTCATGAATTTAACACCTGTTTACACTTGCAATATTTGCCATAGTTTTTGGTGCAATTTTTACTCTTTTGATAGATGAAAATGAGCAAATAGTTCTGAATATTCTGGTCCTAAAGTGCTTTTACTTGTTTATCTCTAACTTATCCACTGGTTCACATCTATCAAAAGAAGAAAATTGTGTTTAAAATAGCAAGTGCATGGTAAAGGTGATAGTTTAGACCCTTAATTTATTATTTCATTGATTGACTACCACAGATGCCAGGGCAAAACTATCAATGCAGTCTGCAGTGGCAAAGGCCAGAGGTCATCAAGCTCCGACGAGATATCCACAAACTGAGTCCACTCTGGGGGAGGCCATGAGTAAGGGGCAACAGGAATTAGGAGATGAATCTTTATTTGGTTAGTGTTGTGAAATACTTGAAATATACAGCAATATTCTGCGTGGAGGGACATACTTAAAAAGTGTTTCTCTGGTCATGGTGGCAAACTATTTAAGGGGTTTCATGTACTTTATCAGGTGATGCTTTGGGAGAGACTGGTGAAGTTTTTAAACGGCTTGGAGAGATCAAAGACAATCTGGTAAGTCTTCAAAACACTGTTGATGAAATGAATGAAGTCCTTATCAGAAGTATTTAATGTGAATGTTCAAATGTAGTTTCCTCAACTAAGCTCTAACAATATAAATATTCAAAACAGGATGCTGAAGTAAAACAAAATTTTTTGGACCCATTATATCTTTTGGAAAGCAAAGAAATTAAAGAAATAAATGTAAGTAAAGCACTACCTTAGTATTTTTGTTTTGATAAATCCAATTGAAGTTGTTTAATTAATATACTTTCAAAAGCATCATAGAAAGAAAATGGAAGGCAGACGACTTGACTTTGATTGTAAAAAGAGGAAAGGCAGCAAAAGTGAGTCAAATGTGACAATATAAATAAACTTTCTGAGTGTTTTAACCGGAGAATGAAATATATTTTAACCCAATTGCTATTCCATAGTTCCTCCTGAAGAAATTCGTGCTGCAGAAGATAAGTTTGAAAGTTCAAAGACAGTTTGCTACAATGCAATGTTAACTTTAACAGAAGGAGAGGCAAGTTCTTTTCCAATAATTGTTTCAAATAAATTTGAAAAAATTAATCTAATTTTCTAAAATATTAAGTCTTTTTTGCACATTCTTCTGTCTTCAACACAGGATGAACAAATCACGCAACTAACAGACTTTGTCAAATCTGTTATGGAATATCATCAGCAATCCTATGATATTCTTGAAACGCTTGTTTCCACACTGGATGATAAGTAAGTAGGATTGAGATGTTAAAATGGAGACATAGACATCCAGCTACTTTGCCCTGGCTCTGCATATATTGTCTAGATTTATGTAAACTTGCCCAACACATTAATCTGCTTAGGGTAAGCGAGGCGTCAAGCAGACCACGGAAGGAACGACGCACAGAACACGAGCCAAAATGGACTGGCGATGATGATGATGATGAAGATGACAACAGCAGTGGTGGTTACTCCTTCTCTCCTACGCCAGCTAAACGAAATGGTGACAGCACAGCATCACCCTGTGCCAAAGCACTTTATGACTTTGAACCAGGTAGATTCAGAGATTTCAAATCACTATAAAGCCTTCTAAGCCTCTTAAGCATTCAAGACTGTATATTTTGTCTTTAATTGCAAGGCACTAGAATTTGAGTATTCATAGTCTGATTACACATCAGGTTTCATTCAAACAGAGTTAAAAGTAAAATAAAATTCATCTCATTATTCAGTTGTAACAACTTTAAACACACTGACAAGTCTTATTTCAAACACATGCATTCTCTTTTGTATTTTAGAAAATGATGGCGAGCTGGAATTTGTTGAAGGTGATATGATCACTTTAACAGGTCGTATCGATGAAAACTGGCTAGAGGGGACAGTGAATGGTAAAAGTGGATATTTCCCTGTGAATTATGTTGAAATTATCAATGATTTACCCTAGTTACCGTACACAGTTCAATAGCAACCACATGATCATGCATTGCAATTTAACGCTTTTGGGATTGGAATATAATGTATTAACTACATGATTGAAAAGTACCAGTCAATGTGTAGGACAGTTTAGCTTTATTTTGAAATTTCTGTTACATTATGTTATACATTCTTCATTCATTCCTGATCATTTTGCTAATCCAATGACCGAGGGTAAAACAACCCTCTAGAAACTAATTAAACCTGTGATTGAATTTTTGCTAATGAGATATAAAAACATTTGTATGAAGATTTAATACACAATATATTATTGTACCTAAACAGACGACTTTATTTAACTAAACAATCTCAGGATAAGCTCACGATCAAAACTAGAAGATCTATGCTCCCATCTTTGTGTTCCGACCTTTATGAGGAACGTTTTAAGGCGTGTACTGTAGGTACTCTACTGGTACCATATTCTACCTGCGATTCTGTGTAGTTTTTCCTGTTCTTTTGCCCCAACCAATTTCATCAACATGAACAATTCCATTGGACAAAGCATAGAAGACCATTGAGAGCACAGCAAAACCGACCGAGATCACAGCGTTGATCTTGTTCTTTCGTGAATTTTCCTCTTCGCTCTTGAGTTCGTTCGGTGCTCTGAGTTCGGGCGCAACTAAAAATGCAACAAAAATTATTGACTCCTTTCAGCCATCGAATGGTATAAATGCCAGACATAGTAAATTTGGTGGTAGGTGAGGAAACGTAGTGTGATTTGGGGGGGGGGGCATGGTGTGTGATTTGGGGGGGGGCGTGGTGAAAACGTTAGAAAACGAGTTTTCTTGAATTATCAGATAGATATACCTTTAGGAAAATACAGGCGAATGATTTTATCGCAATATTGCTGAAGATTTGGATGCTCCAGGATGCTCGATTTCAGTTTATTTGTCGGTAAAGGTATTCGTAGCATGATGTGGAGATATGAAAACACTTTGGAGTCCAGCGTTGTGGGGCTGAAAGTGAGAGAAGATGCAATGTATAATATATCGTGAGTTTGATCGGCGCTCGTTAGATTTGTGGAGTCGACATCGTTCACCTACCTATCGCCAAAGAGAAACTCCTGGTCACCAAGCATGCTGTTTACAACTTCAAAACAAGCTTCTGCTCTTTTTTGAAGCTGGATTTCAAAGAAGAGGTAACCGAATTAATAATCGGTTAAAAGCGATTCGTTGATGATTTTCGTATTATTTCGTATGAAAGAACTCTACCTTTATTTCAGTGACCTCAGATATGACATCACCTTCGTCGATGTTCAACTTGTGCGCGATGAAATTCTTAGCGTGGTTGAAATACTTCGCGGGAATGATATAGTTGTATGGAAACTTGAGCTGCTTTGCGTAGAAACCGCGAGTAAATTGAGTGTAGTTTTGGTCAACTAACCAGGTCATGTAGAGCTAAAAATGAGCATGAAAATAATTAATGTGCCGCTCAAGAGAGAGGGTAGATCCTGACAAGGATTTCAAGACGTACCAGAGCTGGTCTCAGCATTTCTTCAACGTAGCAACACAGACCAAGAGTGTCCATTTTTTGTTTGTCTGACAACACTTCATCAGTGTTGAAGTTCTGAGAGGAAAAACAAGCAAAGATTGTTGGTAGGTAAAGTTTTTAAATTTTGGAGCCCAATGATTCTATAAGAACTTACATTTTCCTTTAAGTAGTCAACAATATCATCAAAACCACAAAACATATCATCTGTTAACTGTAGGACTGGTAATGTTGCTAAATGGTAAATACCAAATATATTGCTTCAACACCGTCAAACAGAAATCGTAACCAAGTTGGTAAATCACTGTTCATGTGTGCGAGGGAAAGAGTGTGAGAGAAAGAACAGCTGTGAATATGTGTTGGATCATGTGGTCTCTTGTATTCTCAGTTTCTACAGTGGGTTGTTGCATCATGGAGTAACCCTATTACCTGTTGGTGACTTGTACGGGTTATTACAGCAGGTAACTTTTACTGGAAAAACAGCAAACTGGGAATATGCCTAAACATAAAAGTTGTTTATAGAGAGGTTTAAGAAATATAGAACACTATATTCAACTCAATCAACAGACAACTTTCAACCCTTCTTCGAAAAATCGAAAAGTCACTGTCTCAGTCTGTCTCCACTCCTCGGTAAACTCAAGGAGCATTATCAACCATTTTTAGGCAGAAAGCATGAATATTTTTAACGGAAATATATGTGTACAGATATACTCTACACAGCAACATACCATTACTTGCAAACAGGTGGGATCTAGCGACGGTATGCCCCATTCACCGGCCCAAGTTAACAAGTTCGCTTCAGCCATCTTGAAAAAAATCGCACTCGTTTATATATGTGTTCATACGTCGTGTAAGCAACACCAAAGTGATAAAGATCGTCTCCAAAAACGTACGTCATTTTGGTGACGTCTTACGCATAATTAGTGGCAATTAGTTCTTTTTAATATTTCTGGGGGCATAACCGTTTGAATTGGGACACACTGCAGCAGAGTAAATTGTATAGGGTACGTTATTAGCATAATTTTTACGCTCCTGGGAAACAATTAGTAAATTCATAGGAACTTAATTCTATTGTGCCTTTAGGAACAGAGGGGATTACACATCAAACGTCGCGCCGAACGCATCAGAAACAATAGATAATGAAGCATTTCTTGTTTGTGCTGTTGTAGTGAGGGGCGAAGAAGAAGCTAAGAAAGTGTTCGTTTATCTAACTATTTAAATAGACACAAAGCTAGCCTACTAGTTGGAAATATATATACATACACATACATATGGACTATGGCGCACAAAAGGAAGTGAAGTGACGGCCTTTATCAAGCAACGGGTTGAAATTAGAACGAACTTCAATCAAAGTTGACGAGCAAAGAAAGCGGCAAGTGAGTGTTCAACTGTGTATCATAATATTATTGTAATGCCTGTTTTAGACGTTATACTTAGAGCTAATATTCTTGCACGTTTGTATGGTGACATCAAATAAGTAAATTAGCTTGTAGGTACACCACGTAAGTATATATTTAATACTGCAAAGCTTTCGGGCTTCTTTATTGCACTGATGAGGACTCGGGTTAACGGACAGAAAGCCTTGCACTATTAGATACTTACGTGGTGTACCTACAAGCTAATTTATTTATTGAACTTAGAGCTGTTCATAAGAGCCTGGTTGCCCGAGATTTAACGAAGTGTTAGATGATTTTAAGGTATTACAATAAGTCTTGCTGAAACCAAGCAACTGCTTAGTTGCTATTGTTAAGATGACTACACGACATATATCAGGCTAAACGAGATCATGTGAACAGCCTCGGCCCTCAAAGAAAGATTTTAGCTCTTCAACAAATATAACCGCATTAGATTCGGCACATGATAAGTCCGACGTCTAAGGGCCTGTTTAAACACATGGAGCGAGTTATCCCGGCTAGGCGAGGTAAAAAGCATATCCCGTCAAAGGTTTAACTTGATTAGTCTTTCATTATAGACCTTATATCTTATCGCAAGGCAAACACGCACACACAATTTAAATATCACCATAACATACATCATTTAGAAGACCTAAACTAAAATTATTATTATGCTGATTTTTATAAATCTACCTATGTTTTTTTATAAATCTATACGTAAAAATTAAGCACTTTAAATATTAAAATGTACAATAATTTAATATAGGCGTCTGATCTGACGTGATGTGCATGATGTTAGATTACGCATTTAGTGTTATTTTTTCAACCGTTATTTTTTGTTCCAAGGTGCTGCACCCAGAGTATTATTAACCACTGTTTGTGTATTATGGAAGTGGTGACGAGGCTGTGCGAGGATAGCCCATAAAAGCATCGTGAAACGACAAAAGGAAGCCAGTAAAGGTAAGCAAATACGATACGCTAAGGTCGCTTTATACGTCGCTTTGCAAGCAAATGCTTAGACGATTTTAATTCAGGAAAGGATTAAGTGCGTCTCCCTTGTCAAAAGATTGATCGTCACTTAGAAACTTAGATGTATGACTGCGCCAGTGTCTGAGATAGTCCAGTGCGTTTATCCATCTAAAGGAAAAAATATTGCATGCAGTTATAAGCAACAGCGGCATTGGAAATGAGTGCAGAGATTTCATCTTTAATTAAAGATATATCATGCAAAAGGTGTCTTCATCAGAAGTCAGCTTTAACGCTAATCTTAGCCTTCGGCATATTTGGCATATGCCTGACCATCCTGACTTTGCTGTCTTCAACACAATAATCATAAATGCGATCTACAATGGCGCTCTTTCACTCACTTTTGCTTCTCCTCTGAGTCTTTTGCCATTAATTCATATTTTCTTTTGTCAACAACGACATTAAACGAAGCCTTATTTTTGTCTTGTTTTTCCTCTGTCTGATCTTGAACTTCAATGATCATGTCAAGATCAATAAATCTAAAAAGAAAAGACACAATCATCGGATCATAACTTTGAGCAACACTAGGAATTTCAAGGAAACAAAAACTTCTTCTATCACTGAATTCCCCACATGAAGAAAACCATGAATATCCAAAATAATTTGTGTTGAATAATCTCGTAAGGGCGATGTTAGTTTCTTTGTACTGTTGTGCACATTAGTGCAAATCGAAAAGAAACAGTTGTGTAGTTATACCCTTGTGGTGACGAGTTACTGCTTTGCTTATAGTAATAAAGCTTTCCACTTTCGTCAGTTGCGAACCATCTTCTTCGCCATTGATGGCCAGTTAAACCCTTTACTCCTCGTTTACACAACCAGCCACGAAGCTGCGTGAAGGAAAAGGTTGAAACAATTACATACTATAGACGATGTATTTTAGACTGATGGAATATCTGTCAGTGAAATCACAAATAACATAGAAACCAGCCCAGAAACAGTACAAGCAAAATATCAAAACGTACATTCATCTTTGCGAGCAACTCTCTTTCCTCGTTCTTTAGTTGTTTGTGTTCAGCTTCAGACGTACAGAGTCGTATTTTCAAGTCCTCCACGAGAATTTGTAGTTCACTGATTTCCGTCTGCATTTCTTCTCGTTGCTTTTGCAAAGCGAAAACATCATCTTGCAGTTTGTTATTTTCAACCACCAGTTCCCTGTTATCTCGAGTTAAATCCTTCTTCTCATGTTCTAAATTCCTGGAATAACGAAAAAGAAGAAGGCTCTTATAGCTTTTTAAGTCCTAGAAATACTCGACTAACTTCACACTTACCAAACTTGACTCGTCTTCTCTTTGAGCTTAGCTTCCAGCTCCTGGAAAAATGAAATCAAAGTTAGAACAAACGTAGATATCATTGTACGAATCCTAAAGATAGGAACCATCGAATTTAGGATATCAGAAATAGTAATGTAAATAATTTGGTGTGCGACTATCTTTTTCCAGTAGGCGAATGCGTAAGAACGGTGCAATGGAATCCTTTCACGTTGTGCATTGTGCATTCGACTAACCTTCCATTCGTCTGTAGACTGACCCAATGAACTGAGCTAGATTGAAAGACACAGTTAGGAACATGTTTGCGCAAGAGATTACTCCGCCCTGACTTTTTTCATTGAATCTTTTTACTAATCATATAGTCGCAATTGATATTATTTCACGATAATCATCAACATCCTTTATTGATCGATTAAATCACATAATTGTTATCATAAAATATTGGTCATTAAAACTCGATTAGTCATCAAGACCCAATTATCTATATCCTATGCGCGCATGCGCATGTTACCTTTGATGTTTTGCTTGTGACGTTTTTCAAAGTTTCTTTAATTGATGACCTCAAGCCGTTCCGTGATTTAATGTTGTCCAGAGATCCTGTGGAACCGCGAAATTGGTCTATGTCTTCCTCCTCATCATTATCAAATACGTCACTAACTGCGTCTTCATCTTCCCTTGGTATCGTAACCTCGTTCCTTTCATCCTCGTGACTGAGGCTCTTCGCTTTTATTAATTGTTTGTCCTGGGGTACAGGCAGCTCCGACTCATCTGCGACCTTCGTTTGTTCTGCTGTGAAATGATGCAAAACAGTTACGAATTAAAACTAATTTTGTGGCCCTGGTGCCTTGGTCACTGGTCAGAGATGAAGCTAGTAGTTGTCAACCTTTAGCGTTCTCTTTCAGCTGTTCGGCAATCCTCTTTTTCTTCTCTTTCCCATCTTTCCCAGAAAGAGGATTTCTTAACCACTCAAACGAATTTATATCAGCTACGAACTTGGACCAACTATAAGCACATAAAAAAGTTTTCATTTTAAGGTATATTCATGCGGTTATCTTCCGCTAAACTTCTCCAAAGGTTTTCAACACGAAACAAACAGCGTTCAGAACTTTACATACGGTTTTCCCTTTTCCGATTTCCCCTTTGCTGTATTTTGATCTACTGAATTCTCTTGATTTTCCAGATCAGCTCTTGTAAAATCGAGGCCTTGCCATTGCCATGGTTCAATGTCCACCTTTTCATCCACATCCAGTTCATTCACTTCCTCCGGGATGTCTTCACAACTGTTACTGTATTCATCTTCACTTACCTCGGCGAGCTCCGACATCCTCGAAAACTCCTCGGCTTCACTCATGTGACTGAAGTTACTTTGCATGTCGTCATCTCTGGAAAACACGACAAGGGAAAGATATTCTCCTCAATAACAGTGACACAAGTGAGCTCAACTGAAAAGACCTTACCAAGCTCTCAAATCAGCCCCCCTTTCACTTACATTGCACTTCCTTCTTTAATAAACTCGCATTTGATTTTCAGCCCACATTTTGCAGTAATAATCTTCTTCGACAACGACTTAAATTCCAGTTCCAAATCGTGTCTGCAAATGAAATCAAAACTAATTCTCAGCTTGACAAATACAATCGAGATTGAATCAGTGTTTCTTGTACTCTACCAATATCTCGCCGTTTGTGGCTTAACCAGACAAAAATTAAAGAATTTTTCGTATTCACTTTTCGTATTCACTTACGTTTCACCATCCATGCTCACATAGGACGCGATATTGCAAGGAAATATTGCTAATTTCTTCCTTTTTGAACCTTGAATCTGAAATATGGTTCAAAATTTAACAAACCGTTGCCAGCAACACACGATCAGCAGAGGAGTATGATCCTACTCACGTCCTCCATGACAAACATGTAATCTTTTTTCTTGAACGACGAACCAGCCATGTCCTGGAATCAGAGTTGGATTCAGTCTAAAGTCTCAGGACTTTATCATAAGCAGTCGATGAAACTACGCGCGGCTCGTTACCGTTCAGAGCACAGGTTTAAAGTGAAGGTCCTGTGGTGATAATGCAGTACAACTGCAGCTGGGAATTAGTGAACTTACTTCAAATGAGGGCAAGCGAGAGAAACTCGTATTTTCAGAAACCATCTTCTAGTGTTACCTTGTATAGTGTCACGATAAGCTCCACCGAGTATGGGGGAAGCCATTTTGCAGTACAGGTTGACGTTTTCGTGACAGTATTTGGTACTTGAACATTCCATGATGGCTAATTAAGAGAAGAATGATAACGAACTTTCACTCCAGTGGTGACACGAGGTCAAGGAAGAGCAGTTTATGCTAATCAGCTGATACATTATACATGCGATTCTCAAATTCTTCCGGTGTCTTGACAAGTTGTTGCACGTTTCATATCAGTGATCACAGGGAGGAAGTTTCAATCAATTTCTACATCTCGAATATTATGACACGAACTTCTCTTTCTGATGGGAATGAAGCACAGTAATAGAATGATATCATAGCTATTTCATACCTTGATGGAGGACTTCGTCCGGTGACCACGAAACCATAATATATTTAACTCTGTTGGTTTCCTGGCAAACAAACATCAGAGAGGAACACACAACATGATTACCCTTGTCAGTAGAAAGCAAACCTATCGTATTACTAATCCATTGATCTCAAATCTAAACACAACACTACTGAATTTAGCATTTCTGTTTCTTATGCTTTGCATTATCGTTGCAATTTTAAGAGAGCTTTAAGGTCAACTCGTCTAAATAAATATGCTTTGTGTAGGTTACATGTTCTAAATATTTGGCTTAAACTTATAGTTTCAACGTCGTTTGGCCTTTTTAGAATATTTGTAATACAATCTTACTTAGTTCGTGCATACAGTCCCCCATTAACAAACCAACAATTAACCAATCTTGCACGCAATCATGTGAAATATCAAACGGCTAATACTCAATAAAGCACCGAAATGCACAATATTCAACCATGGCGACATAATTAAGTATATTAGTCAGTACGCCAGACAATATCAAATGCGTAGCTACCAGGATTTGGTGATCTAAACTAGCTTGTAGCGCTGTCAAAGTAAATATGAACACCACTAGTTTACCATATTTTTCTTGCTTATCGTGCGTGCCTGTGTCGTGCATGATTCTACATATACACAATGGTAATGGTGTAACACTCTTTCGAAATGTTTACACTAAGTTTTCAACTATAATATAGCCTAATGAATATTTCCTTACATTTACTTCCCGGTAAATAAAAAACATTAAATACAAACCAGTCCTCCTGAGATTTCACTTCAAGATATTCATAGGTAACGATGTATCGGAATTTGCATGCCGTTCGTACGCTCTGTCTGAGTTTGCGACTCATTTTCCTCACCCCAAATCGACTCATTTTTAAGCGTAAGCGAAAACGATGATTATTTAGTTTCGCTTCACAACGTTTGCATTTCTTTTAGTAGAGAAATTTGAATATTTAAACGAGTATGATGAATGAATCGAACAAACTGTTTGGTAACAAAGATTTCATTTCCGCATTATGATAGCTCAAATTGAACACCAGACTCTCCGCTGCATGGGTTAACCTTTAGCCTTTGAATATTCTTTTCCACACATTTTGTAATTTTGATGCCCTGCTGTAAAATAAATCATTTTGGGCAATTACGTCACAGATACATGGAGGTGAGGTTGACGCGAGTGCTATACATTGTAATGCGGAAGCTTTCCTATCCAATCAGATGCCACGGTTTGCCTGACCAATCAAATTAAAGCCAGAGCATTCCTGTCCAAATATCTCTGTACATGTAGTGGAAAACCGGCTTCATTCGCCACTTTATTCACGACTTTTTTCGCGAATTATTATAATATATTTCGTGACTCGTATTCATTCACAATATTTTACTATTACTAAAAACTAAAGAATATTAAACGAATCTATTGTGGTATAATTTTTAATTCTTTTTTAATAATTTCCATGTTTTTGTGGCTACGGCAACTATACACTAGGACTGTTCGACATATCATGTGTGAGTAGATCAATGAATTTTTTATCGTTCTATAGGATGCATCGATTTATAGAAACTATTTATTGTGGTGTTTATATTTACTAACCCCTGGAATCTAGAATTTAAATTCACCCAATTTCGTTAGCTTTTTTGCATTTGCAAAAATGCCAAGTTCTTTGTATGGAAAAATTGTCTATTTTTATAGAGAATCAATGGTCTTCTCAGATTTTCCATCGATCATTCCCGATATATAGTGTCAAAAAATCTGACAATACCATCGCCATGTTCTCTATGAAAACACTGCCATGCTTTCCTACATTTTTAGATTTTTAAACAGCAAGTTCAGTTCGATTTCAACATAGTCCAATTTCTAAAATTCCTGAATGAGTTTAAGATCTTTTATACTTTTGATCTGGGGCATTTGTGTTTCTTCGAAATCACAGTGAAATATGGACAACATTGCTTGAGATTCCCGTCGTAATATTGATATCCACAGCATTTCCATGACGAGCGTCTGTAAGGTCCATAGAAGTCACGTTTTATTTTGTACTTTTTACCACAACAACAAACCTCGGTATATGGTAAATACGAACCATCACCACAAGCTGCAAGATATTTTGTTTAAAGTATTTATTTAGTGCCTAAAACACGCAGTATACTGGCAACTAAGCGAGTGCCAAAACTGGGAGATGTGAGGCAATTGTGCCTACAATACCATAAGCGGAACCGTTGGAATATAAAGAGGTCTTTGGAAGACACTTCATTCACCTCGATTTTTCTCCCGCTTCCACTTAATAACCGCATAATAGCAAAGACGAGTAGCTTAAGAGCCAATCATTATCTACTTGTTTAATGTCAATCTTTCCTAATTTTAAACTGGTTTCTATGTATAGTTATAGCCTTGTTCTATCGCATTTATTGACCTTTTCAGTCGTCATATACTCTGGTATTATCATATGCATTTCACCATGACATAATTGTGAAAGATTTAGAGCTGAACATAAAAAGCAATCCAGTCGACCAAGTGTTATTTTCCCAGCATATTAATTTCAACTCTCGTGATGAAAGAAACGCTTTTAGAAAGCTGTTCCGCATGCCTGATGGTAAATGCGTTAGTTTCACATGGAAACTATAGTAGTTCTAGTGATTTTTGAATCGTAAATACCGACAATGGTTGGTCTCTTTTGTTGCTTTAGAACGGCAAATTTATGTACATTATAAGACAGACTAAATCCAATCATTGCTTTATAGTGTGTTATAGATTTACTACATCAGGCATATACCGTTCTGAAATTGAATTGACTAGATGAAAAAAGGGAAGAAAATTTTGTATGGTCTTTAGCACAACTATATAGGCGCTACCCACCTCGTCTCCATCCAGAATAAGTTCGTTTTCCATTAAGAGCTGCATTGTCTTCACTTATTTCTGATGCTTCAGCATCCATATTTTCTGACGACTCATCATCTTCCATCATTTCACCAAGTTCGTTGTACACAGTCTTTGACTGAACTAATACAGCGAAGAAAATTGTGAGTGGAAAGTCATTATACAGAAAAAATCATCGATGTTCAAGCCTATAAATTCATCAGTTTCAACTGTTGGAACCTGATTTACTCTCTACCACATATTTTCATCCTGATGACAGTCATTGCTTCTATAGGTGCACTAATACACACTATGAAGTGTACTACCCGAACGAATATATAATTATTGCTTTAAGCACCGTTAATATAAGAAACATACACGATCAATAGCATGTAAAATGAATTACATTTGGTAAATATACGGGACATTTGGTTTTGATCCAGAGACTAGAGCCGAACAATTTACCGAGAGGATTTACAGCAGAATATTTGACGAAAGCTATGGAATGAAGAAGTCTATGAAATACGGTGACAAATAAGAGTCCTTACCTGATGTAAATGCAAGAAATACTCCAAAGGAAAACAATAGCATGAAAATTCTCGCCATCTTTGATTTCCGGCAAACAGTTCCCTTGTTATTTGCTAGCTCAGATGATTAAACGATGGTGAACTAGTGAACTATACACAAGATATTGCAAACCAGCGCTCTATATATATTGAGTTCACACCCAGACGTGAAAACAAAGAGATCTATCAATTTTCTAGGTCTTAGCATAAAATCTTGACAATTATGGGCAGTATCAAAGGAGTGGAAATTAAGTTCCAAGATCAAAGACTATCGAAAATAAGTGTATACTTGTCTAAGTGAATGACAGAGAAAACTTAGAGTCAAACACGATACCATTTAATTCCTTGCCTAAAATGCTATCGATGTTGATGCATTAACAACCATGAAAGAAAAATATGTTTAGTAGATACTGGGCAGAGTCATTTTAGTTTATTCACGACAGAAAAGGCAAAATCGTAATTAGGGTTGGGATTGACGATACAATGGCTTTCAAATTGGCTCCCTCAGCTTGATGAAATACTGGATTGATTCCTTTAAAACGATTGGGCTGTCTAGTTAAAGTAGTTGGCTATAGCAATTAGGATTTCCAGTTAATTTCACTGAAGAGTTCCCACGTTAGTCACATGAATAATTGGATACATGAATGTGTAACATTCTAATAAAAAAGGATGAAAGATTTATAAGATGCAAGTCTACGCGAGCAACGGTTGCCAGGCTGGATTGGTCTGAAAGATATATAGTTTCTTACATTACCTTGGGGATAAATTTTGTCAAGAGTATTTTCATCTAAAATCCGATTAATTAATTACTGCAAGGTTACATGAGCTACTAGTAGATTTATAGTTGAAACACATTTATTGAATTACTTGAATACTTTGAAACTTTCAAATAATGTAATAAACTGTGTGAAGATTAAAACAGTTTCCAACAATTAACCTTCGAGAGAATATTTCCTACATATTCTTCTTGCTGTTAACGCGGAAATCCTTCAGCAGCAAAATAGAGAAAATCTCCCGGAATTTCGTTTCAGCTTTGAAATATGACAAAAATCTAGACCTTTCCACTTCACTCTCCAACATCAACATCAAGTCTAGCGGCCTTAATGCCGGGCAACTATTTCAATTTCCTGTTTTTGATATTGTTTTATGTCGGTTTTTTCCATCATGCAGGAGATGGCATTGGTGATTTTCGTACCATAAATGACCCTGACGAAATTAGGGACACCGGAACTGCGCGGGGCGGGCCCTTCTTGCCTGTTACCAGCAGGGAGAAAGGAGAAATGGATGATCTTCCATTTTAAAAAAAGTGCTTGCAATTTGGTTAAAAACAAAAATGCGGTTAACGAGCTTAAAAAATAGCAGATGCGCGCTGTAAATCTTCCTTCAACCAAGTCAAACTTTGCAGTCGTCTATCGGAAGTATCACCATAGTTTTGATACTAGGTATATCTAATTCCTCTGTGAACGGGCTTTCAGAAGATCCTGGCTTCAGAAGCTTGAAAGTATTCCCTGTTTACGTCATAATTTACACATCAATCTCTCTTCAAATGAAGTGCATTCTCAAAGAATTTGAAGAGCTCTTTGATTGAGCTCTTTTATTTTCTTTGCCACTTCGATATATCATTCGAGCGTCTTTATAACAATGGCTAATATTGGCATTCATACAGTAGCTAGCAATATATTTAACTGTTATTGCATGTGGTTTATTTTAAGTTGTTCTGTGTGTTCGCGATATTGCTTGTTTTTCCTGTGTCGTTTCTTTTAACAGACACACGAATACACATTATTACTAATTTTTTTTATTACAAATATTTATGAAAAGAACAGAATGATTTCGATTAAAAAAACTTTATTGAAGTGTGTGGTCCCTACTCCTGAGCAGCGACCATATATTTATTACTTTATAATATCAATGAAGATGTACAATTGATTTTAAGGGTCGTAACTTCAGTACTACCTGCATTATATTATTTTCTACAATAAACGACTGTCTTTGCAGTATACCAACTAGGTCATCTTAAAATATTTTATGTTATAAGGTTTGTCTTGTTGTCGGAACAGTATCATTTCGAGATGATGATATGGTGCTAATATCATTATTTTTATCAATATCATCATTATCATCGTCATCACTACCATCATCATCATCGTTATCACCACTACCAGATCCCGAACCAGATACATCAATATCTTTCTCCGTTTTGTCCGTTCCACATTTCATAATCTGTCCCTGATTCACGTCCTTTCCTGCGAAGATACATTCACAATATTGCTCAGGAAACATATCAAAGACTTCGTGCACTTAACCACCGCGTTTGAGAAATATTTCTATAAAACAACCGAGCTATACTTTGCTACACTAAAACACAATCCAGTCATAACATAATCCACAGCAAGTACCTTTTCTTACGACGACTTGCGCTTCTTTTGATATCGAGGCAAGCTCGTTCACAGCTATACATGAATAGAGGCCTTCGTCCGAGAGACTCGCATCTGTTATGATCAACGAACCGTGAATGGTTTGAAATACTCGTTCATCATCAAGGTTCACTGCTTCATCATATTTCCTCCAAATGATTTTCGAAGGAGGCTTAGATATGGCTTTACAAGTTAGAATGATTTTCGAGCCTTCGAATGCCTCAACTGATTCAGGACTGGAAGTAAAATAAGGTTCATCTGCAAGAGAGATGGAGTTAGCTTACTGATAGATCCTTCCTGGACCTCTACGAAAAACAGTTTAGAACTGATAGAGCTATCCATGCAGTATAAATAAAGTTAGTTTAGTTTAGATTTCCTCTTGTAGTAACACTGGATCAATAAGAGATGATCCTTACTGGACCTCTAGGAAGAACAGTTTAGAACTGATAGAGTTATCCAGTGTAAACAGGAGGTAAAACTACCCTAGTGGTGTAATTACTTACGTCCAACGGTTAGTGATGCCGTTGCAACTGCAAAACTTTTCTTATTTTTTGCAGCGCAGATATACGTTCCTGCATCAGACCGCTGGATATTTCTGAGCAGAAGCGTGCCAAACGAGCTGACGTGAGCATTTTCTTGGTTTACGATTCTTGAACCATTCCTGTACCAGATAAACTCCACTGCAGGCGATCCAGTACAATGTATAGAGACCAACCCATTTTCACCAACTGTGGCTTTGGCGGGTACAACTTTAACTTCAGGATCATCTAAGAGATTTTGGTGGAAATGGCATTTCAAACAGGTTAGAATTTTAGATTTTAATATCAATGACTATGAGGAAAGTAAAACGCAAATTAAAATCGCGAGGGTCTTTGAAGTCTAAGCCAAAATTCCGAGCATTGAAAATGAATAATAGACGCAAATGATTTAGTTTTAATAAGCACTTATGCAGAGTCTACTGAGGCTTCTTCCTAATTCACATGCACTTGTTCTAAAAATCGAGGAGTAGAGTCGCTTCATGAAAACCTACGGCACTTCTCCAGGTCTTCCTTAGTCAATGTCTTTATCATCGTTCCTCGCAGTCCTGGTGGGTTATAGCAAGAAACTTGCATTGCAGCGTGCTTTGTTAACCATCTTTTGAAATACATCGCATGACAATCACAGAACAGCATGTTTCCTGTAATATTTCTATATCTTTCTTGGATTCTAAGCGAGATTGGCAAGTCCCAGGCTCTAAAGAGAAAAGCATTATAGGATAGTCTTGAATATTAAGTTATAAAAAATCCTCCAACTATAAGCGAAAAGTTAATATTCAGTTCACTTACATAAATCGCAGGAGAGGATTCCTAACAAAAGCATTGTTTGCCACGTAGGTAATTTGATTAAAATACAGATATCTGAAATTGAATGTAGCATGTAATAAGAATTTGAAGCGCAATACAGCGACGGGGCTACTTTAATAACAGGGGGAGGGGTTATTCACATATCTTTGCCCCTATATAGTACGTAAATACTGTACTCATGCGCAATAATTTCCAAAGGAATTAACAATGTAGAACAAAAGGAATTAACAATGTAGAACACAATCCACCCCCTAGAATCCACTGGGCAAGCTTAGTTAACTGGATATAAATATGAACACATACAAATCCAATAAGGATGTAAGTCCCGACAGGGTTCCTTTTGAAATTCGCGTGAGTCTATTGGAATCTAAATATCTGAGAAAGAAGTTTTTCCTTTCAATCCATTAGCGTTCAGTAATATATACCCAGGTGTAGGAAGACTTTATATGCACTTACAGTGTTGTTAGTTTCTTTAATTCTTGAAAAGCGTTGTCCTCAATTTCTGAAATCATGTTCAAGCCTAAATGCCTATGGGATATTTTAAAATGTAAAGACTTCGAAAGTGCAGAAAGCAACCTCGACGTTTGAAGTTTCTTTGGGTTTTTTTTTTAAAAAACCTATATAACTACATTCAGTCATTAATTCATAGACCGCAAATATAGAGTTCATAATTTTTTTATAGCAACGCTATTATGTATATTCATGCATGTATTCAGACTTTTAAGTGAAAAAAACATGGTTATTATATAGTGATAAGTTTGCTTACAGGTCAACCAGATTTTCTAAGCCAAGGAATGCATCCTTCAGGATAATACTAATATTGTTTCTGTAAAGATACCTACATGGGTAAAAATATCAATAGACCAAGTTGTATCGAAATAAATGTCATCATGCTGTCAGTTATGAGATTGATCAATCTAAGGAATTCAACTTACAGCGTCCGCAAATCTCGTAAATCTAAGAAACTTTTTGAGTCAATATGTGCGATTTCGTTGGCTTGAAATTCTCTGTAAAAATGTTGTGAAATATTTGATGGATCGATGATAGATTAATCTAACTGTATACAGCATCAAATCTTCACGTTTTCACCTTCAGACTGCGATATTATTTAACACTGAATTATTTTACAATTACTCACAAAACTCGCACCGCTCTGAGGCCAGCAAGCGTTCCTCGCGTAATAAGATTCAACCTATTATTGTGCGCAGATCTAGAAAACGACAGATACATGAAAATCAATTGTTAACGCCGGATACGCATTAGGCATTACATACGCGCTTATAAAGTGTTGGTGAAATTTATCAAAACGAATTTTCGTGGTATACATAAGGTTAAGCTCTTGAAGGCGGAAGAAAGAACCAGGGTCGATTGTCTTGATGTCGTTGTGGTAAATATGACTGCAAATAAAAAGTAATATGCGCTGTAGTTAACTCCATCACGTCTTACTTGGCATATGTGTCAAATCGCGACTTACAGTTTCCGCAAAGATACTAAATCAGCAAACATCCTCGATGTCACTCTTTCAAGCTTGTTGTTATCTAAATATCTGTAACCATTGACAATGTAGTACGACGGTCATTTTTAAGAATAATGTACGAAAAACACAGATGCTTGCCGTATAAAAATAACAGACTTACAATTCTGTGAGACCTGAAAGACCTTGGAATGCTTCATTCTCAATCTCGCTTATTCGATTAAAACCTATTATCCTGGGACAAAATAGAGACGAAACGTTAGTTCCAAGATTCCTAAGATCATTCAACACTCCTTAACGTGCTGGACCTTTATTTTCATTTTCTATAAGAACGGTTGCATGCATACATTTGAAATTTTACAAAGTTCGTTGCACACTTACAACGTTCGTAGGGATGATAGCCCCTGGAACATACCATTTGTCAATTTCGTTAAGTTATTCCGGAAGAGGAATCTTAAAAGAGACATGGTTACATTCTAAGGTTAATCTTAAACATGCATGCAATAATCCTGTACATAAACATTGCATTTGCTGCATGATTTTCACTTACAATGACTCTAGTTTTACGAGTGGGGCAAATGTTCCTGGTTCAATGTATTGAATGTCGTTATCTCGTAGTGATCTAGAAAGAGATCTGTATGGTGACCTGCGATACAAACGGAGCGTGCATTTTACGGCCGAAATACTAGCTATACTTACAAAAACTCTAAGGATGAAAGGCCTACAAATGTTTGCGTGTTCAGACTTCGGATTTTATTTTGGTAAAGATATCTATGAAAAAAAGAGATTATTCAGTAAACATGGCTTCAACTCAGCCCCGTTGCTTCGTAATTGACGTAATCTCTGAACTAATACACAGTAGCTATATGCAGTAAAGTTATTCTTCATTTTCTTAAATATCTGTTTGGAGTTGCATTATCATGTGACTTACATTTTTTTCAAAGACGAAAGATCTTTAAATGTGCCATTGTTGAGTTCTGTTATTTGATTACCAAACAACGACCTGGATGGTAGATAATGCTATAACTTCAGTTTATATTGGAAATTTTTACACTCTATTTTTCGAATAGTTCATAAAACAAGTACTCAACGAACTATAAAAGCTAGGAGGATCTTCATGAAGTGAAACTGTTCTTTATTCATAACTACACATTACTTACAGAATTTGCAAGGTCCTAAGTCCTTGAAATGCCTCCCAGTGAACTCTCCAGATACGGTTCCTGTATAAATATCTGGAGAAAATATGTTTTAAACGAAGACTTGTATTATTTTTTTAATTTACGGGTGCTGAACTGAAAGTAGGATGATGAACTTACATATTTTGAATCCTTTTCGTCCGAGTGAAACTTCTCGGTAAGAGCTGGACCATTTGATTGTCTGACATTACTCTGCATATAACCATATATCATGTTATTCTTCAGTACATACGACAATATATGCACTACTTTTGCAACACTAATATAGCACTATAAAACACTAGCTATAGAGCACATATACTAGCTACTTTCTTTTTATTACATTACCATAGAGATACAGTGGCTGTGCCATATAACACTATAGAGAATGCGCACTAATATACAGTACTATGGGATGCTATGCACTAAAAGAGTACTATACAACAAAATGAAAGAAAATGGCAAATTTCGGGTGCGATAATGGCACTCCTGTACGCATGGAAACCAGTTTCGCCGTCATCCGGATCTCAACTCCACAAACACGCCATTTCCGGTAGTTCGATTGATGAAAAATGCAGGATTATTTAAATCTAAGATAATATTGGCATGCAGGCAAAATCCAAAGAGAGGATAATGGAGCTTGTGTGGGATTAAGAAAGGATAATATAATTAATATTCCTTGTACATGAAGGATTAAATTTCACGTGGGGATTATTGAGCCATTGTAAGTTTGTAACTACTGCTTTTTATTACTCTCGTTAACCAAAATGTGAATGGATTGAGTCTTCATCACATCTGAGTTTCATTATCGTAATCCGTGAATTGCATTTTTGTTTCTATGTCTGGATTTCTTCAGACAGTTCTTTTTGATGGATTGCGTGTGTATCTTGAGTATAAACTGGATTTCAAATACGAAATAAATCTCGCCCAACACATGCAAACCATTGTCATTGAGACAACGCTGAGTTTACTTTGTAGATTGATGACATGATATGGGTTAAATCCCCATGAATAGTCATGAACTATGTGAATATGAATATATTTTCATTCGTATGAATTGCTATTGGTTGCTTGGCGAAAATACAATGCCCTACACATGCCATAGGGGAAGTCTAAGCATTGCAGGATTTGCATAAGCCCTCTAAGTGCTCTAACACAAACACCAGTAACAACTCTGGATGATACACCAGACAATGTTACATTCAACAGGAACTTCACAACATTGAAATTCAATACTCTGTTAAACGTCGACGATAGCTTGAGACAACGCTGGTTATATCGCTGACTGCACATTCAATAAACGTCATAAAACAAGGTAAATAATACTCACAGGGTTACTATATTCTTCTGCAACGATGGCAGATCAGTGAGCCTTTGGTTGCTACAGTCGACGTCCAAACCTTTCGCAGCATTAGATCTATAACACTTACAGTTTTGAGGACATTTTTTGATTCGTTGTTGTGCGCTAACGCATACAAGATAAACAACACTCGACAGCAGCACTAGTGATAACGGCAAGTTTTTTAACATAATTGTATATTGAATGACCAGACTACGTTGTTTGTATCTCACGACAGTTACTCGTTTATCCTAACTGAATGAGATCTTTAGCTGTGTCTTAGCGGTTGACATATGATATAGGAAGCAATTACCGAGAGTCCTATTCCTTAAATAGATAGCTTTCCATTCAAAAGGCCCTCTTCTGTGAGTTAGCAGTCTCATGAATCGTTGACCTTTCCTTTTATCGTTAGGCAACAATACAAAAAAACATATCAATCTTTTCTCTTCCAATGCGATTGCTTTACCGCAATTCCAATGCATCTGGGCCTGTTCCAAGGCAAGAAATATATACGTGATCTCTGATTTCACTTGGATTATCTTAAAAACTGCGGACTGCGAGGGCTAAATGTATTCTAACTACATGGGTGGTTGGATATGTTATGAAATCTTCTCCCGGGTCGTTCTAATGGGATTCCCAAAGGTATTGTAAGAATTGGCCGCGATGACAGAAAATAATTTGTATCATTCAGACCCTCTAATCCTGTGATTACAGCTTGAACAATATTCTCTCCAAACATGCTGTCCTACTCTACCTTGCTGTGGTGTGCACTAATCATAATTGTCGTTTTTGCGACAAGAAAACTAATGAAGCAGATTGTGGCTGCAATGATGAAGCCGGTTTTTGCCGTCATTATGTATTTCTTCACCAAAATTTATAATCGAGAAGTTGGATTTAAGAAGAAAAAGCTTTTCGAAACGATGGAAAAACATTTGGAAGAAGTGGAAGGCGAGGTGCTCGAAGTTGGTGCTGGGACTGGAGCGAATTTTGCGTTTTACCCACGTGGGTGCACAATCATTGCCGTGGATCCTAATCGCTACATGAATTACTATCTTCAGCACACAAAGAAGTTTTATCCTCACGTTCAATTGAAAGAGTATATCGTAGGCTCAGCTGAGGATATGAGAAAAATAGCTGACCATTCTATGTCTGTGGTCGTCTGTTCATTAGTCTTGTGCTCTGTAAACTCGGTGGAACAATCTTTGAAGGAAATCATTCGAGTTTTAAAACCTGTAAGTACACAGTGTAGGTCTTCGCAAACATTCTCGTGAAATTCTTCATACGGCTTCATCTTTTTTTCTTCAGGGAGGAAGATTTTATTTTCTAGAGCATGTAAAAGGTATGTCCTTCACCGTAACGTTTTTAAATTTCTCTTAACTTTGTCATTCTCTAATGTTTTCTGACGGCCTTGCTCATCTGAGAAACGACCGGTGGGCTTTCCTGTTATGGAGTTGAGATGGTTCCATTGAAATGGTTTTGTTCTATAGGTGAAGGATTCCTGCTGACACTTCAAAAGTGGAATCAGCCTTGGTGGTTTTATTTCGGCGATGGGTGTAATTTGATGCGTGATACGGAAAGCTCTATTAGAAAGGCTGGTTTTAAGTCTGTCAAATGTGAAGCTTTTGATGCTAAAAATGTTGGACCGTTTATAAAACCACATATCATGGGCTATGCGGACGTTTAAACAAAGTGCATGTGCATGTGTGATAAAATTGATGGTAGTTAAAAATTATTTTAAAATTATAGATTTATGATAAGTTTTTTTCAAGATGTTGACGTTTTCCTTCATGGATATCAATGAGGACAAATGAAAAGCGATAAGATTTCTCACGTAGATTTGCTCTCTAGAATTATGACTAAAATATATTATTGTGTATGCTTTGTCGAGTGTGCGAGACTGATTTGCAGGACATAGACGAATCTTAATCTTGTTAGAAAATGATACAAAATACCGTAGACAAACGCTAGTACTTCTAAAATATATACAATTTACAATCTTTGAAAGATGCTATTTACAATATATTTACAATATACTTACATGCGTTCAATGTTTTAACTTCTATCGTCCTGAAGGCAGTTTAAATAGTGTTCACGTATTTTTACATCCATGTAAACCAGCTTTTAAAATTGCGAGCAGGTTCCACGTAGAAATATAATATGCTTTTATCAATAGAGCACAGGAGTTTACTGCGATAAAACTCAGTATTACATAAACTGATAGAATGTTTCATTGCTATTAGCCATAGCTACTTCTTGTTTGAATGTTGTTGTTAAAATAGAGATAGGATGAATATTTTACTCTCTATACCATCTTTAAACGTAAGGATCGTGGCGTATTTTCGGACTGTATACTAAAACAGGTACACAGGCGTATGGATGGGATACTGAATCTCTACTGTCGTTACCTAATGCTATGTATCTTGTAAATGAAGAATGAGCTCGATCAATTTTATGTTCTTCAAAGCCTTCTTCATAACCGCCACAATGAGTGATGACTGTGTCGTTGTCAGACATGTTATGACTATCGTCTGTCAATGTCGTCTGCACTTGCCCAATACGTTTCAGTTTCGCCCGACGATTTTGAAACCAAACCTATATCGATATAAGAAAATACGGAGTGTTAACCTTTGGCTCTTAAAACTTGAGAAGCTCGTTATGTTTGTATTTTTGCCAAAAAGGACGAAGAAGACCTAGGTCCTAGTACCAGCTTGTTCTATATAATTCTGAATACAATACATTATAACGGTGGATATACATTATATCTAAGAATATTTATGCCGTCAGACTTGTATTCAGGCATGAGTTTCATACGCAACAACGAGTCATCTTGGGATGAATCTTCAATAGGATTATATCCAGGCTTGCTCAACTAAAAGCTCGTATTCACTACTCACGAAGTATACTAATTGTATATTATACACCTACAAATGGAATAACTACGCTGAGTTCTGTTCATCACTAGAGTCAAGGGCTGCATGTCCGTGCATGTACATTGTTAAGATAAATACTTCATGCCCACACTTAAGATTACGTTTTTTTTCCATCCTGCTCATTTCAGCGCGATGGAGAGATGTTATGCATTAATTTACGTGGGCTGTTGTGGGCCGATGTATTCATTAGAAACTCATACAGCGTGTAACAGTTGCTGTAAATATCTATAAAACTCTTCTAGAACAAACCAAACACAGGAAATAATTATTTTCTTATTATATAAAATTACAATATATAATCTAAAAGTAGCTGTGAAGTAATGAAAAGACATAGCGTTGAACATTTTTAATTTCAAAAGACGTTGAGTCACTGCTACAATGCTAGTTCTCAAAAACAAGCACAAAAATATGGCTTAAAATCATATCTATATCATTCTATCTCGTATTTTTGCAACGAACGAGCATCAAGTATTATAGCTTTTAGTCATTATAGCAAAGTGCGTGGGTTTACAATGTTGATAAATTTACAGCTATGTTTACAACTGATAACAGCAAACGGCAAGATGATAAAGTTATAACTCGCAAAATAATTATGTTGTATCTAATGTTTTCCTCGAAATACAAGATCTTCATTATGATATAAAGCCGGTGAATTGTTTTTTCACTTCTATAACAGCTGGTTAATTTTTCACTTTTATGAACCGAATCATGCTGTGCGGAATTGTGAGTAACGAAATTCTTTCAAAAAATTAAGCCATATATACCTGAACTCTGGCTTCTGGTAGATTTATCTTCTCAGCCAGCTCCTCTCTCATCTCAATCCCAGGATAGTGACACGATTCAAAAGCCTGTTCGAGTTCTTGTAGTTGTGTTGCTGTAAACGCGGTTCTACTTCGTCTACTTCGTCTGCCTTTTACCGCATTCATACCTGAGAAAAGAGCAGAGACGATCCTGTTTAATCGTGTGCAGAGCCAGCAGAGGATTCCCTTTATTCATTTTACACAGCTTTTCACAAACAATCCTGACTTCTGATTTAGTTTCTCTCCATTTTTCGCGAAGTTGTACTCATTTTAGTTTCGTTGTGATTATATTTGAGAAGTAAGAACCAAATTGAAAGGAGGACAATAATATTTAGGTTTCAATTTCAGTTAAATATTTATATCGAATACAACCGATGTATAAGATTAAGGTCGAGAATTTACTGGACATTGTAAATAAACACTACTAATGGCAATTGAGCAGAAAATTAGATTATACCAACACCACACACATTAAAAAATGTATCTGAACCTGATACACTCTCAAACTTGGCATCATTGTTAAAATAACGATGTTTATTATAATAGATTGCATGTCATGATTGTGTCTAAACATTCTGTGAAAGACAACATTCGTTTGTCTCTGACTCTTCCAGATAATGTCCTTCGTGAACTGTTCATCTTCTATAGTTGAGTGCTAGCTTTCCTCATACTCTTTCCTTACGAATTGAAAAATCTTTATTCGAAGAAGTGAAAATTCATTGGCATTCTGGGTAGTTCAGTCATAACAAATGCCTATTTTTTATGGAAAGCCGATTCTTTATAGAATGTTGATGTAAATGTCTACTATTGTCTCGTGATTTTTTACAATACAAAACAAACTTAGAAGAACATATTTTGGGCACAGTTCTTTCCATGAGATTTGAAGAGTCATCTCTAGCTAATGATTTAACGTTAACAAATTTGATGGGGATTATTAACGCCACTCAATTTATACCCAATGATGTAAAATTAATATAACATTCTTACCAGCATTCCTTTCCCGATATGAAATAAAAGACTTTCTCATTTTTGTCGGTGATTTTTTTGTTGGAATCATCCCTAGAATGGCTTCGATGGAGTGATTCTGTTTTGAGATACTGCCACTTTCATCTCTCTTCATGTTGTAATACAAATTACTTCTTCAATTCTCTTTCCTGTTATTGTATCTTTGAATCTTAAACAAAGCAACTTGAATCGTAAACACGTTGCCCACTTACTCAGTTATGATTCAACTTCTTCCTGGTCGACGCCTTAAATATGATAACATTGGAATAAATTAACGTAATCGTTGCCATGTCGTAATTTCCTTTTCGTTCTGCAAAGGTCGTTGAGTACAAAACATCCTTTATCTCCAGTATATTTGCCCCAAAGGCTGTACTTGTAGTTTGCCTAATTAATTATATGACAAGCAATTTTGCAAACTTTGTAGGTCACCGGGTATAACATTGTGTAAGGCTAACTGTAATTACATATTCGTTGACCGTTGGAATTCTGTTGGATCAATATAACTTTAATTCAAAATGTTTGATGGTGTACGACATGCAATATAGTTTCTCTTTGTGTTTTCTTTGAGACAATCAACTTGTTTTACCGCTTGTAAACTTGTTTTCTTTTAGTAGCTAAAGTTAAGTTTATGCCTATCCATCGCGTAAAGATAAGTAGCTACATTGACCGTTTTAATGTACTAAGAGATAAAGTTGTTGTATAACACGAAAATTTGTTTGTAATATCTGGTTTAATAGGATATCATAAAATAATTGTCCTTGATATCCAACTATCTTGCTCCGATATATAACTGAAGTGCCAATTCCTGTAAAATTATAATTGATTGCAATATTCTGCACGTATATTGGGTTCGTATGTAGAGCTCACAGCTACCAATTCAGAACTAAGTTTGAAAACATGAATTAACTGCTTAATCAAGCCAGAAATTAACGTTTCGTTAAGGAAAGATAGAAGTACAAGTCTCTCGCGATATGATAACTGCTAATCTATAAGACACATCAATAAGCCGAGATCAATATTCCCATATATGTGACCAATTTGAGTATAATTTTGATTATTCAATTGAAGATGTGGTATTGACATTATGTCATGATACTGTATCACGGTGTCTACAATACTGAAGGATCAAGGCTCCGGGTTCAAACACATAGAAATTATTTCCCGGTGCAATGACATTAAAAGGAGTGATACTTTCTGCAGCTTTAGGAAGATCAATCAAAGACTATGCTCGACAATTCACTTCATGTGAGATCACAAGAGTATCATATGACTCAGGTGATTTCGAAATAAGTTTTTTTTTCCTTTCATACATCTGATTATTGATTCAAAAGGCGTTTTGCTCTTCATCAACTGCTTTTATAGAGTTTTAGTCTTTTACTCTCTGTCATTTAGCCATACCATAAGGCAACAGGCAACTATACTATCAGTACTACATGTATACCAACAACGTAGCTCAGTGCTGCATATAGAGGTTCTTTACTAACCCCGGTGCCTCAATATCATTGATGATCAGAGGTGGTGTACGATAACCATACCATTGTTAAGTCTAGAAATATACCAAAAGGTAAATGTTTTAGAATGAGAACCTATGTTTCTCGTTAAAGTCAAACGTGGTAAATCACTTTACATTTGCATGCGGTAATACGATGTACCAAAACGCCCCTTCCAAAACTCGCAAAGTCACTTTTTGTTTCAATCTCCATGGCTACTTGCGACAACAGCAGATTTCCGGCGTAAACGTTGTAATTTCAAAGAACGCCTTTCACCTGGGGAAACCCACACGGAACTATACGCTAATTAACCATGGTGAAAATACGCCTCTACGGACTGACAGGTGCCTCTATAAAGTTAGCGTATGATTTCATTATATATAATCATGTTTTCAACGTACATTTTGCGGTTGTAATTCGTTGTACAGTATTATTATGGCATCTCAGCTTGTTGTGTTTCCTTGCATGTGTAGTCTATATGTTGCATCTTGTATAGAAGCTAACTTAGAACTCTAACTCAGAACTCTAACTCAGGGACTCACTGAATTAGAGTCCTAATTGATCACTCTAATCTTCTTACGTCTAGCCATGGATTTATACGTCAATAGGCTCAACGATCTAGGCTAACTCCAAATCTTTTGTTAGGACTGAACTAACAGAAGAATGATATGTGAGCTTACTGTGAACATTCAAGGGCAGAAATTCTCCTCCGAACAACAGGTTTCTAGGCTCAAATTGCTGTGTCATCATTTCAGTTCTATTTACAAAACTTTGTTATGGCGACTCATCTCTTCAACATGAGTAATGCATTAAACTTAATCACTTCATTAAGTAGGTTTAAATTAATGGGGTTTATCAAGGGCACTGTTCTAATTGAATAAACCAAAACACTAGTTCCCACATTTATAGGTAGCCCTTGAGTAATGAAACATTAGGAAAGCTTTGATTCTTCAGTAAAATGTTATAATAAATAATCCCTCTAAGGTTACAGTCAAATAATGCCGTTACATATTAATGTATTTACGTGTATATATAGGTGCATGCCTATAAATAGGAACCATCAAAGTTTAGTGAACAGTCGAATATAGTATTTTAGAAACCTCTCTACGCCTAGGAACGTACGCTAATAGCAAAGCTGTGTTTTCATTTGTGGGGGTGTTTACTTAAAGATATAGGCCATGACAAGCTTGCGACGCCTCTGAGTTAAGAATGCTTTTTGAACTGGGCATTCATATAGCTGTTACCATCATGAATATATTCTATATTTACATCCTTGCAAAAGAGCTACATGCGGTTAGGCCTATACAAAACTACTGAATAGAACCTACACTTGTCAGTTGTCATCACACTTGTCGTGATATCATTTTTAGGCAGTTCAAACACAAACCACGACATTCTATGGTATATTGTGAACTATTTATTACGCCCATACACACCAGAGACACCCACATGCATTATATTACTTCATGTATATTGAATTTCAAGCGGCTTGCCCCACCATCCTGTTTTTTGTCAGAGTGAATGGAAAGATCGATGAAACAAGCTAAGAGCTTACACCGTGTATTTTTAACATTTTTAACGGTGTGCTCCTAGTAATAATGACTTATCTGGAGACAGTTAAAACTTCCAACAGTTCGAGTACGTACTGGTACCTCTGTTATTTACGTGGTCTCGTTGAGGAATTCATTAGTGACTTTCATATAGGCAAATGTAGGCGTAAATCATTCTGACCAAACTTGAGAGTTCAATATATAAAGTTTGGTTTTGTAGGAACAGACTCTGCTGTGATATGGACAATGTTCTAACGAACTATTTCGTCTGTCTCGTGCTAATTTTTGTGCAAATTAAGGAGAGGTAATGGGGAAATTGGGAGGTTATCGAAGCGATCTCTACCCATCTCCCCCCCTCCCGTCTTTTTTAATAGAATCAGGCGTACATAAGGCGATTTTCCATAACAAGAAGCTATATTGGGGGAAACTTGTGGTTAAACTCATGTAACTTCGGGAATCACATCCCATTCACTCGAATTCTTAGGAAAACAGGATTTCCGTATCCTATTGTGTGACGGTAATTATAAGAATTGATACAATTAACATGGAAAGTGGGGTGGAGGAATATTTTAATAATTTTTTTAACTGTCACCTTCAATGGTACCTAAATCCCCGTTCCAGACACCCTTAGAAACCAAAATGTAAACAAGGCTGGTAAATACGTCAGAAACAGTGACCGCGCCTATACGAGGAAGACAGTCTTCCATTAGAGCGAATTAGGTCTTCCATTGAAAGTAATTAGAGCGAAAAAAAGCATGGATATATAGGCAGACGTAATTTCAGCATGAGGTCCAATGTTAACGTAAGTTTTTACAGTGAGTTGCTGACGTTTTTGTCTGAACCGTTTAAAAAACATCTCAGACGTGTTTCTCCATGCATTGTAGGTGGTATTCTTCGGTAAACTATTCCTAAATTGTTGTTGCATGCTAGTTTCTTAGGTACATAGTTTATAAATTCATTCGTGTTGAGTAATTATCATTAATTACTTGAATTGTAAGTCTTGTTGTACTGTCGTAAGTTAAGTTTTAAGAATGAAAGTCTTGCGGTGTCGCCAGTCGTCCAAGGTCTTCGTAAAAAACACTTCTTTATTCTTCCAAATAGAAGCACTCTTAAGTCATGTACGTCAAGGAAGCAGTAATTATCACTAATAAAACGACATTACTCTTTGTGAATCTTATGTTGGCAAGCTATAAGTCATCAGTTTTAATTTCATAGAAGTATATTCTATAAGAAAGCTGTTAGTGTTGAATATACACCGACTTGAATTATACAGTATTAATTTAACGTCTGTTCATATCGTCCGTATCATAAAACGTCTGTTCACCCAGAAATCAGAAATGACTTCTGGAAAAACAAATTTACCATAAGCAATCTTCACGAAAACTTTGATTTGAAAAAGTCTACACATTTGCGTTAAGTTAACATGCTTTATATCCAATGGCGGCTCTATTGTTACTCGATATAAATATAGGCATAAATGGCACACACAAACACTATAATATACTTGGAATACCTGATCTGTTACTCGTGAAATTTATCAAAATTTAATTCGGATATCATGCAAGTAATATTGTGGAAATGCCTTTCAAAGGAACGGACTAGATTTGCAGAACAGTAAATGATATGCCAGAACACAATATTATGGCGTAAATGCGACTTGTTCAGCTAATTACATTTTCCTGTTGAATGAGCCACTCCAAAGCGGCTAAAGTCCAACCACTTGAGGTGACCCCAATCACGCTGCAGCATGCATAAACTTCAAAGTAAAGTGTTCCTCCAAATCCCCGATACGGTATAACTAGTGCAGTTATAATCACCGATATTGGCTCTGAGGCTGCGTAAATCAATTCTGAATTTCTTTGTTTAATGGATGTAGCTCAATCTCTTCCACGTTGTTCTTCCTAGAAGTCTAGTAAAAGCTACGACTCTTTACAGCATTAAGTTGGTTCAATGTTATGAATTCGAATGCGTTTCTTGGCAATTATTGTATTTTATCGTTAGTATATACGACCATTGACTTGCATGAGTTATAATTATCGGCCCCAAGAGCCAGCATGCAATATTCAAGGATCTGCTAATAAGATCATTGTAAAGATAATAGACGTTTGATATTGTTCATTTACAATGCTATATTCCAAAGTATTTCGCAATGAAATCATTTTCAGTTTATGTTCATATCGAGGTGACCATGTATGAATGCACGAACTTGCCTCACTCATTTCCTTAAAAAGTTTTGTTAAATTGGAATTGCGTAAAATTTTAGCCTGCAACTGCTGGTAGCTATTTCTGTGGTCGTGAATCACAAACAACATTGACTCTGTTGCAAATCAAAAGAAATATACAGTGTTGCATAATAATAAACGGGATAGATATATCAATATATTGCATGATGGACCCTTGCTGAAACTACAAAGATAATTATTTCTTTCGCAAGAATGACAAGTGTTGAATTACACAATCATAACGGTTAACGACTTAATGGTGTTGCGAGCTTTACGCAATAATGATTAACGGAAAATTGGTGCTTTTTTCGGTTGTAATATTTGCATCACTGGAGTAAAACCTTCATATTCGTAAAGCATATAATTTGAACGTAAATGTCATCAGTAAATGTCTGGTTTTCGATTGAAATATTTACTTATTTTCATACATGGAAACAAACCTTATCAGTAAACTAAAGTAAGAAATAAAGACAGCCCAAATCCAAACACGACTGCTTTTTCAAGTGTGTAGTTTGTTTACCATAAAAAAGTCATTGACTGCGAGAAATTACACCGTGATTTCGAATTCGCTGTTTGAATATAATCTTGATATCATTACACAAACTAAATTTAGGTTATAATTTACTTTTTAATATAACAGAACAGCTTAATTCATCAGTACATTACACGGGGTATATAGCAAGCATGCATGGAGATTATCGTCTGTCAGTTTCTATGATTTTTCCCATCGCTGCGCTGTGGACTCTGGCTTTAAGCCTTAAGTCGTCCAAACTGTCCCTAGTTGTTAATATCGTATCGGGTATTGCATGATATGCGCCTGGTACCGGGTATCCCGATATCATTGGCAACCCCGGACGAAAGTACCCGGGTGGTATGTTCGTAGTACTAATGTAGGCCAAAGTTCCGTACCGGGGAAAAGTAAAATGTTCATACCGCTGCTCATAAGCTGGACCGTGGTAGGATAGATGCGAGTATGCAGGAGATGTTGGGGTTAATAGAGGTTTTCCTGGGGGTATAGTAGGACTCTCACGGCCCATCGCCTTCTCTCTCTTGCGCCATTTTGCTCTACGGTTTTGAAACCAAACCTTAAGATAGGAAAATGAATTAGGTTCACACTTCACAGTATTTATGTAAAAGAAAGATGCTGACGGATCTGATTGCAGTTAAAACCATTTGCTATTGTCATGTTTTTTTCCTGGCAATCCAATATTCAATACGTTAAATCGATTAGCTTTATCTCATTAAATATATACTGCTCGCTTTTTCATAATCTATTTTTAAATGCATAATATTCAATTCAAACGTATAAGTTTTTACGCAAATCACTAACTCCCAAGTGCCACGGTGATTTCTTATACGATCCAATTATGTCGTTGAATATACTGCCCAAAAAGATTCGAGAACATTCAAATACTCGAACAAAATAGTTAAAAAATATTTCACAAGACATTCTTAAAAATTTTAGATTCTTTATTATTGAAATTATACTTCCTTGATGATATGCGGCATATTTTATTTTTCATCATATTTGTTATAATGGATAATGTACGCGCGTTGCTATATTCGGCTCCCAGTGTTTCAACACAGTCTACTTCCAGCCTGAGTTTTGTCGTAACCTGCATCTCACTATACAAAATCATTGCTTGTGGAGTAGGCTGCAAAGGCGATGTAGCAAATTATCCGCGGTTAAATGCTGTTGTCCATACATCAAAGACCCTTTTCAGGCAGTTCATTTAAACGGAATATTGCTTTCTGCTTGCAGATTTATTACCGACTTTGATCTTTTAATTTGCGGGCAAATTGTATTTAACAATGAACGTGTCTTATTTAACAACGCTTTAGTCTTTTTTGACAGGTGTATGCTTTTCAAATGAGACGTGCGCAAAGTTCGTTAGCATGCAAACACAATTGACTTGTTTCTAAAAGCTTTCGTTAATAGATCAGCGCGCAAAGTTTAATTGATATTAAGAATATGAACTTTTGATTACCGCAGGTGCACATGCAAGTATTTTTCATGCATCAATTAAACGTATTTAGTTCTAAGCAAGATTTAATTTCGAAGGGATCGCCAAATTGCATGTATTTCAAGTTTCCTCTATACTCGCTTTAAGTATAGACCGTATATATTTGGTGCCAAGGGGTAAAACCTGTATTGGTGTAAAGCAAGTTTCGTTTAGGTTCTCCCCTGTAAAAACATTGGATCAATAAGAGTTAAATATGTGACGGTTAGATAGGCAAGTTTCTATTCACCTCACCTGAACTCTGGCTTCGCTGAGGTCCAACCTTACTGCCAATTCTTCCCGCGTGAAGACATCCGGGTATTGCGTTTTTTCAAACGCCCTTTCCAGTTGATGAAGTTGAAACGTCGTGAATGTGGTGCGACTCCGTCGTAATTTTCGCGTCTTTTTTCCGTCCTCCTTGTGAGCGTCTTCCTCGTCAGATAAATCTTCTCCCGATTCCTGACTCTTTGTTGAGCAATCGTCTTTCATTTGAACGTCTGAATAAAGACAACCACTTGGTCAACATATTGTTTAGATTATTCTGTCTAATTATTAGTTGGCAATGATTTAATTCAATAGTTCAGTAGCGTGTGTTTATGGTTCCTTGCAGCGCGCAAAATTAAAGAGGGCAGTTATATTGATTTTGTGAACAGCTAACCTAGATCGTATATGAAAAACATCCTTTGCGAGTTCATCCGTCCATAACATGCGTGAGAGATTCCTCGGTGACAAGCTTTGACACATTCACAAAAAGAAACTAATTATCACATAAGTGCATGTGTATTTTAAAATTGAAAGAAATATTACATGGATTACAATAATTCTTTTTCAAAAGATGGTTGATATGAAGAAGGATAGTAATGCATGCATTTGCAAAAGTGGTTCGATTTCGACTGATGAATCAGAGCGAGGCTTACTGTTCATTCCTTCATTCAGTCTTAAAACCTTTCTCAACTTGTCTTAAAGTTTCACCCATTTTTCACCCCTTCCTGACACGAGTTCTGACCGCTCTTCGCTCTTATGAATCGTTTCTATCAATTCAGTTTGCCGAAAACATTTCGAACTCTCAATAATAAAATATTTCCCACATTTACAGGAAATGCCGCTCTCAAACATACTTTGCAAACTTATAAACCCTCTTAATAAGTTGTATAAACATCTTTTATCTGGAGTATTTACATCTCATGGAACGAGCTGACTTAAAATAGAATGAGTACAATTGTCTGCATGCATGCCGCTACCGAGTTTGAGTAACTTGCATTGACATAGCGGAGGAAACTACCCTTTAACCTACGCGTCCATTCTCGTGAGCAAACAACTAGGATTTAATTTAATTTGTGAATAGAATTATTAACATAAAGATGACTGTATATACGTGTATAATATAATGTTACTCGTATTTTTCTATATATAATCTAGCTCTTTCACCCATAATTTTTGACTTAAGAACCGCGTGATTACAGGATTGGTATCACCAGTTTTTGGGTGAACTAAATAATTTTATCGCAGCTTTGTTATTCGTTGGTTCAGACACGGACTGCATGCTATTGTCAACGTGTTTGTTCACAAAATGAGACACATAAGCACTATGTATATGTGTGTAATCGGATTGCGTTTTGAACATGTTATTGATTTATCGGCCACTTTTATTCGTAAACCACAATTAATTACATTGGAATTGCTAATGCTAGCGCTTAATGTTTAATGTTAATGCTCAATATGAGATTAACAGATTAGCTGTTTATGAGTTTACCTTTATATGCGAAATTCAGACTTTTTCTTTCATTTTCCTGGCTAAATACGGCGGCGCTGCTTTTCCCCAAGATCCTGTCAATTGTGAAGGCACTGCCTGAAGTTTGCCCCATAACCTGGACTGATGTGTCGTTGTGTTCGCTCTTCGTCGCCGTACTTTTTCTCACACCTATGAGATGTGTATTCCTGTTTGATTCCATAATAGACCACGAAGCTGTTCGCTTCATGCAGTGATGTGTATATTATGAAATGAGCTGTCGGATTTACGGATAAATACACAAGTCACTCTGATAGCGTAAACTTTGACTCCAATTAAACACCGTGAACTTTTCCAAGGGATAATTTTAGCTCAAAAAGAGGGAGCAGCGTTTGTCACTTTGTCATCTACAGCCTTGTAATTAATGTTTATTATGAAGAACAAAGCTGTATGAATAGTTAGCTGGTTGTCATTGGTTGACTTCCCCATTGGAAATGATTGAGTGTGATCAAAGTTATTATGTCCAGCATAATGACCTGTTTGTTTGAGTTTGAGCAACTCATGAGGCCCCGCTGTTCCCAGAAGAATTACAGGGGAATCTTTATGTTTCGAAATATTGCCTGTTATCCTTACAATTCACATTACTACTAGTTTCCTTATTTGGTTAATTCGCTCTCACAAAAACGGGACGAAATCCTCTCACTTTTGCTGATCATTTGTGTAGTTCTCCCAACGCCTCTCATTCCGTAAGTAATGAATTAATATCTAACTTAATCAAAATCATGTCAGTAATTAGTCTTTTATGAGAGCTTATTAAGAGCAAGCGGGTTGTCATAGCCACACAGCATTACGTCTATTGTCTTACAAAGTAGATTTTTATTGTGACTAAATGATGATTGAATTTTGCTCATTTGGGTGGCCAACTGTTGCCCAGCACGATGTCCGCGAAACTCGCAATACAAAGTTTATTTCTTTATTAGCGCTCCGCCCAGGTCATGCATATCGTCAATAAATTCAACGTATTCAGTTGAAGTTTCTCATCGATTTTTCAAGTCGAGAATGCTTGTAATTGAGCAAATATTGATCCATTCAGTGTACCCTCGAAAAGAATTTGTAAACTTTTCCAACCCAAGTAGGGAACGTGAACGAAACCTGCCCATGTGAACGTCGCGAGGGCTAAGTTTATTCCACAATGATTGAGTTGATCTCAGGTCTTCGGTATTCGCGGATATATAGCCTGGGTAAGAGATTCCAGCTTTCACTGGCTTCCAGCTGCGCCCTTACCACTGATCTATATAAACATTTCTGGAATTATGAAATATGTACGAAACATGTTTGTTTGTCGATATAAAATATCTTGACCAGGTTTTTGTCTGGCACGATTAGGGGGAAATTCTAAAGATTTTGGCCAGGTATTAAAATGTGATATCGAAATTGTTGCTACCAGTGCATGTTACCCAAATAATTCTATTACGTTTTTCCCAAAGGGGGACCGTTGCATCGAGGCATTTGGTCCCCGCACGCTGCTTGTTCCCACTGTAGGCCTTTGCACTAATCCACACGAGGGCCATAGGCTTTCCTTAGTACAGAATGCAGTGTAGCTCAGCCCAGCCCATTCTTTTTCGTTGTATATAGGTTTATCTCAACAGCTAGTTGTTATGATGAACGTGACGAGAATACTGATGAAATAAAAATCAGTTCGAGACTTGCTCGACCAAATTCAAAATGGCGATGCCGATGAAAACCAAGCACGCCTGTGCAGGATTGCTGTGTTGTCAAGCCAAAGTTAAGTATTTTGCTTCCCTGTTAATCTCCGGCCCTTCTGCCAATCGTTTGGTCAGAAAAAACAGTAAACAGTGATAGAATATGGAATGCCCAGCGTTAGCAATTTGCAAATTAATTTCAAAGTCTCCAAGGAAAGGATTAAATGAAATAAAAAACTTTCGTCTTTCACCACCAGCAGCGGTGGCCGAGTGGGTTAAGAGAGTGTTTAGTGTATAGGCGGTGGTTCAAGCTCTTGCAGTGTCAAATTCTTATTTAATTTCAAAGTCTCCAAAGAAAGGATTAAATGAAATAAAAAACTTTCGTCTTTTATCACCAGCATGAGGCCAACTGGGTTAGGACAGTGGTCAGTCCATAGGCGGTGGTACAAGCTCTTGCAGTGTCAAAAAAATAAGTTGCCAATTCTCATTTAATTTCAAAGTCTGGATAAGGTGATAAGTCTAAAAAATTCTAAGTCTTTCACCACCAGCACTGATAGCCGGTGGTAAATCTCTTAGTAAATCGCCCTTGGAAATTTACTGGGAAGACTTTTCTATCTCGTTCGTTGACACACATCAGCGAGATGAGGTCACATCGACGGTCGGTAAATTTCGACCTCAAACAGGACGAGACAACGAATGCTGGCTCAAACCGACCACACAACCAAACTCAAACTAACCGGAACATTCAAATATATCTTTAGCCCGAGTGGACGACGTGAAAATCTCGCTCGTCGGCGAGAGCTTGCCTGTGGAATTCTCGACGGTGAGTCTTCCATCATTCAGTAAACTTCAGATTCCTATCATCTTCAATATTTCATGTTTGCAGTTCCATTGTGTTCTACTTTGCATAATTGTAGGGTCCCACTAAACACTGCCCGAGATGATTGCCCGAGATGATTGCCCGAGATGACTGCCTGAGATGATTTCCCGAGATGACTGCCTGAGATGACTGCCCGAGATGACTGCCTGAGATGATTTCCCGAGATGACTGCCTGAGATGACTGCCGAGATGATTATTGCCCGAGATGACTGCCTGAGATGACTGCCCGAGATGATTTCCCGAGATGACTGCCTGAGATGACTGCCCGAGATGATTGCCTGAGATGACTGCCTGAGATGATTGCCTGAGATGACTGTCTGAGATGATTGCCCGAGATGATTTCCCGAGATGACTGCCTGAGATGACTGCCCGAGATGATTGCCTGAGATGACTGCCTGAGATGATTGCCTGAGATGACTGTCTGAGATGATTGCCCGAGATGACTGCCCGAGATGACTGCCTTAGATGACTGCCTGAGATGACTGCCTGAGATGAATGCCTGAGATGACTGCCTGAGATGACTGCCTGAGATGACTGCCTGAGATAACTGCCTGAGATGACTGCCTGAGATGACTGCCCGAGATGACTGCCCGAGATGACTGCCTTAGATAACTGCCTGAGATGACTGCCTGAGATGACTGCCCGAGATGACTGCCCGAGATGACTGTCAATTTACATCCTGTGGACAAGTGCTGCAAGGCCAACGCCATCCAGAATATGGAGTCCTAATCATTTTGTTCTATTATTGCTAGCCAAGGAACTGCCAACGATGACCTTCCCGGAGCAGAACAAAAGCTATTCGGAGGCATGTCATTTAGTGTTATCAGTTAACTGGACTTTGTGAGAGTTCTCTTGCAAAATGTTTGCCAAGGTAATTATTATAAGAGATCATAAAGGCCTTTTAATGTTTCTCATGGTATACTGATCTGTGTTGTTTTCTGTGTTAAGTGTGATGTTTTTCTTCATGTGGTTTATCACTGAAGCTAAAGAATTGAGATACAACAATCTTTGACTGACTTTAGGTGTAAGACGTTCGCCCAGCTATTGTAGACCGCATGGAATCGATTCAAGTCCTTTAAAAATTTGTGAATCAAGATGAGAATGAACTTAGTGAATCTGTAATTGCTGCTATATGTTTTGGCTAAAATATAAAAAAACTGTTGTATGTCTCCAAAACAAAGGAGCTTATATTTATGATGCCAAAAAGTACAGGATTGTTTGACATCAGGAGCCGGTTGTTCGTACGGCGTTTAGCTTAAACGATGGATAAGTCAAAATTTAAAAATGCTCTCGTAGATCTTGTGATGACTGAACCTGCATCTTATGCATTAAATATGTACTTCCATTGAAAATTAAACTATTTACATCGAAATATTTCAGCTCAATTGCCCAATAAATAGATAATTTTGTTTTCCATTTTTAACTTATCCGCCGTTTAAGCTAAACGCCTTTTGAACAACCGGCCCCAGAAATACAAAGAATTCGGCACACAGCGACAATTCAAAAGACAACTTTTTTCTAGGCTTTTAGCGATTCGTTTATAGTAACATCGCTCACGATGATGTTCGGAGTTGATCGGCATGTTGTCGTACATTATCATACCACGTGATCTGCTATGATCATATGGTAATTATCGCCTATAAAACTAATCTCAACGATAAAAAAAATTTCTTTAATTAGGTGGCGATCGAAGGTGGACAGCAAGATCGAAGCTCGGCAAGATTGAAGATTGTTCGAGGAAGAAGGAGTTCGCCGTTGACTAAAAGGTGGGTTCCGGCGATTATATGCGTAATCTGCGGTTGCTTTGTCCGACCCCAGTAGGGGGACCGTTTGCCCTGAGCGTTTTGGTCCCCCGCACGCTGCTAGTTCCTACTTGTAGGCCTTTACACTAATCTACGGGAAGGCCGTAGGCCTTCCTTAAGGAGTACAGTGTAGCTGAGCCGAACCCTTTTTTTTCGTTGTATATAGGTTTATCTGAACAGCTAGTTGTCACGATGAAGGTGACTCGCCCGGCCAAATTCAAAATGGCGATGCCAAAGAAAACCATCCACGTGGACCGTTCGCGGACCTTTCTGAGCAAGATTGTTGTGCTGTCTGGTCAAAGTTAAGTATTTTACTTTGATGTTTGTGTGCCTTCTGCTAATTGTTGGCCAGAAATAACAAAAAGCCATATACAATATGAAATGTTCTGCGTACAAGGTTATCTAAAGTTTCGAGCTTAATTCTGGCTGCAATGATGATAATTTTTTACTGAAAATTTATGTCATGAGCAACTTCCGCACCCATAGACTGAAGCAGAACTTAACATTTTGTCATTAACGTTTATCTCAACAGCCAGTTATCAAGACGAACGTCAAGAGAACAGTTGAAATAGAAAATAGAAATCAGTTCAAGACTCGCCCGGCCGCCGAATTCAAAATGGCGATCCCATCCACGTGGACCGTTCGCGGACCTTTCTGAGCAAGATTGTTGTGCTGTTTGGTCAAAGTTAAGTATTTTACTTCACTGTTTATGTGCCTTTTGCTAAAACTAGACAATAATTAAGATAGTTGAAAATGCAATTTTATATTAATAATGTCTTCTTATATTCAAGATTTTCCTTGCCCTTGGTCAAGAGTGCAACATGAACTGTGGATATGAACTTTACTGTCAGATGAACATTGGAAGTGACAAGATTTCTGCACAGAGGTAATTCGATTGTTCCTTCAAAAGTTATATCAGCCTTGCAGCTGAAAATCTTGTAGTGACCTTGTAATACATATCAACTGCCTGGGTATATATTTTGTTATTTAGTATAAGGGGGAATTTGCTGCAACTAGGATCTTTTTTTGGAAAATCGTCAGGCAGTCACAAATTTTGTTAAGATTAATAAGTTAACATTGCTTCTATGCTCACTATGTGTCACCAGTAATAAATTCCTGTGGTGGTCTTTAAATAAATATAGCAACCATAGTTATATGTGGAGGGATGAAGTATAACCATAGAATACCTGACCAAAAACTAGACAATAATTAAGATAGTTGAAAATAGAATTTTATATTAATCATGTCTTTTTATTTATATATCTATATTCAAGATTTTCCTTGGTCAAGAGTGCAACATGAGCTGTGGATATGAACTTTACTGTCAGATGAACATTGGAAATGACAAGATTTCTGCGCAAAGGTAATTCGATTGTCCTTCAAAAGTTATATTAGCCTTGCAGCTGAAATTCTTGTAGTGACCTTGTAATACATATCAACTGCCCGGGTATATATTTTGTTATTTAGTATAAGGGGGAATTTGCTGCAACTAGGATCTTTTTTTGGAAAATCGTCAGGCAGTCACAAATTTTGTTAAGATTACTAAGTTAACATTGCTTCTATGCTCACTATATGTCACCAGTAATAAATTCCTGTGGTGGTCTTTAAATAAATATAGCAACCATAGTCATATGTAGAGGGATGAAGTATATATATAACCATAGAATACCTGACCAAAAAGACAATAATTAAGATAGTTGAAAATGGAATTTTATATTATGTCTTATTTATATATCTATATTCAAGATTTTTCTTGGTCAAGAGTGCAACTTGAGCTGTGGATATGAACTTTACTGTCAGATAAACATTGAAAGTGACAAGATTTCTGCACAGAGGTAATTCAATTGTTCCTTCAAAAGTTATATTAGCCTTGCAGCTGAAATTCTTGCAGTGACCTTGTCATACATATCAACTGCCCAGGTATATATTTTGTTATTTAGTGTAAGGGGGAATTTGCTGCAACTAGGATCTTTTTTTTGGAAAATCGTCAGGCAGTCACAAATTTTGTTAAGATTACTAAGTTAACATTGCTTCTATGCTCACTATGTGTCACCAGTAATAAATTCCTGGGGTACGGTCTTTAAATAAATATAGCAACCATAGTTATATGTAGAGGGATGAAGTATAACCATAAAATACCTGACCAAAAACTAGACAATAGTTAAGATAGTTGAAAATGGAATTTTATATTAATCATGTCTTATTTATATATCTATATTCAAGATTTTTCTTGGTCAAGAGTGCAACATATGAGCTGTGGATATGAACTTTACTGTCAGGTGAACATTGGAAGTGACAAGATTTCTGCACAGAGGTAATTTCATTTTGTCATGGATGGTCAGCATTTGATTTTAAAAAGCCACTACATTGTTGAGATGACAACTATGAAATTGAAATTTGCTTCTATGGTCACCATGTGTGAAACCAATGATGAAACTTAATGCTATAACAGCTGAACCAGTCTGGCTGATTACTAAAATTCCTGTGGTGGTCTTACAATAATATCCACGAAAAAGTGTGAGAACTTGGGAGAAATTTTTCTGATTTCCCTGTGATTTATATTCTGTAGTACTCAGAAGGGTGATACCAGTTTTTCTGTGTTCAAATTAAATAGTGACATATGTCTGGGTTGAATATATGCATGTGACACATTCTTTTATTGAAAATGGCAAAAATATAATTGGCATAAAACAGATGATTAAAGTAAGATATGAGTAATATCTTTAATAATGATGTCAGGTTGAAAATACAAACTTTGCTGCCACTTTTTGCCTAAAAGGATTGATGAAATGCTTTTTCTTTAGAATGAATGAAGTTTAAGAAAGTTGAAAGGCACCCCTGAAGAACCTGAATTATTTTAGCCCTATCCTAGATTCATTAATTAATATATTTTAGTGTGTGATAACATGTGTGAAATGTGATCAATTATGTGACAATCTTCAAAACTTGGATTTATAAAGAGAAATTTTTCTTTGTAAAGCTTAAGAAGTAAACTTTTTTGTCTGGTGGTGTTACTGTTTGATTTTGCATGTTTTTCCGTGTGCTTTCACAATTGAAAAGATTTTGGCAGTTGCTTCTAAATGTTTTTTGAAAAGTTTAAGAAGAAACTTGATTTTTGTCTTGTGGTGTGTTGTGTTTCGATTTTACATGTTTTTCCGTGTGCTTTCACAATTGAAAAGATTTTGGCAGTTGCTTCTAAATGTTTTTTGAAAAGTTTAAGAAGAAACTTGATTTTTGTCTTGTGGTGTTTGTTGTTTTGATTTTGCATGTTTTTCCTTGTGCTTTCACAATTCAAAAGATTTTGACAGTTGCTTTGGCTTTTTCTTATACTTCTTTTCTCTTTAATTTCTTCTTAGTATTAGCCATTTTTAGCATTTTAAGACACTTTTTGAACAGTTGAAAAAGTCGTCAAAATTGACCAAAATGGTAAGGGGTAAGCCTTACCATTTTGGTCAATTTTGACGACTTTTTCAATGTTCCAAATATGCTCTAAAATGAAAGATATTAGTCTAGGAAGCCATTTTTAGCATTTTAAGACACTTTTTGAACAGTTGAAAAAGTCGTCAAATTGACCAAAATGGTAAGGGGTAAGCCTTACCATTTTGGTCAATTTTGACGACTTTTTCAATGTTCCAAATATGCTCTAAAACAAAAGATATTAGTGTTAGGAAGCCATTTTTAGCATTTTAAGACACTTTTTGAACAGTTGAAAAAGTCGTCAAAATTGACCAAAATGGTAAGGGGTAAGCCTTACCATTTTGGTCAATTTTGACGACTTTTTCAATGTTCCAAATATGCTCTAAAACAAAAGATATTAGTGTTAGGAAGCCATTTTTAGCATTTTAAGACACTTTTTGAACAGTTGAAAAAGTCGTCAAAATTGACCAAAATGGTAAGGGGTAAGCCTTACCATTTTGGTCAATTTTGACGACTTTTTCAATGTTCCAAATATGCTCTAAAACGAAAGATATTAGTGTTAGGAAGCCATTTTTAGCATTTTAAGACACTTTTTGAACAGTTGAAAAAGTCGTCAAAATTGACCAAAATGGTAAGGGGTAAGCCTTACCATTTTGGTCATTTTGACGACTTTTTCAATGTTCCAAATATGCTCTAAAGCGAAAGATTTAGTGTTAGGAAGCCATTTTTAGCATTTTAAGACACTTTTTGAACAGTTGAAAAAGTCGTCAAAATTGACCAAAAGGTAAGGGGTAAGCCTTACCATTTTGGTCATTTTTGACGACTTTTTCAATGTTCCAAATAGCTCTAAGCGAAAGATATTAGTGTTAGGAAGCCATTTTTAGCATTTTAAGACACTTTTTGAACAGTTGAAAAAAGTCGTCAAAATTTGACCAAAATGGTAAGGGGTAAGCCTTACCATTTTGGTCATTTTGACGACTTTTTCAATGTTCCAAATATGCTCTAAAGCGAAAGATATTAGTGTTAGGAAGCCATTTTTAGCATTTTAAGACACTTTTTGAACAGTTGAAAAAGTCGTCAAAATTGACCAAAATGGTAAGGGGTAAGCCTTACCATTTTGGTCAATTTTGACGACTTTTTCAATGTTCAAATATGCTCTAAAGCGAAAGATATTAGTGTTAGGAAGCCATTTTTAGCATTTTAAGACACTTTTTGAACAGTTGAAAAAGTCGTCAAAATTGACCAAAATGGTAAGGGGTAAGCCTTACCATTTTGGTCAATTTGACGACTTTTTCAATGTTCCAAATATGCTCTAAAGCGAAAGATATTAGTGTTAGGAAGCCATTTTTAGCATTTTAAGACACTTTTTGAACAGTTGAAAAAGTCGTCAAAATTGACCAAAATGGTAAGGGGTAAGCCTTACCATTTTGGTCAATTTTGACGACTTTTTCAATGTTCCAAATATGCTCTAAAGCGAAAGATATTAGTGTTAGGAAGCCATTTTTAGCATTTTAAGACATTTTGAACAGTTGAAAAAGTCGTCAAAATTGACCAAAATGGTAAGGGGTAAGCCTTACCATTTTGGTCAATTTTGACGACTTTTTCAATGTTCCAAATATGCTCTAAAGCGAAAGATATTAGTGTTAGGAAGCCATTTTTAGCATTTTAAGACACTTTTGAACGTTGAAAAAGTCGTCAAAATTGACCAAAATGGTAAGGGTAAGCCTTACCATTTTGGTCAATTTTGACGACTTTTTCTTCCAATATGCTCTAAAGCGAAAGATATTAGTGTTAGGAAGCCATTTTTAGCATTTTAAGACACTTTTTGAACGTTGAAAAAGTCGTCAAAATTGACCAAAATGGTAAGGGGTAAGCCTACCATTTTGGTCAATTTTGACGACTTTTTCAATGTTCCAAATATGCTCTAAAGCGAAAGATATTAGTGTTAGGAAGCCATTTTTAGCATTTTAAGACACTTTTTGAACCGTTGAAAAAGTCGTCAAAATTGACCAAAATGGTAAGGGGTAAGCCTTACCATTTTGGTCAATTTTGACGACTTTTTCAATGTTCCAAATATGCTCTAAAGCGAAAGATATTAGTGTTAGGAAGCCATTTTTAGCATTTTAAGACACTTTTTGAACAGTTGAAAAAGTCGTCAAAATTGACCAAAATGGTAAGGGGTAAGCCTTACCATTTTGGTCAATTTGACGACTTTTTCAATGTTCCAAATATGCTCTAAAGCGAAAGTATTAGTGTTAGGAAGCCATTTTTAGCATTTTAAGACACTTTTGAACAGTTGAAAAAGTCGTCAAAATTGACCAAAATGGTAAGGGGTAAGCCTTACCATTTTGGTCAATTTTGACGACTTTTTCAATGTTCCAAATATGCTCTAAAGCGAAAGATATTAGTGTTAGGAAGCCATTTTTAGCATTTTAAGACACTTTTTGAACAGTTGAAAAAGTCGTCAAAATTGACCAAAATGGTAAGGGTAAGCCTTACCATTTTGGTCAATTTTGACGACTTTTTCAATGTTCCAAATATGCTCTAAGCGAAAGATATTAGTGTTAGGAAGCCATTTTTAGCATTTTAAGACACTTTTTGAACAGTTGAAAAAGTCGTCAAAATTGACCAAAATGGTAAGGGGTAAGCCTTACCATTTTGGTCAATTTTGACGACTTTTTCAATGTTCCAAATATGCTCTAAAGCGAAAGATATTAGTGTTAGGAAGCCATTTTTAGCATTTTAAGACACTTTTGAACAGTTGAAAAAGTCGTCAAAATTGACCAAAATGGTAAGGGGTAAGCCTTACCATTTTGGTCAATTTTGACGACTTTTTCAATGTTCCAAATATGCTCTAAAGCGAAAGATATTAGTGTTAGGAAGCCATTTTTAGCATTTTAAGACACTTTTTGAACAGTTGAAAAAGTCGTCAAAATTGACCAAAATGGTAAGGGGTAAGCCTTACCATTTTGGTCAATTTTGACGACTTTTTCAATGTTCCAAATATGCTCTAAAGCGAAAGATATTAGTGTTAGGAAGCCATTTTTAGCATTTTAAGACACTTTTGAACAGTTGAAAAAGTCGTCAAAATTGACCAAAATGGTAAGGGTAAGCCTTACCATTTTGGTCAATTTTGACGACTTTTTCAATGTTCCAAATATGCTCTAAAGCGAAAGATATTAGTGTTAGGAAGCCATTTTTAGCATTTTAAGACACTTTTTGAACAGTTGAAAAAGTCGTCAAAATTGACCAAAATGGTAAGGGGTAAGCCTTACCATTTTGGTCAATTTTGACGACTTTTTCAATGTTCCAAATATGCTCTAAAGCGAAAGATATTAGTGTTAGGAAGCCATTTTTAGCATTTTAAGACACTTTTTGAACAGTTGAAAAAGTCGTCAAAATTGACCAAAATGGTAAGGGGTAAGCCTTACCATTTTGGTCAATTTTGACGACTTTTTCAATGTTCCAAATATGCTCTAAAGCGAAAGATATAGTGTTAGGAAGCCATTTTTAGCATTTTAAGACACTTTTTGAACAGTTGAAAAAGTCGTCAAAATTGACCAAAATGGTAAGGGGTAAGCCTTACCATTTTGGTCAATTTTGACGACTTTTTCAATGTTCCAAATATGCTCTAAAGCGAAAGATATTAGTGTTAGGAAGCCATTTTTAGCATTTTAAGACACTTTTGAACAGTTGAAAAAGTCGTCAAAATTGACCAAAATGGTAAGGGGTAAGCCTTACATTTTGGTCAATTTTGACGACTTTTCATTGTTCCAAATATGCTCTAAAGCGAAAGATATTAGTGTTAGGAAGCCATTTTTAGCATTTTAAGACACTTTTGAACAGTTTGAAAAAGTCGTCAAAATTGACCAAAATGGTAAGGGGTAAGCCTTACCATTTTGGTCAATTTTGACGACTTTTTCAATGTTCCAAATATGCTCTAAAGCGAAAGATATTAGTGTTAGGAAGCCATTTTTAGCATTTTAAGACACTTTTTGAACAGTTGAAAAAGTCGTCAAAATTGACCAAAATGGTAAGGGGTAAGCCTTACCATTTTGGTCAATTTTGACGACTTTTCAATGTTCCAATATGCTCTAAAGCGAAAGATATTAGTGTTAGGAAGCCATTTTTAGCATTTTAAGACACTTTTGAACAGTTGAAAAAGTCGTCAAAATTGACCAAAATGGTAAGGGGTAAGCCTTACCATTTTGGTCAATTTTGACGACTTTTTCAATGTTCCAAATATGCTCAAAGCGAAAGATATTAGTGTTAGGAAGCCATTTTTAGCATTTTAAGACACTTTTGAACAGTTGAAAAAGTCGTCAAAATTGACCAAAATGGTAAGGGGTAAGCCTTACCATTTTGGTCAATTTTGACGACTTTTTCAATGTTCCAAATATGCTCTAAAGCGAAAGATATTAGTGTTAAGCCATTTTAGCATTTTAAGACACTTTTTGAACAGTTGAAAAAGTCGTCAAAATTGACCAAAATGGTAAGGGGTAAGCCTTACCATTTTGGTCAATTTTGACGACTTTTTCAATGTTCCAAATATGCTCTAAAGCGAAAGATATTAGTGTTAGGAAGCCA